AAACTTTGTGGGTTTATTTTGTCTCCTATTGTGGGTTCCCCAGATCAACTCAAGTTGGTCTGACTTATATGGCAAATGTGTTTACCCACTGAGCCATATTAAAGAACCCTCTAAAGTTTTGTTTTGTTTTGCTCTTTCAGACATGGTCTCACTATGTAGCTGGAAGTTGCTATATAGACCAGTCTGACTTCTCAGAGGCCTTCCCCTGCCTCCCAAATATTGGGATCAAAGGCATGCACCATTACACCTGGCTTCTAAGAATTTTTAAGATTATATCCATTATGTAGGAGGGAAAGATTTTTTTTTTTTTTTTTTTTTTTTACCCCCACTCCTTTTTTCTTTTGAGTAGTTGATTGCAATGCTAGGGCCTTTACATGTTGAATATAAGCACTCAACCACTGAGCTATGTCCTTATCCTTTTGAATGTTTCTTTTTTTAGGGCAATATCATAAATGTGACATTTGTTTAGCATTTTTCACAATAAATTTTTTGGGCATCCAGCATGGGTGTGGTGGTGATGCATGCCTTCAGTCCAGTCAGTACTGTGAGGTACAGGCAGGGGTATCCCTAAATTTGAAAACCAGCCTAGTCTACAGAGCCAGTTCCAGGACAGCCAGGCCTAACAGAAACTTGAGTGTGGCGGAGTAGAACAGGTAAGTACAAAATTGGGAGAAGGATAAGGAGTTCTTGGTGGCTGGCTTGAACATGATACCCTTAATTGAGAACCCTCCATAACTGGAGCTGTATCTTTTTTTGACAGGGTTTCTCTGTATAGCTTTAGCTGTGCTGGACTTGTTTAGTAGTCCAGGCTGGCGTCGAACTCAGAGATTTGACTGCCTTTGCCTCTCTGAGCGCTGGAATTATAGGTGTGCACTTCGTCCTGCCTTGAAGCGGTATCTTAAGATGTCCAGCTGAGTAATCAGTGTAGTGTAAGAGAGCTAACCCAGGACTTTAATGTACTTGTTAGGTAGGTAAGTGCAATACCACTGAGTTACTAATCCTCTCAAGAGGTTTTGTTTTGTTTTGTTTTTGTTTTAATTTTTGGTGTTGGGATTGAGCCCACTCCTTTAAGAGTTAGATTTGAATTGAACAAAATGCTGTTTGAGTTTCAGTGCCACCTCCTATCAGAAGACCAGTTTTTGTCTGCTCAGTTGCCGGGATTAAATCAGAAATCATGGTTTCTCAGTTATTTGATTGGAGACAGGGTCCTGAAATGGAGGATTAGATAACACTACAGTGGTCACTTTGTAGTTCAGACTACTCAGGAATACCCCAAGTCACAGGTCAAGAGCAGTTTCAACAGCATAATGAGAACACTTTTAAAATCATTTATTGGTTTCTCTATGTAGCTCTGGCTGCCCTGTAACTTAAAAGACCAGGCTAGCTTTGAACTCAGAGATCCACCTGGCTCTGCCTCTTGAGTGGTGGGATTAAGGCTGTGTGCCACTGCTGCCCAGTGAGAAACCGTTTAAATTGAAGATTTTTTTTTTTTACACCCTTATTTAGATTTGACTTAATAGTTTCCAGCTGCTACCTACCAAATTATACATTGATCTTCCAGGTGGATAATCCTGGCTGGAGTTAAGAGTTGTCTTAAAACCTTTGCCTAGCATGTCCAAGGTACTTCAGTTCTCAGCACTAAGAAACCTGTTTGTGTCTTTGAAAGCCATCTAAATTGTAATGCCATGTGAACCTGTGGAATGGATTACAATTCAATTAATTATTAATGTAATGACCTATGAGATTAAATATAACTCCTAACTTTCTGGTGTGCCTGATGCTCGTGGACATTAAGTATAGCTCTCCCATCTTTCTAAAGCTGGGCTGTAGAAAGCCAACCCAGACTGGAGAAGTGAATTGTTCTGCTTTTACAATATTGCACACGTCATCATTAGTCTATCCCTCATTCATGCTATTCTTCAAATTTCTCATTCAAACTACATAGAAATAACCCTTTTTAGGTTATCTAGTTTTACTTCTCATTGAAAGTTCTTTTAGGGGAAAATGCTATGTAATTATCCACTGAAGTGAATAAAAGACACATGGAAGCATTGAAAAGTATTAACTAACTAGACATTATTTGGGAGATCGAGGGAGGCATAGGGCCATTATTCATGCTCTTTTGCAGACTTTTGTCCTTTTTGAAACAAGGTTTTTGTTTGGGGTGTTTTGTTTTGAGACAGGTTCCCACTAAGTATTTCTCACTGGTCTGGAGCTCACTATGTAGCTTAGACTGGCTTCAGTTTACAAAGGCCTGCCTGTTTCTTTTATCCTGAGTTTTGGGATTAAAGGTATGTTGCTATCATGTATTTGTATGGCTTAGGTTGTCATCCATGTGTAGCTAAGGATGATAAACTGATCTAAAAGTCTGATCCTCCTATCCTCCAGGTACTGGTGTGTGCCACCATGCCCAATTTTATTTTTTGCTGGGGATCAAACTCAAAAGTTTAGAACATGATAGGCACTCAGCTAACCTGTGTCCCCACCCCCACCCCCCTTTTTTTTTCTTTCAAAGCAGAATCTGTCATGTACCTCTGCTTCTGAGTGCTGGGATTCTAGACTGGCATGCTTAGATTAGGTGTTTGTTTTTGTGAAATCCTGGGGATTTAACCTAGGTCCTTACATGTCTTAGGCACACACATGGTTTTTGCTTTGAGACAGGTCTCACCAAATTGAGATTGGAATCATCTTACTCAGGCTTTCTTAGTAATGCACCCAGTGTTAAAGATTGAACTCAGAACATGCTAAGCAAATACTCTTCCCCATAACTCTTGTGTGTGTGTGTGTTTTTTTTTTTTTTTTTTTAATTAAGACATCGATTCTGCCTACATGTGACTGAATGCCGAAGAGGCCCAGATCTCATTTTAGATGGTTGTGAGCCTCCATGTGGTTCCTGGGAGTTGAACTCAGGACCAACTCTTTGCTTTTTATTTTGGGATAAGGTCTTTAAGTTTTCGGAGTTGGGATTGCAATTGCAGCATAGCCCAAGTTGGCCCGAGTTACTTTTTTTTTTTTCCTCCAGAGTAGCTGGGATTCTACTAGGTCTGGCTTGTACTGAGTTTTTAGGGGTGTGGGGTTGGCCAAATGTGTGGGGTCTCTTGCCTGTAATCTCAGTCTAACCTCACTCCAGAGACTGAGGCAGGACTGCCATGAGTTCAAAGTGAACATGAGCTACAAGGTAAAACCTGTCTTTGGGGATGTGGGGGGAATAGAACTAGAGGGATGGCTTAGAGGTTACCAATATATATGTACTGCTCTTAGCAGAAGGTCAGTTACCAGCACCCACGGAGGCTCACAACCACCTTTTAAATCCAGTTCATAGGCTCAGGCACCAACATGTAGCAAATACATAAACATTCATGTACAAATGTTTTTAAGTAGGTTAATTATAGAACATGTAAACATCGATTTCTGTTGTGTTTTTTACTTTGGACTGCTCTTCCAGGTTCCTCACCAATACCATTTGATTTTGAGGCTCAAATTTACAAGTCCACCTTGTTTCCTGAGTGCGAGGGTTACACGGTTGTCTACAACAGCTGGCTATCAGCATCCTTTGGATAAATTGTAACAGTTTTTCCTCTCATAGCTGTATACTTAGCAGCAACAAAGACAAATTTTCCCTGGCTATAACTGTGGGATTTCAGCTTAGCAGGCTGCGCTTGTCTTGCAGATGAGAGGTTTAAGATTAGAGCAGTTTAGCATTCAGTTCTGTAAATGTAAGTGAAGTAGTTGAGCCATGTTAGATGACCCATGTTGATTTCTGTGGGGCTTTGAACTGGCCAGAACTGAGGAGTAAACCCTCCCCTCCCCCTTTGTCACCAAGACTGGCCAAGGGTTAAAATGCTACCTGAGGGGAAGTGAAGATACTAATTCAAAGGTAATGTCACTGATGCCAAGACCTTTGAATACTATAGAGATTCGAACATAAAGCTGATTGCATTGTTTCCAAAAACAAAACTCCCAGAATTTGGTTGTTTCAGTGAATAATACAAGCATATGAACTTAAGAATTAAAATTTTATTTCCAAGTTCATCTTTCCTATATCAGAGCAAATATTTAATGGCGTTTATATGTCCTCTTAAAAATATGCCCCGAAAGTTTTTCACACATCTTTGTCACTAGACATAGATCTTAAGAGCTAGCCAGTGATGATAACATGGACATATAGGCCAGTACACTGAAGGTAGTTATAAACTTAAAAGATTTTGCCTTTGATTGTTTGGTTGCTTGCTATGGCATGTGTGGAGATCAGAGACAAGTTGGTGCTTTCCTACCTTTATGTAGGTACTGGGGATGGAACTCAGGTCACAAAGCTCGTACTTACTGTAAGCATTTTATTCCCTGAAACAAACATCTTGCTGGCTTTTTTTTTTTTTTTCTTAACAAGAACTGATGTGCAAATGATGCTCTTGTATCCCTGCTTCCGCCCAAGTGTTGAAATTATTGGCATGGAAAATGTTGAGCCTTCCTTAGTTTTGTTTTGAGGCTCTGCAGGCTGAATAGGAAACACCTGCTGGTATTCTGTGACTGTGTAAAGGTCTTTAAAAGGTGTATGAGTACGAGTTCTTGTGGATTAGCCATATGCTTTTGATTTGCTTTTTGCTTAGGTCAGGATCCCAATGTGACATCAGTGCGTGTTCTTTTATTTTGTACACTTTTAGTATGTATATCGGGGTAGAGTCATTACTTGGATGTTCCTTTTGGTATATATATTGAGGACACAGATGCATACCTTGGTTCCCAGCTCCCATATCCACAGAATCCATCGTCAGGTAGGGCGGGCGAGTGAGGAGCCGTACCTGCCACACACCCAGAAGTCAACAGAACTAGAAAAACCCGAGGTGGGTCTCTGCGGAGCCCGGAAGCCCTTTGCTCCTGTATAAGAGCACAACACAGAGACTTGACCCTAAGAGTCGCTTCTTCTCTTGCGCACTCTAGTGGCCTAGCCGGGGAGTAAAGGCAGAACGAGTGGGTGGGGCCGGGATGACGGAAATGAAGTCACTTCCGGGCTAGGCTGTTTGTTTGGACTGGAGAAGGGAGGCGGCGGGCGAAGCGCACGTCGAGCGGGGGAGCGGCGCTGCCTGTGGAGATCCGCGGAGGCCGACAAGATTCGTTGGCTGCCGTCCCCGCTGCCGTGCACTGGGTGAGGGGTCCCTTCGGACGGAAGGCTGTGAGGGCGCGGCGACTCCGGCGGTCGAGAGGCCACGGGGGGGCGAAAGGGGCCGCCCAGGCCACGGGCCACCGAGCCCGGTTTGACCTCGGTTGTTCCTGACCCATTTCCGCCGAGTCTGAGGGATAAGCTGGGACAGGCTCCATCTATCCGAAATGGCCTTCGCTCATTTCTCTCAGTACTTACTGCGGTCGCACAGTCCTCTATCCGGGTCTTTAGTGGCGCGCGAGTGTTGCCGGGATAGCACTTTCTTGTGTTCCTCGGTCTCTTTTTTGTTTTGTTTTGTTTTGTTTTGTTTTAACCCTGTCCAGTACCTTTTCCCCTGCGTCCCCCAGCCCTCCCCCCCCCTTTGCCGCTTGGGCAACAAAGCTCATTGTTTCTACCCACTATACGCCTGCGCGTTGCCACGCGCTGCCGCTTCTGCTGCGCCTGCGCGTTTCTGCCGATGCTGGGGTTTGGGGAGAAAAGGGACAGGCAGGCTGGCGGTGTCTCAGGGGAGCACTCTGTAACGGTCGAACGGCTTGTATCTTTTTCCACCTCTTCCATTCCTTCACCGTCCCTACCCCTTTATTTTAAGCTTTATCACGTGCTTCAAATAGGCCTGTTGTTTGGGGGCCCTGGGAACACTTAAACCAGCAAGGCTTTAGCTAGATGAATTTAAAAGGTCCTTTCAGTTCTTACAATTTGATGCTGTTCCTCTTACTTTTCATGAATATGTGCTTATTCACCACCTCTACTAGCTCAATGAAAGGAAAGAGGATAGTAGGGATTCTGGTGTAGTTAATTTTTTAAAATGTGTTGCAGCAGCCCGCGGTACTTTCTTAATACATGCTAAAAGACTTGGTTTATTATCTTACTTTTCTTGATTTTGCATTCCCAAGCCCTAGAAAGCATTTGGTTTTCAATTTGCTGACAGCCTTTGATACTTATTTCAGTAAATGCTCATTTTGCTTGTGCTGACTGAGCGTTTCTTGTGTCACGGTGTCACGTTTTTGGCACGTTTCATTTAGCAGGTAATAGGTGTTGATTCATTAAGTAGCATCTGAAATTTCAGCTGTAGGTTGTTTCAGCTAGGAAAAGGGTCTATGCAAGGACTTGAATGAGACCCAGTACTTGCTGTTTTGTGGCTCTGATTGTGGTTTGTGAATGACAGGATATTGAGAACAGTCTCTTTGTGTTAGTTAATGACCTTGAACAAAACCAGTCTCAGAAGTATGTATCACAAAGATAGGTAACTTTCAAAAAATTATACCCTATTTATCTGTTTCTTTAGGGGATGGGGGGAATGGCGATTCACTGTAATGGTTAAAGGCTGTGCATATTGGTCCTTGAGAACTCAATCTGAGGTAGGTAATTTCTATCCTCTTTGGAACAGAGTAAGTTTATAGCGGGTTTTTCCAAAATAAGTAACAAATTTTATTCAGGTTTATCACTTTATGACCCTAGCTAGTGATGCCTTCATTTTAATGAAAGTTTTAAAATGTCCACTGTTATAGCAGCTTTAATGGATACTGTGCAAGATTGACGGTAGTATTTAATAAGCTTTTGCTCTTTCACATCATTTTGTAATTTATAAAGCATTTTCATATTCATGACAACTTGTGGAAATAGAGCAAGTTTTTTCTTACCTACTTTAAAGTTGAGAAAACAGGAGCATGACAGAATATTTAGCAAGTGCACTTAATGTTAGGCAGCCAAGCATGGTGGTGCACGCCTTTAATCACAGCACTTGGAAGGCAGAGGCAGGCAGATCTCCATGAGTTCGAGGCTATCCTGGTCTACAAAGTGAGAGCCAGGACAGCCAGGGCAACACACAGAGAAACCCTGTCTTGAAAAACTACAATAATAATGCTAGGCATTGGTCTAAGTACTTTTGTAAATATTAATTAAACTAGATATGATGGCTGGATGTGGTGGCAAACGCCTTTGATTCTAGCCCTTGGGGGCAGAGGCAAATATCTGAGTTCAAGGCCAACCATAGCTACATAGTGATATCGTGTGTGGGGGCGGGAATACTTGAAATATGACAGGTTCAACTAAAGTATATTTTAATTAAAGTGACTTTAATTGGCACATGGCTGAAGGGGTTGAATTAAGTCTTAAATTTTAATACCTAGTTATATAGAATAGTGTTTCTGATGTTGACCTTATGACTAAAATGATAGAGAATAATGAGCCATCCCTTACTCTTTTAACATTAGAGGTTAGTGTTTTATAGCTTTTGGCTTTTTGTTTTGTGTTGTTTGCAACAACCAGCATCTCCAGCCCTTTGAGGCAGAGTCTTGATAAACTGACCAGACCACCTACCTCTTTCTTCCTAAGTAGCTAGGATTTTTGGCATGTGCCACCACACTGGCAGGTTCTAGCCTTTAACATTATTTCACCCCTACTGTATAAGACCAGTGAAAAAATAAAAATACATATATGTACACACACGTATACAGATATATGTATACACTCACACTCATGGCAGGGGTAGGTGGATTCTCTTAGTTTGAGACCAGATTGGTCTACCTAGCAAGTTAAAGGACAGCCAGGGCCACAGTGAGACCCTGTCTATAAATAAGGAGACACCAGGGCTGCATAGCTGTAATCCTAGCACTTTGGAGATGAAGGCAGAAGCATCAGGAGCAAGACCATTCTTGGGTTGCAAGACCCTGTATGAAGAAGGAGAGATGGTAGCTCAGCAGTTAGGAATACTTTGCTCTTACAGAGGACTCAGATTCTGTTCCAGCATCCACATTGTGAGCTTCAATTCAGTATCTTTTGCTCAATCTGTCCTCAGGCAGAAGAGGGTCCATGTAAAATATGTGTAGGCAAAACACACACGTAAAATTAATCTTTAAAAAAAAAAAAACTTTATTAGATTATTTTACTCCATGCCTATGAGTGTTTTCCTGAATATATGTATGTGTGTCATCAGAGATAGAAGGGTGGGAGTAGGATTTCCTGGAACCAGAGCTAAAAGATGGTTGTGAGCTGCTATATAGGTACTGGGAATTGAATCTCTGTAACAGGTGCTCTGAACTGCTGAACCACCTTTCCAGCCCTGAGTACTGTCATTATTCCCCATTTTACCTGTGAGGAGGTGAGACTTGTCCTTACACATTATTAGAATAAAGCAGACTGATGATAGCTGTCTTCCATTTGTTTTGTTTTCCCTAAGGCAGGGTTTTGGTGTATAGCCTGCCTAGCCTGAAACTCTAGAGAGCTGCCTGTTAAAGTACTGGGATCAAAGGCATCCTTCACTCAGCACCCCCTTGCCGGCAGCTACTCCCTTTTTCTGTGTTTTTCTTTTTTCCTTTTGAAAATACTATGTCTATGTTCATAGTACAGTCTAGCCTTAAACTCCAGATTTGTCCCCTTCAGTCTCCCATGTGCCAAGATTACAAGTGTGCCTCACTGGCTGGCTCTTAGGATGCTCTTCTAAACATTAAGACAGAAATGTCATGCTTCCCAAAAATTTCTGTGTGGAAAAGGACCAATGAAAATAGTTTTCTCCTTTGTGAAGTTTGTTTTGTTTTTGAGACAAAGCCTTAATGCATAGCCCAGGCTGGCCTGGAACTTGATATGTGGTCTAGGATGGCCTCAAACTCAGGGCAGTCTTTCTACCTCAACCCCTTGCGTGCTGGAATTACAATGGGCATCACCATGCCTGATGGGATATTTGTTTTTACTTAACAGCTGAAGAGACTGGTAGACTGTGTATGTGGCATAAAGAGTGCTTAAATCGAAGGAGTCGGTTCAGAGTACAGTCTAAAGAAGAAAGGTGAATGCCTGCGAAGACAAATTAATGAAAGAAACAGATGATTCTATTTGAATTTTAATGAAAATTCTTAGGAGATGAAACTAGTGGAGAAAGATAATAAAACCATATTTTAAATTTTAATAGCAATATAAAAGAATACTTCTGGAAACCAGTATGTGAGGAATTTCAGGTAGGAACAAAGAGATCATGGTCTACCGAAAACAAGTTCCTAAGTTGAAGGGCTTAGCTGATTTCTAAGCAGCATTAATGGGAAAAAAAAATACTACTATATTTAACAAAAGTCTAGTAAAATTTATGAATCTAAGTTTTAAAACCTCTGTCTCCTCCTCTCTCCTACCTTTTATATTGATGCTAAAACCCACGTAACAGGCTAATGAGTGCTCTAAATCCCTTGTCAGCCCTATCCTATTTAGGTGGGTTGTTACTTGTTTTGTGGTGCTGGGGATTTAATTTAGAGCCCCAAGATAGCAAGCACTCTATAACTGTGCTGTATTCCCCGCCCAATGGGTTCCCCCTACCTTTTTTTTTTTTTTTAATTTTGAAGTGTCGTCTTAATAGGTTATGCAGGCTAATCTTGAACTTACACTGTACAGCCGAAGCAAGCCTGCAGTTTAGATCTGATCCTCTGCTGTGTAGAGATTACAGGCATGAGGTGCTATGCTTGGCTATCTGTCCAGTCTTAAACAGGATATTTACAAGGGGAAGAAAATTAATTTCCTATGGTAGTGAAACTTGAAATAATTTATATTTACTAGAATTACAAAAATCTAAAAATTTGATTGCAACTAAAGTTTCTACTCATATATGAATGCAACAGACATTTTTGAACATGCAGTGGTTTGGAAATGCAGAATTCCAGGCAAACTTTAGGAAAAAAGTCTTTAAGTTAAAACAGAACAGGGAGCTGGAAAGATAACTGATAAAGAACACTGGTGGCTCTTCCAAACCCAGGTTTGATTCCTGGAACCACATCATGGCTCACAAGTATCTCTACCTTGAGTTTCAGAGGCTCCTGTGCCCTCTTCTGCAGCCACCAGGCATGTATATGGTGCATGGACATCCACTCAAGCAAAATACTTCTATATAGAAAATAAGAAAAATTAAAAACAGATTCTACCATCCAGAAAGCTCTGCATCCTCATTTCTTTCTCTTGTAAAAAAAAGTCCAGCTTCCTGTGGGTTGGGAATAGATCCTGATTGCTGGCGGTAGCAATTGATCCTTTAGAAAGTACTGCTGTTCCCTTATTCCAAGGGCTGCTCAAGTTGTTGCCAGGATCAAGTCCCCAAAGAGGCAGGAAGCAAGTGCAGTAGCTATGTTAATTAGGATTCCCTGGGCCTGCATGTTAATAGAATGACATACATAACTTCATAGGATTTTTTGTGTGTGCACATGTGACCCATTCCTTTCATTCCTTTTTCTGTGAAATGTGACAATAAATTCATGCAAATTAATAGTAAAATTCAAATGTATCAAGTAAAGAGAATATAATATAAGAGACAAGGATGGATGTTGAGCATGGCTGAGGCCTGTAATGTCAGTTACTTGTGAAGCCCAGAGAGGATGGTCTCTAATTCACTTTCAGCCTAATTTACATAGTAAACTTGTCAGAAAGAAAGGCTGCCAGGCAAGGTGAATATGCCTGTAATCCCAGCACTCAGGGAAGCAGAGTCGGGTGGATCTCTGAGTTCAAGGCCAGCCTGGTCGATAAAGCAAGTCCAGGACAGCCAAGGCTACACATCGAAAACCTGTCGGGGGGGGGGGGGGGGGGGGGAGAAGCCTGGGGCTAGAGAGATGACTCATGGTTTAGAGCACTTGTTGGACTGGAAAGGACCTGAGTTTGGTTCCCAGCAGCCACATAATGGCTCTCAACTGTCCTATCTGTAATTCCAAGGGATATGATGCCCTCTTCTGACCTCCGCAGACTATGCAAGCATGTATGTAGTGCACATATATACGTAGAAACAAAGCATTCATACACAAACAATAAATCCAAAAGAACTAGGCCTGTGGGTCAGTGGTAGGCTGATTACCTAGCATAAATGAGGTCTTCCTTGGGTTTCATTCCTCAGTACTACAAATAAAGAAAAATGATGGTGAACAATGGATCTAGTAAAATCAAAGATGGTAATATAAATTGTCAAGTATTTAAAAGCTACATGCTAGGGCACTCAGGAGAGCAGGCCCTGCACCTCACCTGGGCAGCATAGTAGCTGGCCCTGGTGGTGAAAAGAGAGGATGAGCCAGCCCAAGGGCAGGAGAGCTGGTCCTACCCCTTGCCTGCTTCAGCATTGGGTGAGCTAGCCAGGGAGGGCTGGAGAGTGTGCCCTGGTGGTGTGGGTGCAGGAGAGTTGTGGGCTGACCAACTCAGTTGATACCCAAGCCCAGATCCAGACTTTGAGTTAGCTCACTCCATCCAGCATCTGTCATATCTTTGAACTTCTGGAGTGAGTGAAGGAGCCAGTCCTGCAGATCCAAAGCTCCAGGGTATCTGAGTGGAGTCCCCATAAGGATCCAGTATTGATGGGGTAGCAGAAGCCAGAGGACTCAAACTGCAGCAGTGACTCATTGCAGGAAACATGTTTTGTTTGGGGTTTTTGTTTTGGGGTGTGTGTGTTTGTATTTTCTTTTGGGAGGGAAGTTGCAAGGGTAGAGAAGGGATGGTGAAGAGTGGTATTGGGTGCATGGTGTGAAATTTACCACGAATCAATAAAACGTTTTTTTGTTTTGTTTTGTTTTATTTTTAAGGTACATACTGGAATCTGGAGAGATGGCTCGGGTTAAGAGCTCTTAACTGTAGAGCTCTTGCAGGCAGCCAGAGTTAATTCTTAGCACCTACAGAGGTGACTCACAATGCCTAAAACTCCAGCTCCAGGGGATACAGTGCACTCTTCTGGCCTCTACAGAGGCACCTGTACTTACATACACGAAAAAAATTAAAGTTGTGCACTAGCTGATTCTGGTAACAACGGCCTGTAATCTTGGTATTCAGGAGACTGAGGCAGGAGGATCATGAGATCAGGGATAACCTGTTATATATAGAGACCATGTGTTTTTTTCCTCCACTCTCAACAAAAGAACTGAGTAGACAGCCTAAATGCTACAGCATTTACCTGGCTTGTATTCAGATGCCCTGGGTGTGATCCCTGCACATTCAGATGTGTAAGAAAAACATTGATGTGTAGAGCATATTTTTAACTCATAGGAAAATAACTTTCAGAAAACAAACATTGTGGGGAAAATATTTAATGAAATCTAAAAAGAAGGGTAAGAAAATTAAACATGGAATTACGGTGGAAAATATAAAACCAGTCATCAAAAATGTTAAAAGCCCAACTTGATATGGTGGCAAGGCCTTTACTTCCAGCACTTGGGAGGCAGAGGCAGGCAGATCTCTCTATGAGGCCAGCCTGGTTTGTGTAACTGAGTTTCCAGGACTATATAGGGAGAATCTTACCTAGAATAAAAAAACAAAAATGTTGACACCCTGTGAGACAAGATTGAAAGACTAGGCAAAAAACAGAATTTTTATTTTGTAAACAATTTAGAATTTAACAGATCCATACAGGCCTATAATCTGGTCACTTAGGAAGTGGGGACAGGAAGGCTGGGGGTTCAGGAGCAAAATCAAAATTCAGCACAATTTTATTACCTAACAAAAAACAAACAAAAAAACCTGTTACCTGTTCTGTCACCTTTACTGTTTCTTTTTACTATCAGTAGAGAGTCAAATGCTCTTTTCTTTTTGCCTCTTAATTTGCGTAGTCTGATATTTCATATATGTGGAATCATAAAATATGTGATTTGTTGTTTAAACCCTGTTTAAGACGTGGTTTCTCTGGGTAGCTCTGGCTGCCCTGGAACTTGCTTAGTGTTTTTATTTGGGAGGGATTCGTGACAGGGTTTCTCTTTGTAGCCCTCTGGCCTGGAACTCACAGAGGTCAGCCTCTAAGTATGCCTGTGCCCTCTGTGTGCAGTACCCCAGGAAGTCAGAAGAGGGCCTCCAGTCCCCTGGAGTTTCAATTATGAGCTGCCCTGTAAGTGCTGAAACTAAAGAACCCCCCTAGTCCTCTGGAAAAAGAGCTAGTGCTCTTAACCACCGAGCTATTTAACCAACCCCACCCTGTTTGTTTTGGTTTTAAACAACATCTCAGCAAGATGTGGGGCTTTCTGACTATCCAAGTCTGGCTGACAAGCCCCAGGGATTCACCTCTCCCCATGCTGACATTACGGCATATGCCACCACACTCAACTTTTTATTTGGGTGTTGGGATTGAAATTCAGAACCTCGGGGACTGGAGAGATGGCTCAGTAGGTAAGAGCATTGGCTGTTCTTCCAGGGGTCCTGAGTTCAATTCCCAGCAATGACGTGGTGGCTCACAGCCTTCTATAATGTGCTCTGATGCCCTCTTCTGACATACAGGTGCACATGCAGATAGAGCACTCATGTACATTAAATAAATCTTTAAAAGAAAAAAAAATTCAGGACCTCATGTTTGCATGAAAAGCACCTGACTAGTTTTTTGGGTTTTGTTTCTGGTATTTGTTTTTTGTTTGTTTGGTAAGAGGGGCTCTTGCTATATAACTGGCTGGTATGTTGTTTGCTATGTAGCCCAGGCTAGCATTGAATTTACAGTAGCCCCTTGACTAGGCTTTCCAAGTATTGAAGTTATTTTGATTGTTCTCAGTCAATAGCTTGCTCTGTAGCCCAGGCTGGCCCCAACCTGCTTGCTACCTCACTTGGCTCTTGGCCTTCAGGATTTCAGGCACGCAGCACTGTACCTGCCCCGTGTGTCACCGCTGTAGAGGGGGTGAGACCTGGAGGAAGTGGAGCCAATAAATGAGGCTGACTAAAACCTCCTGCCATAGCCAACTTCATTCAGAGCCTCAGACAGGCTCAGAGCCTCTGGGGTTAAGAAAGGTCACGTGAGTAAGGGTCTCATGAGTTCAGGCTGTATACAAGAACAAGCCCACACATGGAATAAGGGTTTTTCCAGCGGCATATAAAGACTGGTTTATCGTTTAATTGATTAGCAGCAGCAAGCAATAATGAGTAACTCCTATCAACAACACCTGGGAGGAACACAGAAACATAGTCAAGAACATTTACAAGTTTTTAGGTAACCAAGGTCACATACTCTTTTTCTTAAGTATATACCTAGGAAATGGAATTGCTGAGCCAAATGATAGTCCTTGTTTAAACTACTGAAGGCCTGCCATGATATTTTACAGAGCAGCTGTGGCATCCTGCCATCCATGAGGGTTTTACTTCTTTTAGTATGGCTCTCCAGAGGGTGTGGTTTGCTATCTCATTGTAACTGTGGTTTATATTTCTCTAATGGATAATGTTAAAATTTTAAACTCTGCTTGGCCTGGACTCAGCAGAGATTTGTCTTCCTTTGTTTTCCTGAGTACTGGAGTCAAGGTGTGAGCTTTGTTTTTTATAAGCCATCTGTTTGTCTTTCATGTATCTGTATAACTTAATTCAAATCTTTTGCCTAATTTTATTTGATGGGCTTTAAAATCTGTTTTGATGAAATGGGTTTTTCTCCCCCTGTGTACTATAGAGTAAACACAGGCCCTCATACATACTCCCCGCCCCCCCGCCCCCCAACCCAGGGTTTCCCTGGCTGTCCTGGACTCACTCTGTAGATCAGGCTGGCCTCAAACTTACAGAGATTGACACTGCCTCTGTCTCCGAAATGCTGGGATTAAGATGTGTGCTATCACCGCCTGGCATGCTAATCCCTCTTAGTGCTTTACCATTAAGTACCCCCAGCCAGCCCAAAAGTATTTAAGACAGCATCTCACATAGCCCAGGCTAGGCTCAGACTTCCTATGTGGCTGAGGATAGTCTTGAAATTCTGATCTCCTACCTCTCCAGTGCTGGGATTGGTCATAAATGTCACTCCACACCTGTGTAGCATGTTCTCTTCTTGGAAGTCTTTGTGGTACTTTCAAGATCTTGATTCTTTCAAATTTTGCTTTTATTCATGGGATATTCTTGTGAAAAGCATGTGTGCTTTTTCTAGTACAGTCATCTTTCTTGTATTTTTTTTTTTCGAATGTAGATGTCTTTATAATTTCTATTCAGTAGTGAATGGTGCATTTCATGAGATCGCTGTGGATTCTCAGCATCTCTTGTCATAATCTTTGAACACTTTTTCTAGAATTTTACTTATTTTACTTTTTCTTTTTCTTTTGAGACTTGAGTCTCACTTTCAATGCTGACTAGCCTGGAAGCTGCTGCTTAGACCAAGCTGGCCCCTGAGTCACGGAGGCCCACCTGTCCCTACCTCTGAGCACTGGGAGTAGAGGCCATCGTGCTGGATGGAGACTGTTGGTTTGTTAAGCTTATGGCAAATGTGACCTACAAGAAACCCCACACCTTTGTCTCTGTGTAGTGCCCTTTGAACCTTCTGAGCCCTAAACATAATTGTATTCATTAAAGACAGCATCAACTAAATGTCCAGTTGAACCTCTTTGCCTGTTTTTAAGTTGGGGTGATGGTGTTTCTGTTGTTTCTTTGGCCAGGTCACACTATTGCCTGAATTTGTGTACAAGTGACTGCTGTTATGCATCTCTTTTTTAGCAGTTTCAACTTAACTAGTAAAATAGTAAAGAATCTGAAATTCCATGTTTTAGTTTTTAGCCTCAGTTCAGATCCACCTGCCTCTTCATCCTGAGTACTGGAATTAAAGATTTGTGCCACCAACCTGAGTAGCCTAATTTTTATAGGTAATTAATTAGGTTACCTTAAGTTATTTGCTGGTGAGTAGATTGTGAGAAATAATATCAAATATGAGCAAATGACTATCATTGTCTTTGGAATAAAAGAGCTACTGATATAAAATCCTAAGCATGTTGGTAATTGTGCTTAGATGTTAAATTGTTATATTTGACACTAATTATAATGCACATGCTACCACCCCTAATCTCAACTAAAATTATACCATTAGTACATTTGCCAAACTCTTAACTGAGAGTGTCCAGTGTGCTCACAGTAACCTTGATTATTTTTATTTATTACACACTAGGGTATATCACAGCATGCCTCACAGGGTGCGTGTGGAGGTCAGAGAACAACAGTGGCAGAAAGACATAAGAATCCTCCGAGATTCCATAAACTCTATAGCTTGGAGTATCTGCCACAGTAGTGCTGCCTCAACAAGATGGAAGACAACCTACTCTAGAAAACTGCCCTCTATGGGGATGGAAAGATGACTCAGAGGTTAAGAGCACTGGGTGTTCTTCCAAAGGTCCTGAGTTCAACCACATGGTGGCTCACAACCATCTATAATGAGATGCCCTCTTCTGGTGTACAGGCAGAGACCTGTATAAAAAATCTTTTTAAAAAGAAAGAAAAAAAAAATTGTCCTCTGATCTCCACATACACATGGCTGCACACAAAATTGCCAGACAGGGTTTCTCTGTATAATCCTCACGCTGTAGACCAGGCTGGCCTCGAAGAGATCCTTTTGCCTCTGCTTCCCAAGTGCTAGGATTAAAGGCGTCGCACCATCACCACCTGGTAAACATAAATATTTCAAGAGTTATTTTTCAGTTTTAGTTCTGGGACTTAACTGAAATCAAGTTTTAAAGAATTTTCTGGGGCTGGAGAGATGGCTCAGTGGTTAAGAGCACTGTCTGCTCTTCTAAAGGTCATGAGTTCAATTCCCAGCAACCACATGGTGGTTCACAACCATCTATAGTGTGAACTGATTCCCTATTCTGGCAGGTGTAAATGCAGATAGAACACTCATATACATAAAATAAATAAATCTTTTTTTTTTTTTTTTTTAAAAGGAATTTTCTGGCTGGGCACAGAGATGTGCTTTTTAATCCCAGCACTGGAGAGACAGAAGCAGGTAGATCTCTGTGAATTCAAGGACAGCCTGGTCTACATAGTTCCAGGACAGCCAGAACTACATAGTGAGACCCTGTCTCAAAAAAACAAAACAAATTATTACTATTTTTAAGATACGGGAGCCAACAAGATGACTCAATGGATAAAGGCTTATTTGCCTATAAGCCACAGCCCACGTGGTAGGAGGAGAACACCAGTTTATATAAGCTGTCCACTGGTTTTCACACACATTCCATGACCTGTGCATAACCCCTGCTCATAGTTTGAGACAGTCTTCCTATGTAACACTAACTCTGCTGGACCTTGATATGTCAGCCAAGCTGGCCTGGAACTTCAGATATCCACCTGCCTCTGACTGTTGACACAAAAAATAAAAAATTTAAAAAGTAGCTGGCACCAGACCTGTGGCTCTTCACACACACTGAAGAGTTTCCTACTTGTGTCTGTCGAGACTTGCCCTCAGCTGTTTCATTGGAAAAGAATGTAGCATGTGCCTCTAATACCTTAATGAGGCATGCTCATGAAGAACTAAAAAAATGATTATATTTTACTTTAAAGGTTAAAAACGACAACGAACACCAACCATGAAAGATCCAAGTCGCAGCAGTACTAGCCCAAGCATCATCAATGAAGATGTGATTATTAACGGTCATTCTCATGAAGATGATAATCCATTTGCAGAGTACATGTGGATGGAAAATGAAGAGGAATTCAACAGACAAGTTAGTTTTGTATACAAACGTGTTTTTGTTTTGTTTTTTCCCATAGCTTCATCTCTCTGAAATATGCACTTGGCCCTGAACTGTGCGTGTCTAGGTCTTTATATGCACTGTAAGGATGTATGTGCTACCACTCCTGTTTCATTTGACTGCTCATCACTGCCAGGCTGAAGAGCTCATTGAAATTACTTGGGTAGCTTGTTTCAGGTTCCCACCCTAAACATTGATTCAGAAGACTAGGGTGGAGCCTGGGAAACATAAAAAAGCTCCCAGATAGTTTCATTTTGGAAAGCATTGCCTTAATCCAGTCATATCTCTGTATTACACTGCAAATCCAAGAAAATTTAGAAAACTGGAACAAACAGACCACAGACATCAAAATTGGTCTGGTTTTCACTGGAGAGCCTCAGTCTTAGTCAGTCTGTAAGAATCTGCTGCTACTTCTCTTCAGAGAAGTCTGATATATTGAAAGAGGTCATCTTTGAATCCTATGTTTCTACTATCTATTCTCATTCTCTCACTTCCAGTCCTAATCACAGTTTCAGAAATCATTAGTAGCCCAACTTCTCTAAAGCCTATGATGAACATTCCAGAGTGAAATAGTTCAGGCTTGAGTCAATTGAGGTGGGTTTTTTGGTTTGGTTTTGCTTTTTTTTGTTGTGTTTTTTTTTTTTTTTTTGTTTTTTGGGTTTTTGGGTTTTTTTGGTGGGGGGGGCGGGGGGGGTTCACCCTGTAGTCCTATTGGCTAGAATTTGTAGACCAGGCTGTGCTGGAACTCAGATCTACCTGTCTGGTCTGCCTCCACCTTCTTAGTGCTGGCTGGAATTAAAGCCTTGAGCCGTCACGCCTGAGTTTAAGATCTGCTTTTACTCTTTGTGTGTGTACAAGTTCCTGCAGAGGCCAAAAGAGGGCATTGGCTCCCACAGAATTGGAGTCACAGGCAATTGTGAACTGCCTACCATGGGTGTTGGGAACCAGACGTGGGTCCTGCGCATGAAGAGCAAGCACTCTTTCCCAGCGAGTCCTTTCTTCAGTCCTTAGGTTTTGTGTTTGTTTTGTAGGGCTGAGGGCTCACCTTGTCTACTCCCTCACACCTAGATCAGTTGGGAGATTTTGCTGCTGTTTTAATCTCTACCTTTTTTTTTTTAACCATTTATTTATTTTATGTGCGTTGGTGTTTTGCCTACATGTATGTCTATGTGAGGATGTCAGAGCCCCTGGAACTGGAATTACAGACAGTTGGGAACTGTAATGTGGATGCTGGGACCATGGGCCCTCTGGAAAAGCAGTCAGTGCTCTTAACCCCTGAGCCATCTCTCCAGCCTTAATCTCTACCTTTTAGAGATTTTCGTCTTTATGGGGTTGGATTAGGGCTTGGATGTTTTAAGGCTTCTTAAATAATTCTGAAAAATATTTCTTAAAGAGATCACTCCATTACTTTCTCCTTGCTAGTCTCAATGGAAAAGAAGAAAAAAAAACCTTCTGTAGAGACAAGGAAAGACCTAAAATAATCCTAAACAGAGCTTCCTAGGTCTTTGTGGTAGTTTGGGGCTTTTTTTTTTTTTTTTTTTTTTTTTGGTAGTACAGAAACAGGGAAGAAAGTTTCTAACTTTTGATATTTTTTTTCTTTTGGATTTTCAAGATAGGGTTTCTGTGTAGCCCTAGCTGTCCTAGACTCACTGTGTAGACCAGGCTGGCCTGCCTCTGCCTCACTGAGTGCTAGGATTAAAAACCTCTGCCACTGCACTCAGCTTAACTTACGAATTTTGATGTTGGGAGATCAGACCCAAGGCCTCATTCATAGTAATAATGTACTCTGCCAAGGAGTTACACTTCCAGCTCTGATATTGTGGGGTTTTATGTGTATAGAAACTCAACCATTCTCATATCTCAGCCTCCTAAGATTACAGGTGTGCACTACTGTGCCTGACTGTTAGGAAGCATTGGAGAAAGAGGCTCATTCTGTATTACAGGCTGGTCTGGAACTCATGGTAGTCATTTTACCTTTTTCTTCATGTGCTGAGATAAATTAAAACCCACAGGACTAGCCACATTATGGTTTGATTTAGTTCTGTTCTTTTTTGACAAGGTCTCTGTATAACCTTCCCTCCTCCTAAGTGCTGGGATTAAAGGGCACACCCGGCCCTTACATTGTGATTTCAAATATTTTAAGGCCACTCATGGAAGCAGAGGCAAGCAGATATCTGTGAGTTCAAGGCCAACCTGGTCTACAAGGCAGGTCCAGGACAACCAAGGCTACACAGAGAAGCTCTGCCTCAAAAAAAAAAAAAAAAAAATTAAGATATTTACTGATGTCTTAAGCAGATATGCTATGATTACCACCTGTTTGTTGTAAATTTAGATAGAAGAGGAGTTGTGGGAAGAAGAGTTTATTGAACGCTGTTTCCAAGAAATGCTGGAAGAGGAAGAAGAACATGAATGGTTTATTCCAGCTCGAGATCTCCCACAAACTATGGACCAAATCCAAGACCAGTTTAATGACCTTGTTATCAGTGATGGCTCTTCTCTGGAAGATCTTGTGGTAAAAAGTCATTTGTCTTTTTAGACCCCACCTCATCTCCCATAAGTGGAAAACCCAGCTACTCTATTTAAGAAGAGTTCCACATCTCTCCTTTGAAATTTTTTCTACTTTTTAGGAGTAGAAACAGAGGTCCCCATCTTATTGATGATACGGTACCTCCTTGTTGCTGATTTCAACCTTGATGCTGCATTAAACTTAAATGTTGCTCTTAGAATATTTAAATGTCTTTGGTGGTCCAAAAACTTACAGTAGTACCATATGACTTGATTATATAAAAAGTATCTTGATAAGGTTTGCTCTTTAATTTTGGCCTGAAAGTTTGGTGAAATTTAGAAATTTTTATCTGATAAGTTTTCTGAGATCTCCTGACTGAGTTTCTTTGAGATACTTTTACAAGCTCTTGGCAGAAAAAGAGTGCAGACCTAGATTCATATTCTTATTTATTCTTAGTCTTGTCATTGGTAATGTGCTGGCAATAAAGTTTTCATCACTAAAGTAGAACCTAATGAGTCTTTTACTACAATTAAGATAAAAGATTTTTTTTTTTTGTTTCGTACAGTGTTTGAAACAGGATTTCACTCTTAACAGTCCAACCTGGAATTCAGGCATAGCCCTGACTAGCCTCAAACTTGGAGCAATCCTCACACCCCAGCCTATCAAGACCTAGAATTACAAGCATGAGCCACTGTGCTCACAAGATTTTGAAATTGGATTTTTTTTTTTTTTCCCCTGGTCTTGGATGCTCACCTTTCTAGCCGAAAGAATTCTCTGGAATTCGTGGGCTCTGCAATTTGTCAATTGCTATCACTTTATTATGCATTAGTTTACTAAGCTGTTCATGTCACCTAAACCTGAAGAATTGGGCTTTAAGCATGATAATTGTTTAAAAGTATCCCAACGGAGTCATTTTACAGTCATCCTCTCTACCAGGCTTTTGGAAAACGTTCTGCTGCTAAAGGACAATATAGAAAACACCAGAATTCACATTGTGGTTTAACCTTCCTTGCAGTAAATTACAGTAACCCACCTGTTGGGACATACTTGCTCAAGGTCTTCATTAGTCATTGTCACATAATGCTCTGGTGAACAAAGGCCTTTGCTGGGCTTAATGTATAACCTGGATTTGCATAAATCCATAAGGCAGAAACTGATCTGTGTGACTTGGACTATTTGAGATTATTTTAATTCATTCTTAAACTTCTCTAGCTGCCAAAAGATATTCAAGAATTCTTTTCTTTTACAATTAAACCTCTTAAAGATTTTTTTTTTTAAGATTTATTTATTATGATACATTGTTCTGTCTGCATGCACACCTGCACGCCAGAAGAGGGCACCAGATCTCATTATTGATGGTTGTGAGCCACCATGTGGTTGCTAGGGATTGAACTCGGGATGTCTGGAAGAGCAGCCAGTGCTGTTAGCCTCCTGAGCCATCTCTCCAGCCCCCACTTAAGGATTTTTATTTGTGTGTATGTAATGTTGATGGTCAAGCCCAGAATGTTCTGAATAGACATTTTTATCACTGAGCTGGTCTTAAAGTATAAATTTATTTCCCATGTGGGAAGGGAGAATATTTAATATTTTTCTAAATATGATATGTTAGTATTGCTCTTAAAATACATGATATTGGAATTAAATTCAGTTATGGGTGTTTTGTTTGTTTGGTTAAGCCTACCTGCGTGTCTACATTTACCACTGGAATCTCCCTGGTTTCTTTTTTATCAGATCCCAATGTTCAATGTGGAGATTTCCAGCTCTTCCTTTATATTGACATGTATGCATGCTTAGGAGAGTAAAACTGAAGAAGCAAAAATAATGCTAGTCACGTCTCTAGAGTGCTTAGAGACTTCGGCCCATTCTTCCAACTTGTTTTTAAGCTGGTGTGAAAATAAGTCACACAGAGGGTCATCTATCCAAGCTTACACAGGAATTTGGAATAGGTAGAGCTCAGGATTTCCAACTCGGGTCTTCTGTCTTCTCTGTAGTGTTCTTGTTACATACAGTGCTTCCTGTGAGAATGAGAACAGCAGTTGTAGAAAGATAATCTCCAACTTTTTAGTGACCGATCATTAATAAAATTCATAAATAGCCAACAGTGCCCCAGTTTGGAAGTATTTTCAGAGCATCAGGTACACTTGACAGAATTCCTTATTCTATGCTATTCCTTACAGTTTCTGTGAAGTTCCTGGGCTTCTTGTTTCACTTAGTGTCAGTTCCTTCTTTAGAAGTAGGTATAATAGGATATAGAGGCCAAGTGTGGTGAAACATACCTTTGACCCTGGCACTTGAGGGGCACAGGCTATTGGATTTCTGTTCAAGGCCAGCCAGGAGGACATAGACCTGTCTTCCCTGTCCCCTTTCTTCCCCCAAAAAAGGATATAGAGCTTATCTCACATTCTTTCTCTGCCATCGATTTTTGGGGTTAGGTATAACCTTATTGTCCACTCTTTTGTAGTTCTCTGGGAGGTATTTTTTACGTAAAGATCTAGGCTGAATGCTTCTGAGAAAATCCACAGATCCACAGCCATCTGTAATGAACTTGCTTTTTTTTTTTTTTTTTTTTTAATTATATGTACTTATTTTCCAGGTCAAGAGCAATCTGAATCCAAATGCAAAGGAGTTTGTTCCTGGGGTGAAGTACTAACATGTTGACTAGCCGGGCCCTCTTTTGGTGGATGTAGCACAATTTCCACACTGTGAAGGCAGTATTAGAAGACTTCATTGTAAAAGCTCTCGTCACTGTGTTACACTTATGCATTGCCAAAGTTGTTGTTAGTCTTGCATGCTTAATAAAAGTGCTGAGACTGTTACTGAGAAGCTGTCACACAGTTACTGAAAGTACAAGTGGCCCTGTGGCTTCATGTAAAGACAGCAATGGAAGAAGCACCAGTCAACTGTGACAAAGAACCAAATTAAATAACCTCCAAATCTCACTGAATTGTCTGTCATTGAGGCTGAACTGGTCCCTTAGGGTTAATTGACACTTTCAAATGTCTGCACTTTTTTAAAAAAAAAAAAAAAAAAAAGTAAATGAGTAAGTTTAAATTAGGTTCTGATTGTTAAACAGATTTCTCAGTTTCATTTGTCCATCAAAAATAACCTTTTCTGAAGAAAGTCTGTTAACTTGAAGTAAGTCATTTCACAAGAATGTCTTTGACCAAGGTCAGAAGGTGGTGGTCAGCTAGGAGCTAGTCTAGCTTTTGCCTGGTGTATCAGGAGTGCTGAGTTCTCCCAGTGTTAAACATGAGGAGATACGATTTGAGGCTTGCAACTTCTGAGGATTCACTGCATTACAGCCATACACGTGTGAAGTCTAACACAGGACCAACACCAGCCCATAATCCAACTGAAGAACTAAAAAGATGGAAGCGTGGTTTTGAGTGGTGCTCTTCCTTGCTTTGTTAACCATCATGACTATAGTCTGCAGCACAACTTTTCTTTTAACAAAGCTAGAACAGTTTTGGCTTCTTAAGCTTCATATTTGGGTAGGTTAAGCTGCCATACGTGTTCAGTGTGAATAGTGTTTAAGTTGAAAATATTGTAAAAAAATTATATTTTTTCAAAAATATTTAAAAAAATAAATAATAGTAGAACTGAGCTGATGCTTGTGTTTATTGGTGCAGACTACAGACTCGTGTTGGTATTCACTTACTGTGGGCCCAGTGCCTCAGGGCTCCCCTGTGGGTGAGATACGCTGAGACAGGAGAGTTTGCTTACAGCTACAGTAGCTGTGCAAACAGCTACTCAATATTTAACTTGTCCTTGTTTTCTGTGCCGCACGCTGCAGTGTTAGCAAGCGTGGGTAGCCATGGTATAAAATCTATGGTTGGACTGGGGATGTGTGATAGTAGCAGAACACTTCCTTAGTGTGTGCGGTGACGAGGCTTTCTCTAGGTGGTGCAGAGCTGAAGACTGGAACAGGCCATGCAGCCGTTTATCGTATGTCAAGCAGTGTATTGCGGCATTGCTAAGGCCAGCTTTGAACTAAGGTTTCCTGCTTCAGCTTTCCGAGTGCGGGCTTACCTTGCTCTCCTGTATGTATTTCTGGCTCTTTTTGTTTGTTTGTGGTGCTAGAGGTTGAATTTAGGAGCTGTTTTCTGAATGCTGAGCAACCACTGTTGAGTGGTCTTACTACAACCTCGGCCCCAGTGAGGGTCTTTGTTGTTTTAAAGACAGGATTTGGGGGCTGGAGAGATGGTTCAGTGGTTAGGAGCACTGTCTGCTCTTCTAAAAGACCTGGGTTCAATTCCCAGCACCCACATGGCAGCACACAATTGCCTGTAACACCAGTTCCAGGGCATCTGACACCTTCACCCTAATGTACATAAAATAAAAATTAAAAAAAAAAAGGCAGGCTTTTTTTGTCCTGGCTGTCCTGGAACTCGCTCTGTAGTCCAGGCTGGTCTTGTCTGCCTCTGCCTCCCAAGTGCTGGGATTATGCCACCATTCCCAGGTGGGAGGGGGGAAGCTTTTTATGGTTTTATTTTTTGCCTTTGTTTTTCGAGACAGGGTTTCTCTGTGTAGCCTTGGCTGTCCTGGACTCGCTTTGTAGATCAGGCTGTCCTGGAACTCAGAGATCCTCCTGCCTCTCCCTCCCCGAGTGTTGTGATTATAGGCATGTCCAAAGTGCCTGGCATTTTAAATTTTTTCCTGTAGCTCAGTCAGCCTTAGACTTAACCACAATCCTTCAGTCTGTTTCCTAGATGCTAGAATTAGAGATATGAGGCACAGTGTCTAGCTGAGGGCTCCTTTTTTACATTTGTGTTTTGTCTCTATGTATGTCTCTGTGACATTACAGGAACTGGAGTTACAGTTGTGAACTGCCATGTGAGTGCTGGGATTTGAACCATGGTCCATTGGGAGAGTAGGCAGTGCTCTTAACCACTAAACCTCCTCCAGCTCCAAGGGCAAGTTTTTTTTTTAATTTTCTTTATGTGTAGAATATTACCTACAAGTATGTCTGTATCACTTTCAGGCCTAGTTGCCATCGAGGCTAGAACAGGGTATCGGAGCCGCTGGGACTGGAGTTATAGATAGTTGTGAGCTGTGCCATATGGATGTTGGGTACTCTGGAAGAGCAGCCTCCTGTTTTTGGCTTTTGTTTTTCTATCTTTGAAACAAGGTCTCAAAACATAGCCCTGTTGCTCTGGAACTCACTCTGTAGACCAGGCAGGCTTCAATTCATAGAAATCTGCCTGCCTCTGTTTCCCAAGTGCTGGGGTTAAATGTCTGCCACTACACCTGGCAACAGGCCACAGGCTTGACACTTGTTTGGGGTGGGGCCATACAAAGTCAGTCCCTTTGTTCTCTGACAGCTCAGAATAAAGTGTGCTACAAAGGACACCATTCAAGCTAGCTTTTTTCTCATGCTTCCTGCCTTTGCATCCTTACAGCAGTCACCATAGACTTCAGCATCACAGTTTTCATTGGAATGCTATTAGAGGGGGAAAGTATTTAACTAGAGCCAGGTATCTGCATTTTGGCAAAAATAGGATTCAGAACTGCTCGCACATTTTGAAGCTCTAAAGATAATGGGCTTGTATTAGCAGTTTCAGGTAACTGAGTGGAAATGATTTTAATTTTATGACCACTAACAGTATATGTGGAAGGAGTTTTCTGTTTACTGTTAATGTTTCCAGCCTTTCCCATGTCAACATACTTTTATACCTGTAAAATTCCTGCGTTCAGGGCCAAGAGAGATGGCTCAGCATAAAAGAGCACTTGTTGCTCTGACACAGGACCCAGGCTTGATTCTAGCACCCACATGGTGGTTTACAACCATCCCCAACTCCAGTTCCAGGGGATCCTGTGGCTCACTTCCTACCTCTTTAGGCAGCAGACAAAATATATGCTGTACAGACATGCATGCAAACACTCATGCATCTAAAACAAACACACCTTAATTTTCTTCAGACCTTTCACTTTGAGAAGGGCTATAATAAAATATCATGCATTGGGAGAGGGTGAGCCGATTGTGGTGTCTTAATGCCAGTAATGTCAGTACTTGAGAGGCTGAAAAATAATGTATCTAATGTACAGGAATATAAGGACCCAGGATGGTGGTGACTGCTTGTAGACTCTAGATGGCCTAGATGCTACTCTATCTGGTAGGGTTGATAATTGAGCTTACTTGTAATCATAGGTGGCCTACAACAACTGGGAATTTCTGTTCTTAGAATAATATGGCTAAGGAATTCTACCCAAAATCCACGTAAGACTTTTTATGCAGCCTCATCTCCTCTTGAAAGTTGAAACATTACAATAATTAGAGTAGTTTGATTTCTGTTGCTGAAACATGTTTGATTACTCAGGCTCCCACAAGAACCATATATAACACATCCTACCTTTTGTAGAGGTAGTTTCAGACCTTGGTGCACACAGACCCAGTTTCTGTATTGTCTGGAGTGTTCTCTAGAACTGGAGGCTGATTCTCTGTCTTTTTAGAAAATCCTCTGAAGACTGGGCAGATGGGAACGTATCTGAAAAAGGCAGTCCTTTTTACCATGCCCATCCCAAAGGGGAAGTCGTAGCTCTTCAGACTGGCTGATGTCTCACTGTTGGCGTTGGCCCCAGCTTTCCACTGTATCAGGCCTCTTTCCTCTGGGCTCCCTGCAGGAGAACATTGGGTTCAGGGTTGGTTGGTTGGTTGCTGGAGCCCAAGGTGGGTTCACATACCAAATAAGCACTTTACAACTCCAGATGCCTTAGTTGCCAAAGCCCTGAGAAACCTTCAAAGATTAATTAACACTGTGTAACCACAGCAGCAGGCTCTGTGCTAAATAATTTGGTTATTACAGAATGCCCCCCGGGAGGCATGTAGGCATTGTTGCACAAAATTTTAAGGTGAAGAAACAGGCCAAGTCACTATTCTGTCTAAATATGGGACTAGTGTGTACTTGGTTCATGGAACCCAAATAATGTCTAGGTGTTGTATACCTTGGAGTAAGGACATATTTTTAAAACTTTTATCACATTTATTGTTTATCTTGAATTTTTATAGCCAAGATAGTGAGATCAGGATAAGTGCAGAAGTCAGATCTCTGTCATGTGGGTCCTGGGTATTGAACTTAGATCATCAGGTCCAGCAAGTACCTTTTCTGCCGAGTCATCCTGCCCCAGCCCAAGGACATAGATTTTGATATACTTATCAATATTAGGATTCTACATTTGGAAAATGGCTTATTTTTATAGTATGAATGGAAGCCAGGCTAGCGAAGATCTTTGGTGGGGTAGGAGTACAGCTCTAAGAACGGAATCCCAGGGATAGCAGGTTCTCCAAAGGGCCAGAGCTAAAAGACTAAAGTACATATCTAGCCAGAGGAGCGAGGGCAGCAGAGCTAAGGGTAACCCAGAGTATTGAGTCTCAGGCTCTGCAGGGAAAGGCTGGAGGCCTCAGAAATGGCAACCTGGAGATGGAGGTGGGCCAGGAGTCAGTTACCCGGAGTGGAAAAGGAAAAAAGAGCTACTGGCATTCACATGACTAGTCCCAACATCCCATTTGCCTCTAACCCCCCTGCCATGGCATGAAAACCTGCGTAGCCCAGGGCGTGCTCTTGCTAACAGCTCATCCTGTGACAAAGCCAGCTTATCCATGATTCCTGCCTAGTCATTACAACTTTATTCTTTAAGTCCAGTTTTACGTGTCATTTTCTCGCAGGGAATAACAAACCATCTTACACATCCTCCTCAGACGGATTCAGGGCCAGGCTGGTAAGTTCCACTAGCTTTGCCAGAACTGCATTTGACTCTTTTCCGAGGCAGAAGCCAACTATGATGAAACATGCCCATAATGTCAACAATGAGCAGATAAAGACGAGAATGGCAAGTTCAAACTAGTCTGAACTGCCATGTCTCAAAAAACTTGGTTAATGACCATTCTCTTTACTGAGGTTTGCCCACACAGTTTCCCAAAACCCGTCTGCAAGAGGCAATGTGGTGCAGTGACTGGGATATAAGCTGTTTCGGATTTGCAGTTTAATGTTACTTTATGACTTTTCGGTCATTTTTGCTTTGTTTCAACACAGGATTAAATCTAGCGCATCATCCACTTGGCAAGTGCTTTGCTGCTGATACAGCCCAGCCTGTCAGGTTTTCAAGATGGCTTGAGACACTCCATGCCTGACTCCAGCAGAGATCTGTTGGCGATCAGTTTTAAAATACATGTACTGGGCATATGCATACTGGGCTATCACACTTCCGCAATCCTGGGGGGAAATTGGCATCCAAGATTCATTGTGGGGCTCCTGTATCTGTGTGTCAGGCTGTTAACATGCTTGACAGATTCTCCCACAAAACCAATGCTGCATTTTTACCTATCTGTGAAAATAAAGGTGCTGTCAGCCTGTCCTTCCAGCCAGGAGACACCCCCCCCAGCCCATCTGTTCTGCTCGCTGACCTGCATGGCCACATTTCCGATACCAAACCATCTGTTGTACATAGTCTAGCATGGCTCTGTGCAGAATTCCTTCCCAGTGCTGACCCTGTACCTGGCACTGTGTTGTCCAGGATGAAAGCAAGGCACCCACCAACGAACATCTCTGTGGTCAGCAGTACGGTTAGGATCTGATCTACTTCAGGAATGCCTGCGGAAGTAAGTCAGGGGCCGTGGGCTGGTGGCCTTTTCTGGAAGGCACGAGCTTCCGGAGCTTCCCACCTCGTAGTCCACGGACTTAGAAACTGTCATGGCCATGGAACATTTCAAAGCCTAACTTTGAACCCCGTCTGTACCTTTCTCTCCCATCTCTGGGGACACCTAGCCTCTGTGAAGGTAATAATCGACTCTCGTGGAACTATTAAGATTCAGTGAGCACATAAAAACCTCAATAAAGAGCTAGGCTCATGGCTGTAATCCCAGCCTCATCACAGGTGCTAGGGAAGTGTCGTACCACCAAACTGGTTTCCAGCCCACATAACCCACAGGCGTAAGAATTTGGAGTCGGTACCTGTGTCGATGGCACCTGGGTTGGAGTCCAGGTAATTGGGCAGGGTGAGGCCAAAGAACATGGAGAATCCCAGTACAAAGAGGTTGCGGGAGGAGTTCATGTCGACAAACTGCAGATTGGACAGTCCCACAGCGGTGATCATGCCTGCCACGGCAGAAGCGCTAGAGGTGTGGCCTGGCTAGATGGGCCCTTCCACTCCCATTGGGTGGGCATCAGCCACTCACCAAAAAGGGTGCAGAACATTCCTCCCAGGATGGGGTCTGGGAGGGAGGCGAAGAGGGCGGTGAACTTGCCAATAGCACCCAGGATTAGCATGATCCCAGCACCGTACTGCACGACTCGACGGCTGCCCACCTGCGGGAAGCCATGGGCTGGCTAGACCCAGACGCAGGGCTAGTTCCAGCGGGCAGGGTATTAGGCATATAAATGGACTCCAGCTTTGGGAGGGGTAGGATGAAGGTGGGATGCTCTCAAACTCAGGGTGGGGCTAGGCCAATGCCAAGACGGCTTAGAATGGGGTCTGCAACACATGAACAGGACAGCTGCCCTAGCTGGCGTCGTGGCACCTTGGTAATCCCTAGGACCCCAATGTTGGGGCTGGAGGAGGTGGACCCGTTGCCTGTGCCCAGTAGCCCAGCGATAATGCAGCAGATGCCTTCAGTGAAAATGCCCCTGTAAAGAAATGGTGGGTGAGCCAGGCAGTGGTAGCACACACCTTTAGTCCCAGTGCTGGGGAGGCAGAGGCAGGTAGATCTCTGAGTTCGAGGCCAGCCTGGTCTACCTAGTGAGTTCCAGGACAGCCAGGCTACACAGAGAAACCCTCAAAACAAATGGTGAGAAGGGTGTTGGTCCAGCCCCTTCAGCAATCTGTACTGTCACCTCGGCCTGCTGCCTGCCCTGCTCTGGGGCTGTGCAGGCTGACACCATCTATAGGCTGGAAGCTACAGGAGTCAACACCAGCCCTCGGTGCCCCACAGTTTCCTCTCTTGGACAGGTCTGAGCTTTCCTCATCTGTACCATGAGGAAGATGAGGGTCCTGACTTCACAGCATGGTTAGCCATTGCATGAGAACAGACACGAACTGGTTTCCCCGGGACACAGAGCCTCAGAAGTTCCCAGCATTTAGAGGGACTGTGACTTTCTTGTCCAAGCCTCTAATGGGGGGGCGGGGGGGAGACCCAGTCCTATCCCTACACTTGCCTTCACAGTGACCCCTCAGGATCAGCCCCTGTGTGGGCATACCTGTTGATAGCATGTACTGGAGGGGGCGGTGCCCCGGCCAGTCGGGCACAGGCATAGTAATCACCGATGGACTCAATGATGCCCGCCAGCGTGGCACTGAACATGCCCAGAACTGCTGCCACAGTCACCGTAGGTAGGCCCCACTGACCTGGGTCGGAGGAAACAGTTATTGAGGTGGCTGGCTTAGGAAGAGAGGGGGTGATCTGAAATCGAGAGGGACTAGTAGGGGTTCTCACTGACCACGGATCAAGAATAAGGTTTGGGGGCAAACCACCAGTCAGCGGCATCCGGGGCCAGTGCTGCGGTAGCTAAACCAGAATCACCAGGCGTGATTCTGAAGCTCATAGGAGCTTCAGCTGGAGGCAGAAGGGACCAGGCCGCCTTGCTTACAGGGGTAGGGGATGCGGATCCAGGGAGAGATGGCCATGATGTCCCCTCGGGCATCCGTTCGAGCCTGGAAGCCATAGGCTGCAGGATCCGCCGGCAGCACGTCCGTCAGGGTCAGCACGTAGCAGAGCAGCCACACCGTCATGATGGCCAGCACGATCTAGGGCGGGCGGGGCAGGCAGTGCTGCAGGCTCGGGGGGGGGGGGGGGGGGGCCGCGGCCGAGGCAGGCCAACCTGCTCCTGTCTCAGCCCCACAGCCCCGGCTGACAATCTGGCCGGAAGACCCGCCCTTGCTTCCCCGACCTTCCCTGGCGGGTCAGGCCTTGCCCCTTCCCTCATGCCAGCAGGCGGGAGCCCCTCACCGGAAACATCTTAAAGATCTGGATGCGGAGGAGCGTGAGGCCCTTGCCCCATCGGTAGACAGGCAGCAGGAAGGTGAGGTTGCGTAGGTACTGCGAGAACAGGACAATCAGTAGAATGGAGCTGGGGACAGAGACACAGAAGGGAAGAGCTGCTAGGCCAGTTGGCTCCTGGAGACAGAGGGGATGGCAGCAAGGAAGGGGTTGGGAGCAGGGCCTAGGACTGGGCAGAAATAGTGCTGTTGCCTGCTCACCAAGCTGAAATGCCCCAATGGGAGCCAGCTCGGTCACCAGCAGCTTGGAAAACAGAGAGACCAATGAGGGAGACCGTAGGGGTGACCGTGAGAGGCCCAATGTAGCTGAGCAGGGCCCCAGGCAGCCCCATCAGCCCAATCATCACCTCTACCAGGCTGGACACCATGATTGCACCCTGGACCTAAAAAAGGCAAAATCAGCTGTAAGTCACCTCCACCCGACACTAGCAGAAGTCGGCCACCTCCTCCAACAGTGGCCCGCCCATCTAGCCCTTCCCTCGAACCCGAGCTCTCTACGCACCTCCCGAATGCGAGGATGCCAGATGTGAGAGGTGTTCAACGGCATTGTCCAGTTACCGTAGATCTCCTCTGGGGACAGAGACGGGGAGAGCACGGCCGTGAATACTCCCCGGGAGATTCCGGGCGGCCGCTCAGACCCAAGAGCCTGTCACCCAGCGCAGACACCGCGGCGGGACCCACCTTCCGGGGGACATTTCCACCTCTCCAGCGCCAGGATAGCTTTGGCTGGGACCAGAAACGCAAAGGCACTGGCCTGGAACAGCGGCAGCCTGGAGGGCACACAGTGGAGGGGGGGGGAGGTGCAGAAGATGAGGGTTGGAGGGAGGGCCACAGAAAGGCAAGGCTGACCCCGAGGCCCCCTCCCCCGCATCCTGCGGCCTCCTCTAGTTCAAACCCTGCGCTTTGTCCTCAGCCCTCCATCCCGGAATCTGAGGGCCGCCTGCCACTGTTCCCACCCACCGCCACTGGGCCGCGCCGTCTAGGATTGTTCATCCCGCACCAGGAATCCCCCAAGTCTGCACAGGGGCTGGAAGGCCGCTCCCAGGGACCCGGCACACCTTAACTTCCGGGGCAGAGGGTGGGCGGAGGAGCCTTCCCCCAGCAGGCCTCCCGGGAGCTAAGGCTGGCTAGGTAGGGGGAAGGGCAGCTCACCGGATGCCCACCGTGGTCTGGATGAGAGTGGTGATGCCCACGCAGGTGAAGATGGTGCCGATGAGCTGACTGACCATGTGCTGGTCGCGGCCCACACACAGCGCCTCAGCCAGGAGGAAGGGCACGGCAATGGTGCCACTGAAGCACGTCAGGTAATGCTGGGGTGAGAGGAGTTGGAGAGGTGGCTCCACAACGCCCACGCGGACGTGGCGGCCCAGCTGCGCCCCGCACTGACGGGTGCTGACTAACCATGGCATCATCCCCTCTCCCAGGGGTCTGAGAAAGCTGCTCTCACCACCTCAGACTCCCCCCACCCCCGTGGCTTCCGCGGATAGGCCGCCTACAGTCCTCCCGGCCACTTAACCTCCTCTGGCACTGCTGCTTGGTGGCACTCACTGTACCGACCTTTTTCCTTTCTCTAGCCTGAAATGACCTTGCTATCTGGAGAGGGTTTGCAATTCGAGAGTGGGGGCGGGGGGGCGTGTTCTGTAGGGTTGGGGGGCCTTGGAGAAAACACCCCACCTGGAAGCCCAGCAGGGTGCACAGGTACCACGGTGGCACGTCCTCAATCTTGTACAACATTTCGAACTTGGGCTCCATGGGCATGGGTGTCTGCTGGTCCCTGGCGGGAGTCCCTGCTGACCCCGGGAACTCATGCTGGGGCAAGAGAGAGCTGCAGCTCAGCGCACAGTGAGGAACTGGCCAAGCCTGCTCAGGCAGCCACAGTGGCCTCCCGTCCACTGGGAGGGGGGGGCAGGTGGCCTGGCGCAGCCACCTCCCCAGCCAGTAGCCCTTCCCACTTCCCACACCCTGCTTCAGGGATGAGAGCAGCTTCCAGGCTTCTGGAGCCCTTAGTCCTTGCCTTTCTGGCGAGGCCGCTAGTCAGAAGTCAGGGAGGTAGCAGACTGGGCAGCTCTGGACTATGGGTAGCCCCCGCCGGTCCCACCTCTACCCCTCCTTGAAAGAGCCACAGGAAGGGGAGGCCCAGCCCCTGCTGACCTCCCAGCCCAAGTCAGCCATCCCCAAACCCGAGGCTCCTTCACTCCTCCCTCTAACCCATTCCCCGGAGTGCCACTTGCGGCTCAGGACTGGCCACTTTTTGTCAAGTGCATTAGAAATTTTGTCGCTGACCGCCCAGAAAGGCCAGCAAGGCCCAGCTCCCATCTGCCATGTCCCTTGCCTACCCTCCCATCCCCCCAGCACCTGCGTTGGTCTCTCGGGGTCCTCCTGAGCCCTCATCTCTGAGACACAGGTTTGAGAACCGTCTGAGGAGAAAAGAGGAGGGCTTTACCAAGGCCAAGAAGGACTTTACTCCACACATCAGACATTGTAGGAAGTCAATCTGTAACCAGGCCCATAGCTCCAGATTGCGAAAGGGGGATCCGGCAGAGGCAAGGACTCTGGTCGGGTGGTAAAGGTTTACCCCCTGAGCATTCCATATCCTACCCGCATCCAGGCCTGGCACGAGGCCTGTTCTTGTTTCCCTAGGGAGGGACAGAGTCTACAGGGTGAAGAGGGGACAGTCCGGGATGACATGTGAGGAAAGGGACAGGGCATGACTCATCACGAAGCCCTTCAGTAACAGAGGTTAATCTTATCTTCATCACTGTCCTCTCCAGGGACATGATCAAATGCCAATATCTGTATTTGTATATCCGCTGTCACAAGTATTTTCTGTAGCTGCCCTGTGTGTGTTAACTCTTTCACTGCTGAAAGAAAAAGACTTAGTAGTGATAGCACCAAGGCCAGACAGGAAATAGAGTTTCAGAAAAAAAATGCTGTTAAATTCAGGTTGGTTTCTGTGCCCTCCCTGCCACCCTTCGACACGTACGTTCCTGAGGCCTCAGCCTAGCCCTGGGTTAGCCAGGATCAACTACGCAATTTGTGGGACTCAGTGAAAATGGGCTCCAGAGGGAGTGGGGGGGGGAGATAGCTCAGAGGTTAAGAGCACTGGCTGCTCTTCCAGAGGTCCTGAGTTCAATTCCCAGCAACCACGTGGTGGTTCACAGCCATCTATACTGAGATCTGGTGCCTTCTTCTGGCATGGAGGTGTACATGCAGAGAATACATTTTATACATAATAAATAAATCTTAAAAAAAAAAAAAGAAAGAAAGAAAAGAAAATGAGAAGGGGGCCCTTGTTGCAAAAATATTAAGAATTTTGTTGGGTCTTGTGCTTAATGCTTGTTATCCCTGTGCTCAGGAGGCTGAGGCAGGTAGATCACAATGAGTTCAAGCCCAGGCTGGCCTACATAGTGGGTTCCATCTAGGCCAGCCTGGACTGTACCCTAAAAAATAATTCCTAACATAGAAAATCCCTGCCTAAAAAGTAACCGGAAAGGGCTTGCTGGATGGCTCCTTAGGTAAAGGCGTGGACCACCATGATGACCCGGGTTTGACCTCCAGGACCTGAGGGAAAGCGCCGGCTTCCCTCCACATGTACCCCTTTAGCAGAAATACCCAAACTCAGACACACACACAACTAATCCTAAATAAATAAAAATTGGGAGCTGGCAGGATGGCTCAGCAGGAAAAGGCACTTGTTGCCAAACCTGATGACCGGAGTTCAGTCCTCTCTCCAGGACGCACATGCTAGAAGAGAATTGACTCTCACAAGTTGTCACTCACTCACACACACACACACACACACACACACACACCATTGCACATGCTCAAGCTCACACACTAAATATAACTTATTAATTTTTTTAATTACAGAAAAGCTGGGTAAGATGCCACATACCTGTAATCCCAGCACAAGGGGAGTGCAGGCAAGAGGAAAAGGAGTTCAAGACCAGGCTCCAGGGGCTTTGCTGCAAGAGACCCTATCTTGATAGCTCCGCCTTTAAAATTCAGCAGCCACAGGCAAATTTCTGTGATTTCAAGGCCAGCCTGGTCTACAGAGTGGAGTTTCAAGCCAAAGCTACATAGTTAAACCTTCAATTAGCCAGGTGTGGTGGCGCATACCTGTAATCCCAGCCCTCAGGGAGGCAGAGGCAGGCAGATCTCTGTGAATTCCAGGCCAGCCTGGTCTACAGAGTCCAGGACGGCCAAGGCTATATACAGAGAAACCCTGTCTCGAAAGAAAAAAAACAAAAACAAAAAACCTTCAGATAATAAAATAGAAAGAAAAAAACCCCACCTATTTCAAAGGGGTAAGAAATAGATAAATGAGTGAGTATATCAGGACATTAGGTTGAGCATGGGACCTTTTTGACCACTTTCCTTGGTGTTCACTCTGTACCCACGTCTCTCCTCTCTGGAGGAGGCTAGAGCCTGAGCTAGCAGGACAGTCCTGAGGAGCAAGGGACCGATTCATCGGTCTAGAACCGGCCTGAGATCTGCACTGGAGACCCAACCACCCCAGACACTACCTTTACTTCTGGGTTGCTGAGCCCATGACCAGGCTGGGATACAGGGGCACAGCCCAGGCCATGGGCCCACGGGCAGCACGGCTCTCCAGCTGGGCAGTAGCTTCATGTCGTCTTGAAAGAAGTTCCCTTTCCAGCTCCAGCCTTTTCCTCAGCGTCTAGGTTGCTCTCAACCTCCTGGTTCTCAAAGCCAGTCTGACCTGTTGGGCCTTCTGCAACTCCTCCCAGCGCTCTGCGGGTGGCAGAAATGGAGCCCCTACCCCCACTTCTTCAATCACTGCTCAACTGAGCCCAGACCTCACCAGGACTCCTGCAATAAAAGGTTGAAAACGTGTCCCCCCGCGTGGGCCGGGATGCCAGCCCTCCCACAGTGATGTCTTTTAAACACTGATATATAGAGGCCTCTGAGGAGAGACAGACCTCTCCCTCCGGGACAGCTCTGGACCCCACTCCTGTTTCTCTGGCAACATTAGGAAGATAAACATGTTTGTCACCGCGCCTTAAACCTACTTCTCAAAAGAATGTGGGGTGGAGACCACATTCTGATCTGCTCCAAAGATTAGAACATTACCTATTGTTTCTCCTCCCAAGGGTTAGTCCAGGCCTACCTGGCATGGTGGCACACTCCTTAAATCCCGGCAATGGCACTAGGTCTCTGTGAGTTCAAGGACAGCCTAGTTTACACGGTGAGCCTCGGGCTAGCCTGGGCTACATAATGAGACCCTGTGTGACGGCTTTTCTTGGCAGCCAACTTGACTATAACTGGAATTAACTAAAACTCAAGGGTTAGGTACACCTGTGAGGGATTTTTTTTTTTTTTAACTATATCATTTGAAGTGGGAAGACCCCCTTTTATTGTGGATCTTCTGAGGTGGAAAACCCACCTTTCATTTGGGCCAAACTCTTGGCAGCCTATGGAAAGGACCGGGAAGAAACTTGCTCGCTTTGCCTGCTTGGCTTCACTCTCACTGGCAGTCCATTTCTTCACTGCCACTACAGCCTACGTCTTTGGGATTCTGGCAGATACTGAAGACACCTAGCCTCATAGACTAAAAATCTACTGGATTCTTGGACCTTCCTTTGATAGACAGCCATTGTTGGACTAGCTGGACCACAGCCTAGAAGCCATTCTAGTTGTTAGTATTCAGGTGACCCCACTGCCCTGCTCTCAGGGGCCTAGCAGCAGCTTACATCATCACCTGCCACCACCAGGTGTGCCAGATGTGTGCTGCAGATAAAAGCCCCCCCAGCAACCCCAGACCTGTCTGCCCATTCCCGTTCCCTATCTCTCTCCCACTCCTGTCTTCCTGTCTGCCTCTATCATTCTCACCTTCCACAATAAACTTCTTACACCAGCTCTGTTGCATGGGTACAACTTGTCACAGGCCCACCAAGGTACTCACCCCTCACTTGCAACTTTCATCCTACCACTAACATGCCCTAGATAGATAGATAGATGGATGGATGGATGGATAGATAGATAGATAGATAGATAGATAGATAGATAGACCCTAACTCACCCTGTGTGTTGGTTTAAAGTAGAATGGCCCCATAGGCATGCATGTTTGAATGCTTAGTGAACCGTTTGGGAGGATTTGGAAATGTGGCCCTGTTGGAGGAGGAGGGGGTGAGCTTTGAGGTTTCCCAGACTCTTCCCTGTGTCCCTCTCTCTGGTGGTTTGCACATGAATGGTTTACCATAGGCTCATAGAGTGCTTAGTCACCAGGCTACAGAAGTATGGCCTTGTTGGAAGAGGCGTGTCAGTGGTGGTGGACTTTGAGTTTTCCGTAAGCCCGTGCCCGGCCCAGTGTCTCTCTGCCTGCTTCCTGCAGATCAACACCATGCCTGTCTGCTTCCCGCTACGATGGTTATGGACTAACCCTCTGAAACCCCTGAAACTGTAAGCAAGACCCCAGTCAAATGATTTATAAGAGTTGCCTTGGTCATGCTGTCTCTTCACAGTAGAACACTCAGACACCTGTCTCGGTAGAAGAAAAGAGGTCATTTGTGAGGTAGGACATTTGCTGCTAGGTTTGATCCTTTGGGTCCACACGGTAGAAGGGAAGGCTGAGCCCAGCAAGTCATTCTGCAACTTCCACATGAGCGCACACGAGTGTACACATACCGAGTAGATGCAAGTTAATCCAGCTGGGCTGTCAATCACCTGGCCAAGAGCCCACCCCTAGGAAGGCTGACTCACTAAGGCCATCAACCCTTAAACAATGTCCTTCCCAGAAGTCAGTCAACTTCCTTAGTGGGACCTCTCACAGACCCTCCACCATCCATCGAACCCGCCTACTTTCTGAGTCCTAGCCCAGGTTATAAGACAGACACAGACACCCCCACCCCTGCACCGTGCACCCTTTTGGATACCAGCCAAAGCCATGCTTTTTCTGACAGTCTGGGAAAGGTTAGTTACCTAAAAGCCTCATGTGGACTGAGAAGTTCTGGGCGGCAGCAGCAACCTCAAGGCCCGTGGGATCCTCTGATAAGGCGACCCACACAGCAAACCTGTTGGCATCCGCCACCTCCAGACCGTGGGGAGCTGGCCTGCAGATGCACTCTCTGTCCCCAAGGTCACCTGATCCCATTGTGAACCCCAAGACTGTGAACTATAAAACCCTGTTTCTTTGGTGTGGTTTAATCCAAGAGTGTTCTGGAGCTGGAGAGGTGGCTCAGAGGTTAAAGGTACTGGCTGCTTTTCTATAGGTCCTGAGTTCGATTCCCAGGAGCCACAAGGTGGCTCACAACCATCTAGAATGAGATCTGGTGCCCTCTTCTGGCGTGCAGGTATACATTCAAGGCAGAACACTGTATACATATTAGTAAATAAATTATAAAAAGTAAATAGATCTTTAAAAAAAAAAAGAGATTTCTGTACACCAGATTTAATAAAGTTAACCCTCGGTCAAGAGTTGGAGCAAGAAACCAGCTGATAGGGATTAAGGAGTGGGAGGGACTTTGAATTGAGGGGTATTTAAATTTCTGTGTAGAAGTAGAAAGGGCTTTAGCTCTGGAGCTCTTTGGGGCTTTGAGCTAGCCTTAGGTTTTTTTGGCCTTTTTCTCCTGGACTGTCCATTTGTACTAGTGAGCCTTTGTTTTTTTTCCCATCCAGACATGAGCTTCGAAGGAAGGGCAGCTGGGTGCTTTCTCTGCCTCTGAGCTAGCAAGTTTTCACACCAGCATCTAATTGGTAAAATAGAACAGTTGAGGTTTTCATTATTATTTTAACAACAGTCATCCCTCCGCCAGCCTATAAAAGTCCAAAATCCTACACACAAGACAGTCTCACTTTTGAGGAGAGGCTCAGACACTTCAGTTATTCTGATTAAAAATTTTTTTTGCTTCTGGACATGCCCGTCTGCTTTTATTTCCATGTTGCTTTGGTCAATCCCTAACTTTCTTTCATTTGTAAACTCTTGCACACCTCCTCCATTGGCGAACCTATCTGCTCTCTTGGACCCTGACTTAAAACATCTGTCTCTCTCCCTCTTTTCCATCTCCTTCCACAAGCAGCTTCTGAGATTTATAACTCGTCTGCCTTGTTTTTCTCTCAAACTGATAGAATTGTTCTGAAGTGTCCTTCTGAGCACATGTTAAAAAAAAAAAAATTTTTTTTTATCAAAAGAGTCTCTGTGGTGCTTTTTTTTTTTTAAGATTGACTTATTTGTTTTATGTAGATGAGTGTTCTGTCTGCATATACACCTGCACACACACCAGAAAAGGGCATCAGATCCCTGGATAGATGGTTGTGAGCCACCATGTGGTTGCTGGGAATTGAACTCAGGACCTCTGGAAGAGCAAACAGTGCTCCTAACCTCTGAGCCATCTCTCCAGGCCCTGTAGTGCTCTTTTTTTTTTTTTTTAACTCTACTTTATTTGGGGTGTTTAGGCCTCAACCTCCTTTCCAGCCTCCCAACCCTACGTGCGGGAGAGAGGACCCCTTTACTTCTCCCAGCTGTTCAGGGCCTAGGGCTCTATACCAAACTCCGGCAACAGCAGACGCAGCCAGCTGTCCTGTCCGAGCCGCCGTCCTCCGCACTGTCTGCCTCCCCGGTTTCTCCAAGTTGCTCTCGCCAAGCCAGCCACACTCCAACACCACACGCCTCTTCTTGGCTGGGCTATCATATTCATACTCTGAGTCCTAGACCACGCCCCTCTCCACGTGCTGCACGTGGAAGGCAGTTACCAGCTGGCAAAAACATGACCGGCAGGAGACAATTAACAGCTGTGGACAAACTCTAGCCCAACTAAAATCTCACACTCGGCATTAAAACAGAAACACGTGTATATGACATGACTGAATTTACAGAGAAACCAAAGCTGCCTTTACGAGTCTCACCGCATAACCGTAGCTGACCGGAAACTCACTTTGTAGCTCTGGCTGGCCTTGAACTCACAGAGATCCACCTGTCTCTGCCTCTGAGCACTGAGACTAAAGGCATATATCACTACAGCTGGCTAAGGAGGAGGAGTCCACTTATTTTTAATTTCTTTAAGGTTTAATTTATTTTTGAGCCAGGTGTGGTGCACACCTTTAATCTCAGCCCCTGGGAGGCAGGAGCAGGTAGATTTCTGTGAGTTTGAGGCCAGCCTGGTCTACAGAGCAAGTTCCAATCCAGCCAAGGCTTCATAGTGAGACCTTGTCTCAAAACAAAACAGGGTTACACAGTGGCAAGTCTCTAAGTCCCTTTGCCAATGGGGTTTCCCTTGCACAGAGGCTCAAACTCTCTGATTAAGTAGCATGGCATTTGGGTCCTCGGGTTGCCTCCAAAAGATTTATTTTTATTTTATGTGTGTCCATGTTTTTGACTGTATGTGCAGGCCTGGTCCCGGAGGTCAGAGGAGGGGGCTGGAGCCCCTGAAACTGAAGCTACAGATGGTTGTGAGCCCCTGTATGGGCACTGGGGACTGAACCAAGTCCTCGTAACCTCTCCACCCCACCTTTTAAAATACTAACAAAACACAAGGCTAAGAACCAAGCAGGAACCCGCCCCCACCCCCGTTTCCCTGGTGACCTCAGACAGGATCACCGCGGGCCCTCATCACAGGCATCTGCCCAGACCCACAGCTGACACTCCTAAGGGTCCAGCCAGCAACCTGGGCCCTGGCTTTCCGGTTTCTGAGGTTTCTCTCTGGGGTAAGGGCCAGGGAAGAAAGTGGCTGGCACGGTGAGGGACTAAGGCTTAGACGCTGCCCAGAGCCTGCCCTGTAGGCTGAGGCACTCAGCAGTGAGCATGCCCGCACCGTATTTGCCTTTCAGATATGCTCCGTTTAGTCACACGAATGTTCTTTACCATGCTGGGCTGCTCTAAAGGTTACAGCAATCCCATGTACGCAGCTATCTCAACATGCCGGGCTGGTCTGTCGGGCAGCTAATGTTCCACTAGGCAGTTCTCCGGCTAGAAGCTTTTGGCAGCTTGCTGGCTCCACTGCCATTGGCCGCGAGGTGCTTCATCTGTGGCAGGTCAGGAGAGTGGCATTGCTGGAGGGCCCAGAAGGCCCCTGAGAGATTCAGCCAGTGGCTCGTGCTGACCGGAGGGGATGTGTGAACTCTGCAATGGTGCTGGACAGTCCCCCAGGCCAGAGTCGGAGTCCCCTTTGCCAATGGGCGTCTGCACAGAGGCGCGGGCTGACCGAGGAGTTTGGCAGCATCGTGGTCCTCGGGTCACTTCCAAATCTCCAGCTTTTTTGTATTGTCCAGTGGGCATGAGTTTTGTGCCATTGGGGTTCACCTCTTGGTGCTGGTTCATTAGCCTCTCAGTGCCACGTTAGGGTTGTTTTATTAACGTGTCAAAGCCTGCTGGAGCCCGTATCCCAGCTGCCAACCTTGTGGCTGACTCCTCTCCTGCAGGCTCTGCATTATTCCAAGCCAGAGAAAATGGTTGCACTGATGTTCCTAACAGACATGTTCCGTGGTAGGCCGGCAGATAGGGAGGACGGCATGACCAGGAAATAAAGGTGGCGAGCTTCCGGATGGCTGGCTTCTTCCTCATCCTCCTTAAACCAAAGCCCGGCAGCTTGAAACCAACACCGTGTGGACCTTCTCTCTTGCCAGCAGGCCTCTTGCTAACAGACTGGCTCAACAAGTTGGAAGCTGGATCAGGACACACAGTTGTGGGCCGGTCAGCCATCCTGTCTTTCTCTTCAAACCGACCAGCTCTAGATTAAGGGAGGAAAAAAACTCTTCCAGAGACCAGGTTTTCAGCTTCCTGAGGCCCCTGCTGCTTTTTGGAGGGTCTGTTTTCTCCTGCTGCGCGTGTGTTGCCTTACATTTAATAAACAGCTTTCTTCGGCTGCTGGTTCTGTCTGCTGCTGTTTTGCAGTGTTCCAGAATTCTCTGCCACTGCTTGTTTTACTCAAGACTTTTCCCCCTGTCTTTTAATTCTTTTTTTTTTTTTTTTAGAGAGATTTACTTATTTTATAATGTATACAATGTTCTGCCTGCATGTACACCTGAACGCCAGAAGAGGGCACCAGATCACATTATAGATGGTTGTGAGCCACCATGTGGTTGCTGGAAATGGAACTCAGGACCTCTGGAAGAACAAGCAGTGCTCTTAACCTCTGAGCCGTCTCTCCAGTCCCCTGCCTTTTAATTCTTTAACTAACAGAAAAAATAAAATAAAATAAAAACCTGATTAAGACCCCTAGATGCTATCAACGGGATGTGGGGTAGGGTGATACATTTTTATAAAGATATTTCTTGACCCCCAGCAGACTGAACTTTTGGCAACCCTCACAGAAAAGTTAACAATATTAAAAAGTTAACAATACCCCTTCAGACTGCAACTGCGTAGTTAATCTGCTATTTTACCGTGTGCTTGCTTACCCTGCTTAAGTTTAACCTGCCTTTAGGAGAGCACTGTAAACTACTTGCCCTAGATTTCCCAGGCAATCAGCTTCTACAATCCAAGCCAATGCACAGCTTTAATTCTAAATTATGTGTTCTTCAATGCCCTGACCCCGAATAGTGTGTGTATGTATTTGTGGTGGTAACTACTGAAAACAGCCAACAGGTGAAAAGGAACCTCCAAACAAATATCCATGACACACACAATACGTTGGAGTGGGCTGTTGACATCTGTTGGCAGCTTCATTTACTATCTGAGTCAGCTGGGAGCAGCAGAGCGACCTTTTCCCTCATAAAACTCTGTTAAAGATTTCTATCAAGAATCCCTCATTCCTCGGAGCTCAGTTTAGTGGCGCACTGCCTCACTTGGGAAGCAGAGGCAATCGGATCTGTATGAGTGCCAGGCCAGCCAGGACTACATAGTGAGATGCTATCTGAAAACAAACTGTAAATAAATACAGAGTCAGGCCCTTTGTAAGGGACAGGCACATTTTAAGCACGCCTAAACAACACACAGATTACAAACAGGCCGGAAAACAGACTATGGACAATCAGAAGGTACAAGGAGAGAAGTGAAGACTTCAAACTTGGGCTTGATATTGATCAAATTCATCCAAGAGGAAGCTGCCGTGTTTTCATTCTATTGGCATCAAACAAATGAGACTTATCCTTAGTACTGTCATTTTGTTTTCAGACTCCATTTTGATCATAAGGTGAAATTAAGTTCAAGTTCCCGGGCCCTAGGGGAGCTTTCCAGATGGCTAGCCAATTTCCTCCTTATTCTTCTTTTGTTCCCCCAAAACATCATGATTGTTCCTAACCGTGAAAGAACAAAGGATTGGTGGAAAAAAATGTGACTGTAACTTGGCACAGATCTTTGTGGTTTTGGAGCTTTAAAAATCTGTAACATTCTGGGTTGGGGTCATAGTTCAGCTCCCTAGTCTGTTCTTTGGCCCTGATCTATCAGTAGCGGCCTGAGCACAATACATTTTGTCACCTGCTTAAATACTAGGATGAACTTTCAAAGATGCAGTCAGCTCCCAAGTCTGTGCTGTTGTCCCTGACTGATTTTGCTGCCTAATTCAAATAAAGACTTGCTTTGCTGGACTCTTATGTCAGCTTGGGTTGTTCTGGCTATTGGGACCCTAACAATTCCTTAATGAATTGATCCTCACAAGGATACTAGGGGTCCAGAGCAGTTTCCAGGGCTTGCTTGAGACACCACAATTCCTCCAGCAGCCAGCGTTGCTCCTGCCTTCAAAGTCAGCCCAGCCTCTACTCTTTTTACTTGTGGGGTCCCAAAGAAACCCAGGACAAGGCTCACTCAGTACCCATAGCTCCTCCCAGCACTTCTCACCACACCCCTACCCTAACCCTCTCCAGCCCAGGGGCTGGGTCCCTTCCCCCAGCTTCTCATCCCTTCATAAATCTGCCATTTCTGCCAGGTGCACTCTCTTGGTCCTCTGCTCCTCTCTTGGTCCTCTTGCCCCCCCCCCCCCGACTTCCTGCCCCACCTGCCCCCTGCCCCATCTCCTCTCATGGCTCAGTTCAGACTCTTCCAGACACCTCTGGCTGTTCCCTCCTTCAAACCTACAACAAAACCCTCCTCCTTAACCATCCCTGGGAGCACTGCGTCCTCATTTTCATTCATTACTTAGCTGAGCCTCCATTGTCTAATCTAAATGGGTGGACAGCAGGAAGTCCATGCCTCGGTGGCCACAAGGTGGCTGCCTGCACTTTCCCTTCTGACTAGGTACTTTCCTAACTTGCTCACACTTCCAGCCATGCCAGCTCTCTTCTGGGTGGGGGGAGTGAGATGAATTTGGCCCTCATGGGAAGGACTTCAACAGAAACCCCATTGTCTGCCCCACTCTCCCGTCCCCAAACCCTTTCACAGAGAGGATTCAGGGCACTGAGCTTTATTTGAAAGTAGAAAGGTGGACCCAGCCCAGTGCCCCAGCGAAGGCTGGAGGAAGAAGATTGGCAGCAAGAGCCAGGCTTCCTGACTCCTCTACCCCACCGCCCCCACCATCACAGCTGAAAGGAAGGGAAGGGCCAGGCACAAAGGCTCAGGGCAGCGCTTTTGCTTTCCAGGCTGAGGCCACAGGACAAGTTCAAGGCCAGCCTGGGCTCCATGATGAGAGCCTATCTCCAAAAAAAAAAAAAAAGGAGAGAGAGACAACTCAGAGGTTTCACAGCTCAGACTAAAGCTCTTCTCTCTGGGCATGGGTGTCCTGCGAGCAGGACCCCTGCGTGCCCCCACAGAGCAGTGCCTCCAGAGACTCATGGCCTCGGCGGTAGGCTTCGTAGATCTGGTCTTCTCCAACTTCTCCCAGGTAGTGGAAACACGTCATGGAGAGCCTGAGGGAGCAACAGGCACCTTGAATCCTCACCTGCCCACAGAGAAGCTGGGGGGGGGGGTGGCAAATCAGGACTCTAGGGGCTCCTTCCCCCACACTGTCATTACCTGTTCGGCCAGGGTCCCCCCGAAATCATCACACTTATGCTTGGCTCCGACCCCTTGTTAAGTCCTGGGCCCATGAGACGCTTCACCTTGTTCACTTCTTGGACTCCATAGCTGATGGTGGTGGGAAGCAACGGGTATAGGATCAATGGGGGCCAGGCCAGGGAGGGACTTTCTCCTGTTCTGAGCTAATACTGGACATTGGCAGAGCTCAGACACAGTTAGGTCCAAGGCCTAGGATCTCATAGTGACCTTTCTGTGACTGTCTGCCCCCCACCCCCATATTCCCAGCAGCAACACTAGCCCAGACTTCAGCCCAGCCAACCTCTCCCCTTCAACCATTCCAAAGCCTTCATGGAATGGGCGTGAGGGAGGATGGAGCTCAGACCCATCAGGCCCTCCCCTTAAGGAAGGTGGCAGGGGTTGGACTGGCAACTCACGACTGCCAGTTCTGAGAGCAGGTCCGGTCCAGGGCGTCCACATAGGCCGACTCACTCAGCTTCTGCAGTCCACTGGAGTCTGGAGCGTGAGATCTGGCCTCTGCCTTTGCCAGATGTTGGCCCATCTGGAATGAGGAAGTGTTGAGATCTAGGGCCTTGGGACTGCTGGCCGATTGGGGGAAGGAGAGAAGGACAGACACCCTAGTCTCTTGGGATTATGAGGTGGCGGAGTTGCTGACGGGTGGGCGGAAGCACCTGGGAGGCAGGCTGCAGTTTCCCCTTGGCGGGCCCCAAGGCCCACCTGGGCCAGTTCAGGCAGGACCTACTTCTCTGGGGCTGGAGGAGGAGATGCTGTGTAGAAGATCTGACCCTTCCTCCAGGGCACACTTGCCCAGTAGCACGTGCTATTTTTAAACCATGAGAACAAGAAAAGCTAATAATAATAACAACAGTAATATTAAACAAATAAATAGAGTAACCAGAGCCCAGTCTTTAATAGCACATGCACTCACTCCCCCTGAGTACACACAGAGGCATGGACACACAGGCACACTTGAAAGGACAAGCCTGGTGGGTTCACATAGATACAGTGCTCAGCACGTAGAGTAGAGGCGCCCTGGGGGCGTGGGGAGGGTGCTGAGCTGGAAAGGGGCACAGACAGGGAGGACTATGAGAGGACGAGCCATTCCTTGGGTGACAAGACGAGATGGGTCACCAAAGGGTGACCAGGCAAATGAGCAAAGTGAGGCATTGGCGATTCAAGGGGGCTGCAGCGTCCTGGAAAGATTGCTGCTTGGGGCTGAGGGCCGGGGGTTAAAGGCCAGAGGTGGGGTCTAAGGCAGATGGTGTGGTCCGAGCAGGGAACAGGCACAACTTACTTGGTAGGCCACAGCCCGGCAGGCATCGCAGCGCAGGTGGGCAGGCATGTGGGATGAGTACTTCTCTTCATCATCCAGCATAGGGGCGGTAGCAGAGAGCGAAGCCTTATCCCCAAGGCTCCCCAGGAGAGCCCCGCACCCAAACAGCAGCAACAACGGCAGCCTCATGGCCTCTGAAGTTACTTGGTAGAGCTGCTGAGGCTGTGGTGAGGATGTGCTTTTGAATTATCTGTGGTTTAGGCCAATAGGGAACCGACACCTCATTGGACCTCTTCCCCTCCCCCAGGGCCCTGGTGATGCCACGCACCACGCACAGTTTCTGTAGTTAGGGACCCTGGCCCCGGCTGACTCGGCTCCGTTGCACACCTAGGGGATGAAGGTGCAAGGAGGGGCTGAGGCTGGGGAGGAGGCCTGCTGGCTGGTGGATGTCTCATGCTGTGACCTGGATGAAGGGGTGGAGACTGCTGAGCGTCCTGCAGCGAGAGGGCTGGTTATGCTCGCTTATTCTTCCACAGGGGACAGCAAGGCCCAGGGAGAAGAGACAAGCCCTCCAGCTAGAGAAGCTGTGTTGAGAGTGGTCCCCAATGCCCACTGTTCACTTAGCCACAAAGAGCAATGTGGCCGTGGCTGTGGTTGCTAGCCTAGGGCTCTCTCGCACTGTCAGTCTGGGAGACCACAGTGTTTGAGGGCATATGTGGTCTCTTTCTCCAACTCTAGGGTCCCCTTCACCAAGGCCGGAACCAGGCATGGGGGACTTTGTGGGGGTTAAGAGGCAGCAAGATGGCTGGTGATGGTGGCACATGCCTTTAATCCTAGCACTTGGGAGGCAGAGGCAGGGGGATCTCCATGAGGCCAGATCAAGTCTGGTCTACAGATCAAGTTCCAGGATAGCCAGAGCTACACAGAGAAACAGATGGGGGGAGGGGAGCAAGATTAAGAAAGCTCAGTGATTAAGAAGGATCACTTCCCAGTCAGGCATGGTGGTACACACCTTTAGTCCCAGCACTCAGGAGGCAGAGGCAGGCAACTTGCTGTTGAGTTCAAAACCAGGCTGCTCTATAAAGTGAGTTCCAGGACAGCTAAGGCTACACAGAGAATCCCTGTCTCAAAAAACCCAAACAACAACAACAAAAACCAATTGCTTCTTTTGCTAAGGACCTGGGTTCAGTTCCCATCATTGAAATAGTAGTTTGGAACCATCTGTAACTCCAATTTCAGCATAGTCAGTGCCTTCTTCTGGCCTTCATGGGCCTCAGGCATTCACATGGTGTACAAACATACATGCAAACACTCAGAAAATAAAAATCAATATTTTAAGTGTTATTTATTTATGAATTTATTTATTGAGACAGGATTTCTCTGTGTAGCCTTTGCTGTCCTGGAACTCACTCTATTGACACAGGCTGTCCTTGAGCTCAAAGAGATCCACCTGCCTCTGCCTTACAAGTGCTGGGATTAAAAGTGTGTGTACAACCATGCCAGGTAAAAGTGGGTTTTTGTTTTGTTTTAAAAGGGTGGCATCGGGAAATTAGGACCACACAGCAGTTGTTCTTTCAGAGGCCATGGCTTTCCATGGTCAGATATTTATTGCACAGCAGGACGAGATGAGGCTCTGTAGGGTTGACCCCGGTCCCTGGCCCCTCGATGCCATTGGGACCAATGTCTCTGGTAGAGATGCTGAGGTTGTTCTGACTCGGTATTTTAGCCAATTTCCAGTCTAGGACGAGGCCGATAGACTCCATGGGATCTTGGCTGCTGCATAGGCTCGGAACAGAAAGCTGTCAAAGCCAATCCTGACACTGCTTCTAGTGGGAACTGGCCTTTCTTCAAACACCCTTCCAACAAGGCCCAGCCATTTTAGGCTCAAAACTACAGAGATCGCCTCCCACTTCACAGAAACTGTCCTCAGGCCCTCAGGACAGCTGGAGCGCAGGCTTGGGGTCTTTGCTGTGCTGTGAGCAGCTGGAAGGGCCGGTCCCAGTGTGGATGCTGGAACCAGCTACAGCGTTAGGGCCCCTTGGTCTACTCCATATAGGGACACCCTTTCTCTTGCTGGCTCTAACCTGCCCTCCCGCCACCAGCAGCACCCCCCCCCCCCCCCGTGATAACAGCCTAACTTTCCTTCCTCTTGTCATCCTGGTGATTGAGCCTACCGGCTGCCTGGGTGGACAAGGTGAGCGAGCTCAGCCCCGAGGGTCTACATTAGACACACACTGGGGCTTGAAGGAGGAGCTAGGCTCCCTGTTGTGAAATGTTAGCTGTGGTCACACCATTTTGTCTGTTTGTTTGGACACAAGGTTTCTCTGTAAAATAGCCCTGACTGTCCTGGAACTCGATCTGCAGACCAGGCTGGCCTGGAACTCATGGAGATCCCCCTGCCTCTGCCTCTCAAATGCTGAGATTGAAGGTGTGTGCCACCACCACGCAGCTATCACAGCCATCTTAAAAGCTCCTCCATTTTGGTTAAACAACTACAATTTCCAAAACCAAGGTAACTTGTTTTTCTAGATTCTTGTTCCCCCTGCCCTGCCATCCAGCAATGGCCAGCTAAGATAAACGATTACTGATCACCTGACATGCTTTAATTCAGCACTTGTCCCTGGTCACCCCTAGCGACAGACAGCCCGAAGAAGAATAATTTGACTCCCCTTCCTCATTCCCTAGACCCTTCTGCAGGCCCTTCTGCCAAGGAGATGCTTGTCCTGTTTTCTGCAGGGACCGCGGCAATCCTGGCCCATCTCACCCAGTTCTCTCACCTCCAGTTCCAGGCTAATCCTCCACATCTCCTTACACAACACCCATGCTTCACCTCCACCGACCATCCTCAGAGCTCCCATGCTTAGCCCCAAGCTGGCCTGGGCCACACCCCTTTCTCCCACAGCCTCCTAGGACAAAGCTCTAATCCCGACTTGATGGCCGCCCAGTGTTAGTGAGATACAAACGGCTCACTGCAGGCCCTGGGCCGTGCTGCTTCCACACCTGCTCTTCCGGGAAACCCCACTTCTTAGCTGCCTTCTCACTTTGACATGCTAGCTTGCCTACACACACATATACACACCCTGGGAAACTTTAGGAAGGGGATACACATTTTTGCTGGGGGGCGGGAGGGAGGCAGCCAGCCATTTGCTTGATGATCGCCGGCACTATCAGCCCGGGGAGCAGATACATTCCCTTCTGGTCTGGCGACAGGCTGGAACTGGCCAAAGAGTTGATGGGAGAAAAAGTTAAGAGACTGGGAACAGGAACTTCCAAAGCCTTCTAGGGAACCCAAATCCATGGGGGTCTAGACTGATGCTTCACAAAGGAAACATGGAACCCTTGCTGGCCTGGATGGGACCAGAGCTGGAGGGCGGGGCACAGAAAAGCATCGGTGGAGCCGGACTAGGGGTCCCACTCAAGGGCATGTAGTACATTCCCTCCAGGGGCCCAGCTTCAGGGGCCCAGGGTAGCTGGAGTCTACCGAGGGCCGGCAGGTTGGGGGGCAGCGGCGACAGTGAGGAGCCCGGGATAGGCCCATAGGTGGGCGGGTAGAGGCCGGGCCCTAGGGCCAGCGGGGCGTAGGCCTGGCGTGGCGGCCGGGAAGGCGAGGGCGTGGGTGGCAGCAGCACCTCTACGTACTGCCCGCTCTCGGGGTCGAAGAGCAGCCGCAGCCTCGGCTGCCTCGGCGCCTCCACGACGTAGTAGCGACCGCTCTCGGGGTCTACGAGGACCCTCCCCGCGGGCGTGGCTCCCGGAGGCCTCCGCATCCCCAGGGAGGCTGCTGGAGGGAGGAGCCGGTCGGTGGGAGGGGCAGAGGCCGCTCTCGGGAGGGGAGCAGCCGTCCGGGGCGCCGTCGCCTGAGCATCCGGAGGGAGGGGTGCCTGGACCGCAGTTGCAGGGGCCGCAAGCGGTGTCTCCAACTCGGGTGCTGCCCCCAGGCTCGAGGCTGGACAGGCCTGCGGGGAGCCTGAGAGGGGCGGCGGGGTCCCTCCGGGTGCTAAACAGGAACGCTGGGTTGAGGAGCAAGCGCCTCCTAGGGGGCTGGTTCGACCCTCCGGGTCTCGGACCAGGCGCTGGGCCTCAGCATCCGGGTTTTCTCCCCCAGGACCGCGTCCCGGGACGGCCGGGGTCTTCTCCCGCCGCCGGCCCAAGGCCAGAGCGCCGGGCAAGCGGATCTCGCTGCGCGCGAAGGGCTTCGCGGTGCTGTTCTCCGCCCTCCGCCTCGGGGCCCCGCTGGGCTGGGGGGCATCCTTCGGGGTTGCCGGGGGCGGAGGCTCCGGGGCCTCGTAGGGGTGAGGGACCACTGGCAGGATGTCCTTGAGGAAGACAGACGTGTAGTGAGCCGGGGAGGGCGGCTCCGGCGCTGGGGGGGCGTGCGCTTCGGAGGCCTCGCCCTCCTCCCCGCCGGCGTCGGGCGCGGGGAGCCCGGCGCCCGGGGGTCCCGCCGCGAAGCTGGGCGCGTAGGTGGTCTTCACCATCTTGCGCAGGTCTCGCGGCCGCGGGATGGTCGGGCGCGGACGGCCGGGAGCCGCCTCCCCCGAGCCCGAGGCCTCCGGGCCCGCGCCGCCGTCCAGGGCGCCGGCGGGACGCCTCGGGGGCGGGCCCGGCGTAGCCACCTCCGGAGCGACTTCCGGGGCGAGCGGGCCCCGCGCCCCCGTGAGCTCCCGGGTCCCGGGCGCCGGCGGCGTAGGTGACTCCGGCTCGTCGGGCAGGCCGTTCGGAGCTCCCTGACGCGGCGCCGCCGACGGGCCCTGCACGGTAGGCCCCCACGCGTCTCGGGGCGGCACAGGGTGGTGTGAGTCCCGCCCCGGCGGGGCTTCGGGACCCGGGTTCTCAACTCCGGCGACGCCCCGCGTCCGGTGGGGAGGAGGCGGAGGGGAAGGGCTCCTCCCGAGGCCCTCGTCCTCGAAGGCGGCGCTCCGGTTCTCCCACGCGGAGGACGCCCCGGGGAAGGACGGGCTGCTCGCTCTCCAAACAGTCCTGTGAGGTTGAGGGAGGCTCCGCGGGGACGGGCAGCGAGGACCCCGCACGGCCCCGTTCGGGGCCTGCTGTGGGGGAGACGGGCTCCTGGGCCTCACCGCCTTACCGGGAACCGCCCGGGAGCCCCTGGGAGGGAAAGGGGGACTCCGGGCCCGCGGTACGGTCCGATCGGGAATCTCTCGGGAGAGCTGGCTCCTGGGTTCCTGTCTGGGAGCCGGCTGCATCCTCTCCTCCGACTGCAGGAAGATGCTGGAGCTGACCGGACCCAGAGGCTCCGTCCCGGGCGCCGGCCGGTCCCGCCGGATCGCTCGCTCGCGGAGGCTCGGCCAAGGCCGCGGGGCTCTGTCGAGCGCGCGGGGCGGCCGAGACCTGACGTCGTCCGGGGCCGCGCGAGCGCCGTGCGCGGGTCCCGGAGGCTCCGTGCGCTCCCGCGCGCCGGTGGACCCCGAAGTGCCGTGGCCGGCGGCCAGTTTCTTGGCCAGCGCCGTCTGGACGAGGCCCGCGGCGGCCTGCAAGCGACTCAGGGACTCGTCCAGGGAGCCGGTGCGCAGGAGCAGGCGGGGGCGCGGGGCGCGGCCGTCGGGCGAGGGGCTCCGGGGGCGCGCGCGCAGCTCGATCTGCCGCTTGGGCACGGTGCGCGGCCCGGTAGGCGCGGGGCGCTCCTCCAGGGCCACCTCCACGCACTCGTAGCGGCCGGGGGCGGCCGAGCTCGGGCCGCGGGCCGGCAGCTCCAGGTAGGTGGCCCAGCGGGAGCCCCCGTCGGGGGTCCGCGGCGGCGACGGGGGTCCGTGGAAGGCGGGCGGCTCCGTCTCCTCCGCGGCCGAGCGGCCGCACAGGAGCTCCGCGCCGAAGACGACTTCCATCTCCCCCGACGGCAGCACGCGCAGCTGGGGCCGGGGCGGCGGCGGGCCTCGCGGGAAACCCGAGCCGCCGCGCTGCTGCCGGCGGCTATTCTGGGCGCTGACGGACAGCACGGGCTGCGCGCCCGCCCCCCGCCCGGGGGCCACCCACAGCCAGGTCCCCCGGCCTCCCGCGTCCGGCCCGGCGTCCGGGGGCTCCGGAGAGCCCGGGGCTGTGTGGTAGGAGCCGGACGAGCCGGACGAGTCCTGACGCCGCGCCGGGCCAGCCAGCCGCCCTGAGAGCCCGGGAAGGGCTGGCGGGGCGAGCGCCGTCAGCATGGCGGGCAGGACACCGAGCGCTGCCTCCTGCCCCGTGCCTCCGCTCCTCGCTCGCTCGCTCCCTCGCGGCGCCGGCACTGCTGTCCCCGCCCCTCCTGGACGCCGCGGGGTCAAAACGGTCTTAAAGAGCCAGCGTCCGCGCTTGGGCTGGCGGCCTTGGCGGTAGGGACCTGAGCTTGGGGGGTGGGTGAAGCCCCTATGCCCAACTTTCTCCAGCACAGGAGCAATTCAAGGGGCGCGGGGCAGTGAGGGGGCGCCCTCCAGACTTTGGCTGAAGGGCGTGTGTGAGGAAGGCAGGCCTAGTTTTAGACATGAACCAGCAGCTAGGCCCTACGCCACTTATCACAGGTGAGAAAACTGGCTTTGCAAGGGGCTTACCTGGGATAGGGTTTGTGATCTCGAAATTCCGTATCCTCAGCCCCAGTTCTTTAACATCACAAGGACACTCTCCTCCGTGGTTTCCTCCACTCCTCTCGCGTCCCCATATTACCTCTAATGGGGTAGGGGGAGAATTGGAGGGCTCTCCTACCTCAGGTAAGGTGCTGGTGGACTCATCGCTCTTAGGCCCATTGGGAAGAGCTGGAGTGAGGATGGTCCCTAGCTAGCTTTCACAAGCTGCTTAGCACCCAGAACAAACCTGGGCGACAAACCAAACCTTGTAGGGTTCCCTCTCAAGTCCCAGGCGCAGAAGGCCCTTATTCCAGTCCCCTAGAACATTCCTTCCTTCCCTGGTAGGGAAGCAACCAGCAGCTGTCATTGTCCTATGGCAGCTGGACACGGCCTGCCCTTAGCTTCTGGCTTGAAGGTCCGGCTGTGACTCAGGCCCCGGCTGGCCCTGATGCCAGCGCACTGGCCCCTCCTTTGCGCTCGCCCTCACAGTGACCCAGCACAGATCGCCTAGTGGCACACTCAGTGATGGCTTCTGAACAGATTTAGCCTTTCATCCTGTCAAGACCTGCCTGAGCAACTTGAGCAGGCTGCCCTTTCCCTGTGTCCCTCGGCTTTAAAGTTTTGTCAGTTCCCTCCTTGTGGTTTTTTTTGTTCTGAAGCGTAAGAAGGCGCAGATGTAGTTTGTATGATAGTGTAAACATATTCTTAGTACTTGATGGCTTCTGGTTTCTTGGGTTCATTGTGGTCCTGGAATCCAGTCTTCGGAGTCTCTGGCCAGGGCTAACACTCACACATACACTCCTTTCTGTCCTAACCCTAACGCCAACCCCTGAAAATCACATTTATTGGAGTCCAGGTAGGGTATGATTAGGCTAACTGGGGCTGTGAAGGACTAACCAGCAAAACCAAGCTGCAGTCCCTATTAGACCACAAACATCCAGTTTCCCATTCACTCCCATTGGCTCTACCCAGCCCAAACAAGGGCAGCAGCAGACACTGGAGACTTGAGTAGGGCTCCTAAGCTCAGAAGAGGCAGCCCAGTGGTGGATGACCCTAGCCATGTCCCCCATTCCCCCTTTGGTGCCTTGATTTGCTGTAGGAGGCAGACAGAGCGAGCTCCCTCGGTGAATGGACCCACAGGGATGGAACAGCTGATCTCCCCAGAACAGAGAAGGTAGAAGGTGGGCATTACAGCTAAAGAACAGGAAAGTAAGCATTTTATTTTTCCCTGGGACACTGACGGCTACGGCCCCGACGTGTTCCCGAGGCTTTCTTATGCTTCTGGTCCAGCACATGGGCCATGTAGCTTTCCTGCTGCTTCTGGATCCGGAAGTCAGACATGTGATTCCTGCAACGGAGCCGGCCGGTCGTAGGCTTGACAGCCCTGGGTAGGGGCCAGAAGTCAGGCTCCCCACTTCCATCAACAACCCCCAGCCTGGCCCCAGGACCCTCACCTGAAAATCTGTTTCTGATGGCTGATAACTTGCTGCAACTCCTTAATCTCATTCTCTTTGCCATTAAGTATATCTTCTTGCTTTATAATGTGAGATTCAATTTCTGTGGGGGAGAGAGGCAGGGGAAGGAGTGGTTCCCATCTCTCAGGCCCTCCTCAACTGAGGTCTTCCCTTGTGGGGCTTTTCAGAACTTCATTCTCCCTGCCCAGGGGTTCTCCTTCAACAACTGCCATCTCCTTAGCATGAATGAGTTTGTTTTTCTGTATTGACTGAACCCAAGGCCTCACACCATAGTCCCAATTCTCTCTTTTGAGACAAAAATAAAAAAATAAAAGATGTCGCTCTGGCTATTCTGGAACTTGCCATGTAGACCAGGCTAGCCTCAAATGCAAGCAATCCACCTGCCTCAGCCTTCCAAGTGCACCACCACACACATCTGCTTTCTACTTGACTCTGATGCTGTCTCATTAAGTTGACCAGGCTAGCCTTAAACTCACTCTTATCCTGGTAGGCCTCAAACTTTTGGTCCTGCTTCAGCTTCCTGAATAGCTAGGATTATGGGTATTGATGTGAGCCTGTCATATCAGCAAATTTATGGGGTCTTGGGGACAATGATTATGTCAGTGGCTTCATCCCTCACCCAGGTGAGGATTGGCAAAGTCCTTGGAGTGAAGCAGAGGACCCTGCCAGAGCCCTGGCCTCAGATTTTTACACCTCCTTGGCTAGAACCTTGGTCTAGAAATTCCTAATCCCATTTCCTGCCCCTTTCCCCGTGTGCCCATGTCTTCAGTGTCTCACACATCACTGTTTTGCCTTTGCAACTAGGGCATAAAGTCCTAGTTGTCTTCTTCACTGTCATCCCCAAGACTTAAAACACTACAAATCTGTGTTCTATGAGCTGAGTGAACATGATGTTCCCTGAGACTTTGGCCATCCCAGTTCAACCAGACCTAGCAAAGGCAGACTAGATGCTCAACCCTGGGCTATATAGGGCCTCTGGTGGGAGATGAGGTCCTTGGCGCTTTCAGATGTGTGCTGAACTTCCCTCAAAAAGGAGTTAGTAGTCAGAAATTAGAGGCTGGACTGATGGCTCAGTTAAGAGCACTGACCGCTCTTGCAGAGGACCCTGAATTGGTTCCCAGCACCCACAAGGTGGTTCCTAAACATCTAGTTCCTGGCATCCTCTTCCGACCTCCACAGGTACTAGGTACATATACGGTGTACATATATGTATAGGTAAAACACACATACACATAAAATAAATCTAAAAAAACCCAAAAAAACAAAACTCAGAAACTAAACCAAGGGTGGCAAGCTCACACTACTAATCCCAACACTTTGAAGACAATGGTAAGTCTGAGGCCCAAGGTCATCCTACCAAGCTTGAGGCCAACCGGGGCTACCTGGGACCCTGTCTTAACAGAATGAATGAATGAGGAGATAAAAATAAAGACTCGGCAGCTGAGCACTAGTGTTGTGGTGCGTTACTAGAACACGTGTCTGTGGGGCTCAAGTTTGAAAAGAGAAAAGGAAAAGGGCAGACAGGAGGTGATGCTCAGGGAAAGGGGAGGCCACGCCACAGGCAGGCTCATGCTGACAGGCAGGGTGAGTGTGCTGGCCTAGGGAGCGGTTTCCTTTGGGCCTGTGTCCTCGTATGTAAATCGTCCCTATTCCTGTCTGACAGTGATGGAAAAGCTTTCCTCCTAATGAAGCATACATTAGATAAAAAGATTTTTGTGTCTTGGGTCAAAATCCAAGGTGGCTAATAAGAATCTGAGAGCATTCATTTATATAACTGTCCTTCATGGAGCACCAGAAATTTCTGATCACGCAGGAAGAAGAAAAAAATAAATAAATAAATCCCAGACCACAAGGCTACTGGACTGGGAGCAAAGCCCGCTGGTAATGCCTACGCTCAGCCTGCCTTGGTTCCCAGCACCGCTCCGTTCAAGAGAAAAATAGGGGAGAAAAAAAGGGCAATGTTAGGTGTGGTAGTGCATGACAGGAATCCCAGCAGTAGGGAGGTGAGGGCAGGAGGATCAGTTCAAAGCCATTCCAAAGCAAGTCTGAGGCTAGCCTGGGGTGCACACACACACTCATCTCCAAAAGGGGACAAGAGGCTGGAGCATGAACTCGGCAGTTAAGAGCGCAGACTGCTCTTCTAGAGGACCTGGGTTCCATTCCCAGCACCCACATGATAGTTAACCTTCTGTCACTGTGCATACCAGGTAACATACCCACACATACAAACCAAGAAAACTAAAATCGTTGAGGTTCAGGCATATAAAAGAAATTGAGGGATAGGGTGAGAATTAGAGAGGGCCTTGGACGGTGAGACACTGGCCTTACAAACATGAGGATCTGAGCGGGGTCCCCAGGACCCACGTGAACGTGCTGGATGTGGTGGCATGTACTTATAATCCTAGTGTTGAGAGGCAGGAGGCTCTGGGGCTTGCTTGGCCAGCCAGAGTAGCTTCAGGCCAGGGAGGGAGCCAGTCTTAAGAGAAGTAGGTACCATCTCTCAGGATGACAGAGTTATCTTGCACCTCCCATATCCACACACGCACACCGCTCCACAGATGAACACATACAATTTAAATGGGATGGGAGCTGAGGAGGTGATTCAGTTGGTAAAGTACTTGCCCAACAAACACGAGGACTGAAATCTGGACATGGAGCACCCACATAAAAAGCCACGTGTAGCTAGCTGTGTGCCTTTGCAACTGCTGGGGAAGTCAGACAGCAGGTCCCTGGGGCTTGCTGGCCAGTCAGTCTAGCCAAAACTGGCAAGCTTCAGGTTCCGTGTGAGACCTGGTCACAAGAAATCAGGCAGTGGGTGTGAGATGGTTCAGCAGGTGAAACCCAATGACTCGAGTTCAATCTCCAGGACCCAGAGTGGATGGAGAAAGTGAAGGCTAGATTTTCATTTCAGCTCCACACATGCACTGTGGGATGCACACAGACCCACTGTAATATTAAACCACTGCTTTAAACAACAACAACAAAAAAAAAACAGCCAGCCATGGTGGTGCATGCCTGTAATTCCAGCACTCAGGAGGCAGAAGCAGGTGGACCTCCGAGTTTGAGGCCAGCCTGGTCTACAAAGTGAGTCCAGGACAGCCAAGGCTACACAGAAAAACCCTGTCCCGAATAAATAAATAAACAAATGAATGAATAATAAAAAATGTCAGGTAGTTGAAGCGTTGGCTCAGTGGCTAGGAACCCTGGCTGCTTTTGCAGAGGGCCCTGGTTCAAGTCCCATCACTCCTGTGGCAGCTCGCCACGGTCTGTGACTCCAGTCCCCGGGTATCTGATGCCTTTTTTTTGGTATCCGTGGGCACCAGTCATGTATGTAGTGCAGATATATACATACGTACAGCCAAAACACTCATACACACAAAATAAAATCTAAAATAATGTGGAGAGATTGAGGAAGGCACCTGACTTTGACCTCTGGACAGTGAATCTGCAGACAGACGGACATGTTACACATACAAGGAAGAAGGAAGACAGGCAACTACAACACAAGCTCTGGCCATGCCCAAAGGTTGGTCCACTTAGCAGTTGAGATGAAACCTGGTCCTTGGGCCACAATGTGGAAAAGAACAAAGAAACCTCAGTGAAGAGACAAGGAAGGAGCCCAGTGCATGATGGGACTGAGCCACAGAGCCTGGCGCTCAAGGTCATCTGGATAATCGGGACTAGCTGCATCTAAAACTCTTTTGGGAAAGAGAACTAGAAATCTGTGTGACTAGCGGGGCATGGTAGTACAGACCTGTTGACTCCAGTATTTGGAGGCAGAGGAACCTCTGTGAGTTCAAGGCCAGCCTGGTCTACACACAATTTCAGGACAGCCAGAGCTACACAGAGAGAACTTGTCTCAAATAAGGAAAAAAAGAAAATAGCTATGTAAATATCAAAACAAAAATGTGCTCAGCATTGGTGGCACATGCCTTTGATCCCAGCACGAGGCAGAGGTAGGTGGATCTCTGAGTTTAAGGCCAGACTCGTATACAGAGCAAGTTCTAGAACCAGGGCTACACAGAGAAACTCTTGTCTCAAGAAAGAAAGAAAGAAAGAGAGAGAGAAAGAAAGAAAGAAAGAAAGATCGCAAAGGACCCAGCAGAGATACTAAGGTAAGGTTCACATCACCATATTGGCTTAGTTGAGGGCTTCTGGCCCATGGAAAAGGAACAGGACAGTATGTGGGGAGGTAGCCAGACCCTGACCCCGTAACACATGTAGAGCCTCAGGGCCTGGACTGATATGGGCGGGAGAAAATGACCTCGGTAAGGTATCTCTGGCTATACCAGGAGGTATCTCCAGCTCCCCAGGTTCTCTGGGTAGGGGAGGTGCTAAGGGAGATGGAAAGGACTCAGGGATGGAGGGATACTGTGGGTTTGACACGGTGACTATGGTTAGGCTTTAGGAGGTCATGCTCAGACACACATGATGCCTGCAAGCCTGCTTGTCCTGATGAAGAGAGCAGCCTATTGGCATTTCTCAGGAGTGCCCACCTGGAGTGACAGAAGGTGGGTGAGGGCTGCCCAAGGCCCCCAGGTGGGCCTCACCAAAGGGATCTTAACCTTCTTGGGTTGGTCTCTGGTCTATTCAAGCTCTGATACAGAGAATGAACAGATGTTGTGCATGGAATTCACAGCTACTTTTTTAGGCTAAGTAACAAGAGTGTAGCATTTTCCGAAAATGGAAGGTGTTCCTGAAAGCTAGGGCTTAACATAGATGTGCCATCAGCTCAGGGCGCTCCACAGAAGCACCTGAAATCCAGTGGCCCAGACATCTTTTACTCAGTGAATACAGTACTTTAAAACTGCCCAAATTAGTTGCCTACACTGACAATTCAGAAGTTTCCATTAAAGTCAGCTTCTAAATCCTTTTTTGTTTATGACACAAGGTCTTACTGCTCATGATGACCTCAGACTCCCAATCCTCCTGCCTCCACCTCCTGAATGCTGGAATTAGAACATAGTGCACCACAGCACCTGGCTTCTAGATTCTTTTCTTAAAGATCTGGCAATCCTAGGCTCTGTTTCCCATGAGAGGGGCACGAGTCTCATTACCCCAGTCCTCACTCCTTGATCCTGGTCTAAGATCGGCTCCCCAGTAGGACTGTGCTTGCTCTATGGCTCCTCTTGAAGCAAGGTAATAAACAGGGTACACTATTTCTAAAACTTATCAAAAATGGGAAAAAACAAAAGGTGGAGTAAGAAGGTTGTATGTTTCAAGAAAAATGGAAGCAAGCCCGTTCCTTTATGGCTGTGAAGAATATCGCACACCGATCGATGGCTTCCATCACTTCCGTGGCCTGCCTGGTCCCTGAAGGCACTTTCGAAGGTGTGACCCGCCTGGACTTGCCTGTATCCTCAGCCGGGGGCAGAAGTTGGGGTAGAACCCTGATTTTGTTGATGACACTGGGCTGTTGGGAAAGAACCCGTGTATGTTAACAGCACGGGACTCCCGCCTACCATTGCACTTGGTGATGAGCTGGTCCTTCTTGCAAGACTCCTGCAGAACTCTGCTCTTGACGCTGGAGAGCCTGGGTAGGGAAATTAAAATGAAAGGGTGGGCAGGTAGAAGGCAGGTGAGCCCCTAACCTCCAAGCCCCTTCTGGAGGCTCACTCACGCTTTTTCAAAAGCCAGCTTCTCTTTCTCCAGCTGGTTGGACAACACCTCCACCTCTCCAAGGGCAAACTGTAACTTCTCTTCTTCCTTAGCCAGGAGGGCTTTGGTTTTGGCATGAGCAGCTTTTTCTTCCTGCAGGGGAGGTGCTTATGCTCTTTATCCCAAGCCTCCGAAGGTCTCTGGATCCCTTAACTAGCTCCCTTCCTCAGGGGTGCATGTGGAAGCCAGGGTGAAGGAAGATTCTGCCTCCCTATAGGGCTAGAGGTTCTGAAAGGCCAACGCTCAAGGACTCTGCCCAGCCACAGGGATCTTGGGAAAGTGGGAGGTGGTTAGGCATCCACAGAGGCCAATACTCACCACCAGCTTCTTCTCTATCTCCTGGAACTCTTCTTTACTGACAAAATTTTCATCCTGGAGAACCATCTGCAACAGAGCCTGGCTCAGGAAGGGGCTGGGGTGGGAGGGGGATACCCCCTAATGACCAGGACAAAGGATGGATAATGGATCCATGTCCAAGGCACCCAGGACTTGACAGGCCGTAGGGCAGGAGACTTTAGTCTCACAGATTTCCTGAGGCCGAGCTTTTAGGTGCTGCCTGCATGGAGCAAGCACCCTCATGGAGATGTCTCAAAGCCAGCCTTAACACTGTATGTCATGGGTGAAGGCACAAGGGACTGTGGTACAGAGGAACCCCTGGGGCCCGGCTTTAGTAAGGATCAGGATTCCTCTCAGAAAAAGACACACTAGTCCTAAGATCTAACTGCTAAGTAGGAGTAGAGAAAAAAGTGTTCCAGGTGGTTGGGAATACACATGCCAAAGTGAGCTGCCAAAAGAAAGATCTGCGGAGCCTCTGGGAATTGAAGGTGATTCAGTGCCCATAGCAGCACACATTCCCTTGAAATACACAGAATAGCCTCTTATAATTCTCTTAGAGTCTAACTGCCCAGAAGGGAAGACAGTGTCTAAAACCCATAGAGTAAAAAAATAGATGTGAAGCCAGTTTTATTTTTTGAGATAGAGACACATCTCAGCATGGTTACCAAAATAGAAAACACAAAAACCATGATCGCCAAGCTGGCCAGCACCGAGATAAACTGTGACGCCAGTGGCTGGCTTCCCTTAGCTGAGGGTGGAAACAAATGGACACAGAAAGGTTTGGAGGCCCTTAAGTCAGCACTGAGAAAGGCCAAGTCGGCATTCGCACTGCATCTGTCACTGGAGAGTGAGGCTTAAGGAATGATCTGGCTTCTGTGTGCAAGCAGCCTTGGGGAGTCAGTGAGGTCACCCCTAAAAGTGGAGACACTGAAGTTCTATCAGTCCTTTCAGCACTCGGACAGAGTGGGGGAACATAGCCCAGTTTGGGCTAAAGTTCAGGAAGTCACCCCAGCTCTTGTTGGTTCCGCCCCTGGCAAAAAAGCGTGAGCCCAGCGTGCGGGATGACGCCCCGCCCCCAAGGTAGTCCAGTCACGCCCCCTACATCCAAAGAGGGCCTGGCCCCGCCCCCGCCGGTGAAGCATCCGGCGAGGCCTTTCCCCGAGCTCTGGCTCCATACCACATTCCTCAGCTGGTGGATCAGTTCCTCCTGAGATTCAATCACGTCCCGCAGTTGATCGAAGGCAAGACACACAGAACCAGAGCCCACCTGCGACCACCCAAGGGGCGTCGCCATCTTTCGCCCCCGCCAGCTCGTTGGAAATGGCCTCCGGCTGCGTGCCTCGCCTGTCGTCGGCCAATGAGAATACGACGCCACAGAGCACCCTGGCAACCGGGGGCGGAGACTTCCTCTGAAGCTTCTTGAAGCCGGGGCGTGTAGTTCAATGGGTACAGCCCTTGTGTCGTAAGAGAAGGGTTGGATTTCATCCCCAATAGTGTAGCAACAGAAGACTAGGTGTGGTGGCTCAGGCTGGTAACTTCAGCCCTCGGGAGGCTGGAGGATTGTGGGTTCAATCCAGACCTACATGAAAGCCCTGCCTCAAAACCCACAAAAACACAGAAGCTCAATCAAAAGAACACACTTTGGAAGTAGAAGAAATTCAGTCATTTTTGCATACATAGCAAGTTCAAGGCTAGCTTGGACTCAAGAGACTGTGTCTCCAAAACAACAAAAAGCAAAACCTTATAAACCAGACATGGTGGCAGATGCCTTTAATCCCAGCTCTCTGTGAGTTCCAGGACAGCCACAGCTACACAGTGAGACCCTGTCTCAAAAAAAACAAAACAAAAAGCCAAAGGGGTGTCATGGCCGTGGGGCAGTGGACTAGAGAAACCTGCAGTAGAACATCCCAAACATAGTGGATGTAGTCTGCAGTCTGTCTGTCCTGTAGGAACACTAGGCATACCTGGTTCTCAAAACATGACCCATGTGCCCTCGGATTTAAAAAAAATTTTTTTTCTTAGATTTATTTGCATGTGTATGAATGTTTTTGCCTGCAGTGTGTGTGCACAGTATCTGCCTAGTGTCTGTGTGGGTCAGAAGCGGGGCCTCTGATTCCCTGGAATCAAGGTACGGATGTCTGTGAGCCACTTTGTGGGTGCTGGGAACCGACCCTGGGCCTTCAGCAAGAGCAGGTACTTTTAAATTCTGAGCCATGTCTCCAGCTCTGTGCCTAAGGATTTTTTTTAAAAAAGTGTGTGTTATGTGTGTACTCAAGCATGTGTGTGCATGTGTACGCAAGTGCCCATGGAGGCCAGGGGAGTTGGATCCCTTGGAGCTAGAGTTACAGGTGGTTGTGAACCATCTGATACTGGTGCTGGGAATTGAACTCTGATCTTCTGGAAAAGCAATGCATGCTTATAACAACTGAGCCATCTCTTCATCCCCTTGCCTAAGGAGTTTTGAAGTTTTTGTTTTGTTTTTTTTAAATTACCTTTATGTGCATTGGTGTTTGGCCTGCATGTATGTCTATGTGAGAGTGTCAGATCTTGAAGTTACAGTTGTGAGCTGCCATGTGGGTGCTGGGATTTGAAACAGGGTCCTCTGGAAGAGCAATCAGTGCCCTTAACCACTGAGCCATCTCTCCAGCCCCCACTTTTTTTTTTTTTTTAACCAACTTTAGTTATAATTTCCATTTCAAGAATGCACTCTACTTCTGAGCTACATCCTCAGCCCGCAATTCCAATAGCCACATATTGCCAGTGGTTACTGCAATGGATGGCATGTACCTAAGGTGCCCTCACATTTGTGGCCTCGACACAGCTTGTACAGAACTTTGTCTAGTAAATTAGAGCGTTCACCTGAGTTACCTCAGACAAAACTCCAGCGTCCCTCAGGGAAGTGATGCTCAGTATTCCTCCATGAACCGTGCTCTGTTCCATCCCCCAGAGGTTTCGTGATGTTACTTCATGTCTTTGGCACTCAACGTTCACCCCCAGCAGTCTAACAGGCTTCCTCTGGGACAACACCCAGAAGGGCAGGAGGATCTAGTAACCAGTCTCTGGGGATGGGGCAAGGTTGCAAGGAGAGAGCCGTGGATCCAGTGTGGGCGTGAAGGCTGGTCACCCTGGTCAGACATCTATGTCAGTAGGCATTCTGGGCTTCTGGTCAGCCTGGGCTCAGTGAGACTCAGTGTGATGTGACACTGTGGAGTTGAGCTCCTACCTGGGAGAGGATGCCTCCATTAGCCACTTGATGCTGTGACAAAGTGGTTCTAACAGAAGCATCTGGAGGAAGGTGGGATTTATTTTGACTCACATTTTGGAGGGACAGTCCATCACAGCAGGAAGGCAGGGCAAGCAGGGGCTTGAAGCAAGCTGGTCACATTGAATATACAGTCAGTGTAAGTAGTTACTTTTTTATTGACCTGATGAGACTCTATGACAGAGGCGACTTATAGAAAGCTGGGTTTATCTGGACAGTGGTGGCGCACACCTTTGATTTCAGGAGATCTCTGTGAGACGCCTAGTCTACATATCAAGTTCTTGGCAGTCAAGGCCACATAGATCCTCTCTCCTAAAACAAAAATTCCAAACCAACCAACCAACCAACCAACCAAAAAAAAAAAAAAAAAAAAAAAAAAAAAAATCAGTTTTCAGCCAGTCATGGTGATATTTGTAAATTCAGTACTTTGGATGCTAAAACAGAAAGTTCTTGAGTTTGAAACCAGCCTGAGCTGAAGAGACCCTGCCTCAAATAATAAATGAGAAACAATAGGAAAAGAAATGAGAAACAATAGGAAAAGAAACAGTGAGTGCTCGTTGATAACTGGTAGATTGGTGCTGGGAGCAGGGAGCTCAGGCTGAGGAACCTCTGGTCTTTCAACAGGGGCTGCCTGAGCTTTCTCATAGCCTAGTGGGTGGATTAGGGAAAGCGGTTAGGTGACAGGAATAGGAACTACCAATGCCTGAAGGCCTTGTATAGGGTGGGAACAGGGCATGTATGTACATACATGTATGTCCAGTGCTGGGGATTGAACATAGGATTCCTGATTTTGAGATGTATGCTAGACAAGTATTCACTGAGCTACATCCCAGACTTTTGATTTCCTTTTTTAATTTCTACCTCAGAGAGATGGTTCAGTGGTTAAAAGCACTGGCTGTTCTTCCAAAGGACCCAGGTTCAGTTCCCAGCACTTAGGTGTAGCTCTAGTCCCAGGATCTGACACCCTCTTCTAAGTTCTGCAGGCACCAGGCACACACACACAGTACACAGACATCCATTCAGGCAAAGCACTCATACACATGGAAAAAATCTCTACCTTTTACAGAAACAAAAGAGAACAGAAAAGTATACCCCAGTCTATTGCTGGATCCTTTGGCCACAGGAATGGAGATACAGACCCCTGTCCACCACCTTTCTTTTAGTGCTGGGATCAACTTTCTCTCTCTCACAATGAGCTATACCCCTTTCCTGCCCTGACTCTCCCACACTCTTCTTCCTGTTTCCTTTCCTTTCCTTTTTCTCTTTCTTTCTTTTTTTTTTTTTTTTTTTTTTTGAGACAGGGAGACAGGGCTTCTCTTGTAGTCCTGACTATCCTGGACTCCCTTTGTAGACCAGGCTGCTGGTCATGTCTTAAGGCCAGCCTCAAACTCAAACTACAGAGTAAGTGGAGTCCAAGACAACCAGGGCTACACATAGCTCAGCGGCAGGGGACTTACCAAGCATGTAGCATGTGCAAGAACCTGGATTAAATTCCCAGTCACACACACATGCATGCACGCATGCACGCGCGCACGCGCGCGTTCTTGCAGGGATGGTGATGCTAGAGAGATGACAGCAAGTGCTGCTCAAGTTTGGTTTCCAGCACTCAGGTTGGGCATCTTACAAACCACTGTGGTGTGGGGGCACACACCTTATATCCTAGCCCTTGGGAGGCAGAGGCTCTGTGAGTTCGAATCAAGGCTAGCTTGGTCTACAAAGTAAGTTCCAGGACGGCCAGGGCTACACCTCGAGAAACCCTGTCTAAAAAACAAAACAAATAAAAACTATAATTTTAGCTTCATGGGATCCGACACCTCTTTCTTCTGTGGTCACCTCTCACCCATACACAGATACACATAATAAAAATCCTCAAAACATGCCAAGCAGGGTGGTGCATGTCTTTAATCCCAGCATTGGGAGGCACAGGCAGGCGAATCTCTTGAGTTCCAGGCCAGCCTGGTCTACAGAGTAAGTTACAGGCCAGCCAGGGCTACACAGAGAAACCCTATCGCAAAAAAAAACAAAAACAAAAACAAACCAAAAAACTTCAAAACAAAATGTTGGCTATGATTAGAACGTTAATGTAAACACTGGGGACAAAAGCAAGCTACTCAAATAATCTGGGCAAGAAGGTAAAGCTACTGCAGTGGAGTGGATGGAAGTTTGGAAGTGTGCGCCTAATGGTATCAGAAGAGAGGTCCGGGATGCTTTGGAGGTAAAAAGCCAGACTTTCAAGGCTGGGTAGAGCACATCTGTAATCCTGGCACTAAGGATGCCAAGGCAAAATGAAAACTAGTAAGACAGTGGCTCTCAACCTTCCTAATGCTGCGACCCTTTAATACAGATCTTGGTGACCCCCAACCCTAGTTTTGCTGCTGAGGTAAGTCAGGTTCACGTAGTGGAATTCTAAGCTTAAAGTTTAGAGTGATGCTAGGTAATCAGTCAGGACATATTAGCATAGTGGCTCTCAACCTTCCTAGTGCTGCAGCCCTGTAATACAGTTCCTCGTGTTGTGGTGACCCCAAAATAAAATCATTTTCATTGCTACTCCATAACTATAATTTTGCTACTGTTGCAAATTGTAATAGTAATTAAGTACCTGATACGTAGGCTTTCTGATATGTGACCCCTGTGAGGCTTTTGACCCGCAGGTTGAGAACCACTACACTAGGTGTTTGCTCGAAGAGTCCTACACTGGGTATCATTTGTTTCCTGGCCTAGCCCACTGGAACACAGACAAGTTCTTAGATTCTGCTGAATTGAGTCTCAAGTCCATGTTGTTTCGGGGAAAAGATGTAACTAATTGGATAATAATAATGTTAACTAATTTAACATTAGTTTCTGATGCTAAATCTCGTCTTGATCTAGATTGGCTGTGGTGTGCTGCCATTGCTATCTAAAAGTAGGGAACCCTTAATGAAAGTGGCACTGGTTCAGTTAAAGCTACATCCTTCACCTACAGGCACTCTCTGTGGGGTCTTTATTCTCTGCTGCTTCCACGCCCCAGCCACCATCTCCACACTGTTTGTTTGTTTTTTCAGTGTAAGAGAAATAAAGATTAGGTGGCTCCTAGCTGTTCGGCTTCAGATGTCAAGTTGTTTATACAGTTACTTCAGGATAGGAACTGGTTTTATCAACAGGTTCTTTTGTAAACATGTTTTAACTCTCATAAAAAATAAACTGCCCAACATAAGTCTCTCATAAAATAATGTTTTCTTAAGACCAGATCTGTTTCTTACAGGGATATGATTTTATTAAAAGGTGGAGATCATTTTAAATGCTTTGTTCATACTCTTGTCTTATAATTAAAATTTATATCAATTGTGTGTGGCTTTCATTGTTGTTGGATTATAATTTTTTTTTTTAATTTGAGTGTTTTCCAGGTGTTGGTGGCACATGTCTTTAGTCCAGTTACAGGTGGCGGTGATCCACCCATTGTGGGTGCTAGGAACCTAAACTGGGACCTTTGGTTGAGCAGTATAAATTCTTCACTGCCAAACCATCTCTCCACCACTCTCAAACCTCTCTTAAAGAATCTGCTATACTGCCAGGTGCTGGCCATCACCTTTACTCCCGGCACTCATGGAGCAGAAGCAGGGTCTCTGATTTTGAGCCCAGCCTGATCTACAGGCTGAATTCCAGGATAGACAGAGCTATACAGAGAAACCCTGCCTCAAAAAACAAACAACAAAAAAGAATTGCCATAAAAGCCAGGAAAAATGGCTCACACTTTTAATCCCAGCACTCAAGAGGAAGAGGGAACTGGATCTCTGTGAGTTCGAAGCAAGCCTATACAGAGAAACCCTGTCTCAAGAAACCAATAAGTAGGGCTGGAGAGATGGCTCAGAGATTACAAGCACTGGTTGTTCTTCCAAAGGTCCTGGGTTCAATTTCCAGTAAACACATGGCAGCTCATAATTATCTAAAATGATATCTGGTGTCCTCTTCTGGCATGTAGGCATATATGCAGACAAAATACTGTATAAATAATAAATAAATCTCAAAAAGAAAAAAAAAACCAATAAACAAACAACAACAACAAAAAAGTGGAACTGAGTTCTATTTTGTTGTTTTTACTTTTTTTTAAGATTTATTTATTTATTTATTATGGATACAATGTCCTGTCTGCATGTACACCTACACACCAGAAGAGGGCACCAGATCTCATTATAGATGGTTGTCAGCCACCATGTGGTTGCTGGGAATTGAACTCAGGACCTCTGGAAGAGCAGCCAGCGCTCTTAACCTCTGAGCCATGTCTCCAGCCCTTGTTTTTACTTTTAACATAAGAGTGATGTCATTTTATATTGTTTGTTGCTGAAATTTTATATATAAATTATAAAATGTTAAAAAATAAAATTAACCAACGAAAATCCCACTTGCTGCTCTTTTTTTAAATATTTTTTAAAGATTTATTTATTATTTATACAGTACTCTTCCTGCATGTAGGCTTACACACCAGAAGAGCACTCCAGATCTCTTTATAGATTGTTATGAGCCACCATGTGGTTGCTGGGAATTGAACTCAGGACCTCTGGAAGAACAGCCAGTGCTCTTAACCTCTGAGCCATCTCTCCAGCCCCCTTAAATCTTTCTTTTTATGATTATTTATTATGTATGATCTGTTCTGTATGCATGTATGCCTGCACACCAGAAGTGGGCATCAGATCTCATTACAGATGGTTGTGAGCCACCATGGAGGTACAGGAATTGAATGCAGGACCTCTGGAAAAGCTGACAGTGCTCTTAACTGCTAAACTATCTCTCCAGCCTCTACTTATTGCTCTTGCAGAGAACCCAGGTTCTGTTCCCATCTCCCACATGATGGCTCACACTCACTTTTCTGGCCTCCAAGGGCACTATAGACTCATATATAAAACAATTAAAAGGGAAAAATATAAAAGAAATCCTTAACCACGCAGTGGTGACACACGCCTTTAATTCCAGCACTTGAGAGGCAGAGGCAGGCAGATCACTGTATTGTTATTTTTATTTTTATAGCTTTGGGTCTTGTTTGTTTGAGACAGGGTTTCTCTATGTAGCCTTGGTTGTCCTGGACTCACTTCGTAGACCAGGCTGGCCTCAGACTCACGGAGATCCACCTGCCTCTTCCTCCCCAAGAGCTGGGATTACAGGCGTGGGCCACTGCACCTGGCTCAGAACACTGTCTTGAAACAAAACAAAAAGAACAAATGTGAATCCATGCCATTAGTATTATGTGTTGTTTTAAACACAAATTATTCCACAGTACCATCTTTAGTCCACAGTGGCTCCAAGCATATTTAGTATCTGAGGACTTCATGCAAAGGCCGAACAAAGAAAAGCCACAAGGTCACATTCTGTATGTAAAATTGTTTAATGTTCACTTTGTAAAATACACTCACTCTAGATGCAATGGATCAGGTGGCCAGATTTCTCAGCATTTTTCACTGCCAACTAATTTCACATGTGTCATTCCTCACTCTGGTCACAGAGCACTTCTATCTCTACCTCTAAAAACTGAGTGTGATGCAAATGTAGACTCAGTCTATAACAGTTACTCGATACTGCATGAGGTATCAACAGTGCAGGCCCAAACATTAAGATGTATACTAACTTGGCCCTTTCCCAAAATAAATATATCGGACAGCAATCTAACACCTTACATGAAAAATAATTAAAAGCCAGCTCCTGTGAGGAGCAGTGCATGCAGAGACAACGGATTGGTCATGTAGGCCAGTTGCAACGAGAACCTGTTGGGATTCCCCAGGTGCCTCCTGGCAGTGCCAGTTGTGAGGAGAATAAAGGTGAGAATGAGAACTGCACACAGCTCAGCCAGCCTGCTGGCCCTGGCTCCAGCAGGGTTCGGCATGTCTTGTAAATTCTAATAGTTCCCAGAAGCATGCACAGCAATGCTATTTTCTTACCGGTCACTTCTCCCAAGCTGTCAGCCTGGAGCTGATCAATGGAGCTTAGATGTTTTCCTGGCTTGAGTGATGAACAAGGTCACAGGCTCCTTCAAGCTCTGCTGTTCCTTACAAGGAGGATTTTCTGTCTCCCTCTCACTAAAGACAGCACCTCATTTGAATGGCAGTTTCTGATCCTGTGTGAGCCCTGAGTCCTGTGTCTTAACTTCACTCCCATCGCAGTCTCTATTCTGTGGTCTCAAGCTGTGAGCCACAGTGACAGGAAGAACAGCCATGGCTAAAGGGTTTACACTGATAGGAAATCTCCCCCAAGATGTAGGCAAGAGGACAAAGCTTGCTTTGCCAATAAGCACACAACGTATCTAAATTATAAGCAAGGAAGGACTTAAGAGTGTAACACTATTCTAGATAGTGCCAAATAGATTAGACTATAAAAGTTAACAGAAGCAAATACAGTTCTCTTGAGGAAACAAGACACGAGTACTGTAGTCTGCCAGGAAACAGTGCTACCAGGCTATAGGAACAGACAATCGTTGTGACATTTAATGCAGCTGAGTTATTGTCTCTGGTGTCATCATTACAGGTAGCTCAATCACTTCCATGAGATCTGCAGAACTATTCAAGGGCATCTAGGCAGAGGGGTTTATACCCTGCCAGACCAGTTTCATGATGGTCTACTTTCTGGCTGAGGCTGAGGCTGGGAGAGGACAGCTTTTATTTTTTCATGTCTAGGAACTTTCCATAAGCTTATTTGGTTTATGGGTACATTTTAAAATGTATGTTTCAAGACAGGGTTTCACTCTGAACTTGCTATGTACAACAGGCTGGCCTTGAATTCACAGTAATCCATCTGCCTCTATATCCAGGGAGTTGGGTTTAAAGGTATATGCCACCATGCCTGGCACATTTTACAAAATAAATTCCCTGCTATTCATAGCTTAAAGAGATTCTCAAAAAATTAGAAGATAAGTCTCGGGACATAGTTCAGCAGGCCAGCATGCACAAAGCTTTGGGTTCATTCCCCAGCACCACATAAGCCAGGAGTGACTAGCATCCAGGAGGTAGAGGCAGAGGATCCAAAGTTCAAGGTTTCAGGTGGTGGTGGCACACACCTCCTTAAATCCCAGCATTCTGAAAGCAGAGGCAAATGGACCCCTGAGTTCGAGGCCAGCCTGACTTACAGAGTGAGTTACAGGACAGCCAGGGCTACGCAGAGAAACCCTGTCAAAATACAAACAACACAAAAGAGCTGGGCCTTTAATCCCAGCACTCAGAAGGCAGAGACAGGCAGATCTCTGAGTTCGAGGTTAGCCTGGTCCACAGAGAAGTTCTAGGGCAGCCAAAGCTACACACACATACAAACACACAAACAAAAGCAAAACAAAAAACCCTGTTTCAAACTACCTTCCCCCCTTAATCCCCAAACCAAGTCAAGGTTTTTGAGGCCAGTCTGGGATACATGAGACCCTATCTAAGAAGAAAAGAAAAACTACATGGACTATAAACCAGTCACCTACTGGTCTGTTCAAATTCAGTCTTGATAATCTGGGCACTCAGAAACTGAAGTCTGACTCAGCCCTCCACAAGAAGGCCCAACCACACAGCCTAGGCAATCAATGACTTAGAAATAGGAACAGTTGCTTTTTCTGCCTCTGAAGATTTGTATCAAGGGCCCTGTTTTTTGTTTGTTTGTTTGTGTGTTTGTTTTTTGAGACAAGGTTGCTTGTGTAGCACTGGCTGTCCTGGTACTCAATTTGTAGTGGTGTCAAACTCACAGGGATACAACTGCTTCTGCCTCCTGATTTCTGGGATTAAAGGAATGCACCACCAAGCCTGGCCTAAGGGTCCTGCTTTTTAGAAAATATATATGGGTATTTTGTCTGAATGTATTTCTGTGCACCAGGTGCACTCAGTGCCTGTAAAGGCCAGAAGAGGGAGTTAGGTCCTTTGGAATTGGAGTTACAGAACATTGGGAGCTGCCACCTGGGTGCTGGGAATTGAACCTGAATCCTCTGGAAGAGCAGCTTTAATGGCTGAGCCATCTGTCCAGCTCTGGTCCTTCTAAAAGCCTAGCAGGGAAGCAGCCCTGAAGGGATGTAAGAGTACCATGGAAAGGATGCAAGTTGGGGGCGAAGGTGTCCTGGAGGACAGAGGCATCCGAGGAAAAAAATCTCTGCTTTGCCAACCTGGCTAGAATCACCTGAGAAAGAGTATGATCTCTCACATTTCGTACTTCCTTACCTAACCATATGACCTAGGTCAACTATTCATCCTCTCTGGCCAGTGTTCTGATTCATGAATAAGGTAAAGCACTGGCTTTATAAATTGTGAGGAGGCATAAGTAAAAAAACAGAAACGGGCTGGAGATGGCTCAGAGGTTAGGTACACTGGCTGCTGCTCTTCCAAAGGTCTTGAGTTCAATTCCCAGCAACCACATGGTGGCTCACAACCATCTGTAATGAGATCTGATGCCCTCTTCTGGTGCACAGGTGTACATGCAGACAGAACAGTGTATACATAACAAATAAATAAATCTTTACAGAAAGAAAGAACGAAAGAAAGAAACCACAGAAACAAAAGAAAAGAAAGAAAAAAAAAAACCAGAAACAAAACCACAAAATAAAAACCCACATGAAAGCAATTGCTTTGTAGTAGGCACTCCAAAAACACTGAATGAAAGGAAGATGTGCAAGGGTACTGACTCAAAGTGACAACTAAGGCTGACATTAGCCCTCCACGCCACAGACAGGCTCCTCCCTCCCTTCGTGTCTCTGCCTGTGCCTCCTTTTGGGTCTGACTACTGCACTTCTGTGCATACTTGTGCTCACCATGACTTACAATACTAAATGATGAGTTAAAGGGGAAGCGACACAGAGAATGCTCTCCAGTTCTGAGATGCATGGAGAATCGACACTGAGGATCTGACAGTCTTGTATTTTACCTTCTCCCTTACCCCTGCTTCCTGCTGCTGAAGAACTGGCCACTGAACTGTTTTACAGCAACACATTTGTTTGTTTGTTTGTTTGTTTTGTTTCTTTTTTTTGAGGCAAGGTCGCATTATGTAACTGGCTGGTCTAGAACTTGCAGTGTAGTCCAGGCTGCCATGCCTTTGCCTCCTGAGTGCTAAGATTGAAGGTGTGTGCCACCATGTCCAGCCTGCTCAACAGGTATTACTTTCCAGACCTTCTCAAAGAGATGACTAAGGAAATAAAAGGAACCTCACTGGGTATGGTGGCTCATACCTGTTATTCCAGCACTCAAGAGACTCAGACAGCAGGATCGTTGCAAATTCAAGGCCAGCTTGGACTATACAGTGAGTTCCAGGCTAGTCTGAGCTACAGAATAAGCCCTTCTCTCAAAAAAGAAAAAAAAAAAAATCAAATCAGGCAATTTGCTCATGTTCCTGACTCAACAGAAATATGGACAACACTGAAGAATTGCCTAAATAATTCCATTTCTCTATGCTGTCCTTAGGGAATGGGAAAACTGAAAAGATGGTGATTTTTGCAGCAGGGAGAGGTCTAGTTCTTGGTAGACACCATCAATACCCTGAAGCGCACTGGCGATGCCTGGAGGTACCTTGGTAGTGGGCTTTTGCTGCGGAGAGGATGAAGAAAGAAAGGTGGACCTTCTCTGGAATGCCCTGGCCTATGTTCACGGAGGAGCTGGGTCCAAAATTTACCATTTGTGTAACTCAGACAGTGTTCCTGCCCTGGGAGCCTAGCCTGGCGAAGAACCGGGTGGGGACAGATGTAGCTCCATCTGCTGCAGCTCTGCCCAACAAAGTCAGCAGGTAGTAGCACGCTCACCGTTTCCTAACTTGTATTATACAGTGGAATTTGCAATGTAAAAGTAACAGGTAAGAAAGCCCACCCTGAGCAGGGCATGGTCCTCTCAGCCACCCCTTCGGAGACCGATGAGCTTGGAAAGTTTCTCACAGTTCTCGAGTTTCATCGACTCCGCTTTCTGCCGAAGTCGCTCATCTCTGTACAGCCCTGCCAAGTTGGTCAGCTCCGACTCTGAAAGACACAACAGGTTCATTAAGACTGAACACCTCCTTCCCTTCAGTCTTTCTAGGTTCAAATGGCCTTGCTGTCATGCTACTTTGCTCTAATCCATCTGGGCAACAGTTACTCCTCTACCCTAGAGGTACCTGTTGGGTCTGCGAGTTAAGGCCATCTGGGACCTGAGAGCACTGTAGTCGGTGCTATGCTACAGAAATACTAGGCTTCATTTTTATCAACAAACACTTGGCAAAGGCATGGGAAGCTTGCACATGTGCAGAAAGAGGAGATCACCACAGCCTTGCTACCAGTGGTGATGAGATGGCAGTTGGAGAGACTGGAGCCCAATCGCCCATTCTTGTCATCTGGATAAAGACAGCTGCTACATTCTACCCTCAGTACTGCAGACTCAGGAGTCACACGTGATGCAGAGCCTACTCTGGTAGGTGGGCATCTACAGAAGGCTAGCGGCTCTCTTCATCCCCTTAGCACATATGGGGGTCACCAACTCAAATGGCTCTTCCAAAAGTCAAATCATTTTGACCCAGTTGTCTGGCTCTTTGACCAAATAAATACCATTTTCTCCTCATGATTAAGAAGGCCATTCTATTTTTAACTGGAATATAATTTCTGCTGTGTTTCTCAACTCCACGGTGTTTGGTCTAAGTTTTTATTCTCTTGTAAGTTGCTCATTCTTAGGGGGGAGCTCCTGAAATGCACCTTTGGAGACATGAGTATCACATATTAATAGGATGGCATGCTTGGATCGGCTTCGTGGCTTCTGAAAGTCTCCAACAGCAGGCAGCTTTTTTAAGGGACCCTGCTTATGAAAACACTATTTTAATCACTTTGAAAAAAGGCCTTTCATTTTTAATCACCTTGCTGACAGGTTTTGTTTCTCTTGGCTGAACAAGACGAAGCTGTCTGATTAATCAGTAAACTACCAGGACACAGGATTTAGCATTCATCCAGGAGGAACAATACCATGGACTTCTGAATAATATTCCATCAACACAAAACACTGCCTGGCATTTCTGCTCACAATGATTCACCAAGTAAGGCCCAAAGTGCAGAAGAAGCCCAGAACTCCAGGGTGAGGGGTAGATAACCCTGAGAACCCTCCCTGTACAATCGGGCTGCAGGGCCTGGACTCCGGCCAGGCAGTGGCTTGGCAGGCAGTGGGCCTCCCAGGCTGCAGAACAATGTGCTCTCACCCTTCGTGCGGGTGCCCACAGTGCCGCTAGCCAGGACCTTGCAGGTGATGGGGCTTCGTGGAGGACGGATTGCGCACTGCACTCAAGTGTTAAACTTTGGCTCCTTTGCCCCACTGCGTGCTCAGCACTCCTTTCCAGGGCTTCTCCGGCAGGTGGGGAGGCTTTGTGAAATCAGTCTGCACCTGCTTCTTCAGAGTCACAGCTGCAGAACAGATATGCTTCTGCCTTCACCAGAACAATCTCCTTATGCTGCTGCTTTGATTTTTTTGTTTTTGTATTTTAGAGACAGGTTTCTCTCTGTAACCCTGGCTGTCCTGGAACTCACTCTGTAGACCAGGCTGTCTTGGAACTCAGAGATCTGCCTGCCTCTGCCTCCTGAGAGCTGGGACTAAAGGCATGCATCTCCGCCGCCACCACCCAGTTCCTTATGCTGTTTTGACCTTTTAGATGTCTCATTCTCTGAACTCCTCATCCAGAAGACAGTAGACACTAATGATTCTTAGTATTTTCTGTCCTGACAGCCACTATAACCAGCTGAAGAAAGATATCTTTCACATAAGACATGGATTGATTTCACAAAGCTCAGTGAAACTGAGTCAGACAACCTGCTTTGGCACAAGGTCAGTGCTTCAAAGAAATATGCCTGCTCTCCTTCCGCCATGCCACAAGCCAAGGGTCTGTTCAAAGAGTATGTTACTTCTAACAAACTATGTTAACATTCAGTAACTTAAAAAATATTTTAGGGGATGGAGAGACGGCTCAGTGGTTAAGAACTTATTGCTCTGGTAGAGAACCTGGGTTCGGTTTGCCAGCACACACATGGTGGCTCACAATCATCCATACCTCTAGTTTCAGGGTATGCAATGCCCTCTTCTAACCTCTGCAGGTACCAAGCACACATGTGGTGCATAGACATGCATGCAGATAAGACACTCACATACAAAATTAAATGAAAGAATCTTAAAAAAGTATTTTATGTGTATATGTGAGTGTATACATGTACTCTGCGTGCAGGCGTGAGCCTGTGGACGTCAGAGCAGGGGCTGAGACTCCGGAGCTGGAGTCCTTTGAAGGACAGTGAGTGCTCTTAACATGAGCCATCTCTCCAGCCCCAACACTCAAGAATTTGTTCGTTTGGTTGCTTCTTTTGTTTTGTTTTGTTTGTTTTTCAGTAACTTATAAGTAAAACAAAAGAAAAAAGTCTTTGGGTAGGCAGGCACAGTGGCACATACCTGTAATCCCAGAGGCAGAGGCAGGCAGACCTCTGTGAGTTCGAGGCCAGCCTGGTCTACAAAGCAAGTCCGGGACAGCTAAGGCTACACAGAGAGACCCTGTCTCAAAAAAAACAAACAAAAAAATAATTAAAACAAATAAAATGAATACAATAAAAAGGCTTTGGGAGGAACAAACTTAAGAAAATACCTTTTCCTCTTAACAAAATGTTCCCTTCAATTGTAACTATCCAGGACCTGGTTCCAGGGCCACTGTCCTTTTTCTACTGTGTGAGGCTGTGCATGCTTAGATTTCACCAGGAATCCAGTGTTCACTCTTCTAAGCTACACCCACACCACACAACCTTTTGGTAGGAAATGATTTCCCCCCCCCTACTTCAAAGCTTAGGATTCCACCAGCTCTGTTATCCTGCTCAGGGGTGTGGAAAGAAGTGTTCATTCATGGCCAGCTCTTCACTCAGCTCTGCTGGACCAGCCCAGGAGGCAGGTCTTGCCTGTTACAATAATCTCGCCCAGCACAGTGACACAGCCACTTTCCCTGGCAGTATGTATAATACGCAGATCTATCCATGAATGAGTAAACAGGACTATTATCATCCGTAGTAAAGGATTAATCATAAAAATATCACCCATAATAGGCACTCCAAGGAAAAGCAAATAAAAGGAATAAGTAAGATTTTCAAAGACAATGGCTAGTCTTAATACAATTTCCATTTGGTATTTTGCCAAGACTGAACTTTGTTCTCAAGTGAGTTTATTTTTACAACCTCAAAGTGCTAAATTTAACCTTTCTGGCTGCACTTGCTGCTGGATTCAGAGGGCAGGTGCTGCCTGCTCTCAAATGGCACTTGGGTGGTGTGGAGGCTCCTCAGAACCATTGTGTTTAAATGCTATGAATAGATTTTACAGGGGATGAGGTGACAACCTCCATTCACAACTGGTGAGTTGCATACATCAGGCTCATTCAATGGATTTGCTTACATGTGTGTGCATGTGTGTGTGTCTGGTTTTTTGAGACAGGGTTTCTCTGTGCTGCTCTGGCTGTCTTGGACTCAAAATGTAAACCAGGCTGGCCTCAAACTCACAGAGATCTGCCTGCCTCTGTCTCCTGAGAGCTTGGATTAACAGTGTGTGCCACCACTGCCTGGCTGTATGTGTGTATTTTTAACTGAAGATAGATCCTAGTACTTCATGTATGCTAGGCATGAACCATACCCTGAGTTCTTTTTTTTTTTTTTTTTTTTAATATTTGCTATGGGGTTTACTAAGTTGCCCAGGCTAGCTGTGAACTCACTCTCAAGCCATGGCAGGCCCTGAATTTGTGATCCTCCTGCTTTAGTTTCTCAAGAGATTACAGGATAGGATTACAAGTCTATTCTACCAGGTGTAGCTCTCATAAAAATTTCACTTGGACCTGAAGAGGGCCACAGATCTGAACAGGCCTCATGTAGTGGGGAACAAAAGCCTAGGCACCACTTCTAGTACAGTCTTTAACCTCTTTGCATAGTCAGCATCTCAATGCCAGAGCAGAGTATGGAACATGTGCACATGTGTGTGTGTGGTTTATGTATATGTGTGCTTCTGTGTGTAAGGGCCCAAAGAATACAAAATACAGATTTGATGTAGCTCCAGCAGAAAGCAATACATTCAAACCATTCTGGTGCCCAGCACAAAAGGGACACTTAGGGTGTATTACTGTACCTTTTGTCTGATTCAGATCCTCACAGATTCTTGCTCCTAAATTCTTTCCCCATGCTGGGAACACCTTTAGGCCAACACTTGAAGGCAGAGGCAGGTAAATCTCTGTGAGTTTGAGACTAAACTATATACCAATTTGTTCCTAATTCTTTCCTCTCTCTTTCTTTCTTTCCTTTCCTTTGGCTTTTGAGACAGGGTTTCTTTGTGTAGCCCTGGCTGTCCTGGAACTTGCTCTGTAGACCAGGCCTTGAACTCAGGGATCTGCCTACCTCTGCCTCCCAAGTGCTAGGATTAAAGGCATTCACCACCAGTACCTGGCCTTTTGTTTTTGTTTAATTCCCCCTATTTATTTGTGTGTGTGTGTGCACCCTCATGAATGTATTATAACCTGTATGTGATAGTCAAAGAACGACTTTGGAAGTCAGTTCTCTCCTCTCTCCCGAAACAGGGTTTTCTCTGTGTAGCCTTGGCTGTCCTAGACTCACTTTATAGACCAGGCTGGCCTTGAACTCACAGAGATCTGCCTGTCTCTGCCTTCCAAAAGCTGGGATTATAGGTGTGCACCACCGTGTCCGGCTTGGAAATCAGTTCTTTCTACTTCTGGGTCATGGATTGAACTCAGGTCAGGCTTAGTGTCAATTGCCTCTACCCACTGACCCATCTCATCAGCCTAATTTTTTCCCCCAAGACAGAGTCTTACTATGTAGCTCAGTCTGATCTTAAACTCAAAATCTTCCTATCTGTGCCTCCCACTTGCTGGGATGACAGGCCTACACCACCACATCCAGCGCTCCTCTCTGGTTTTTAAAAGAGAAAATCTAATTTCAACAGCCTTGTCTGCACAGTGAGTTGCAGGGGAGCCAAGCAACATAGTGAGACACTGTCTCAAAAAAAAAACAACCAGATGAACAACAACAACAGCAAAAATACACCCTAATTTAACAATGAGGGAGGTTAAAAGCAAATTCGTCCTCCTGTTTAACTGGCCCTAATTTGAGGAGATAGCTAGGCTTTGCCCTGTAGAAACAAGGCAGAGGCAAGTTCCCTGAGGGAAAGGGATAAGACAGCACACTGATCTGTTACCCTTCTCATCAGCTCACTCATTTCCAGTGTAGGAATCTTCTCTAATAACCCAGAGCACTTGTTCTGAACCCAGAACAGCTCAGGACACAGAATTAGCATGACACAGTCTCCTCCCCAGGGCCAGGAGCCCTGCACAGGGAACCCACGTGTAAAGCTCGTGAGCAGTACTGCACTAGCAGGAAGAACAAAGTGCCTTAGGAACCCAGCGGAAGAGCAGGTTAGCTCAGTGGAGGTAGGGGCACGTGACAGGTCAGCAAGGGCTTATAAGCACCAGGACCAAGGACCTAATTGTATCAGTACACATTTAAAGACATTAGTAATAAAGTTTAAAAGATGAGTTAAGGTTGGCTTTGAAAACAAAAACAACCAAAGCCTAGTTCTCAAAGCCAAAATGCAGTTAGTGTGTGTGTGTGTGTGTGTGTGTGTGTGTGTGTGTGTGTGTGTGTCTTGAGGGGCTGGCTGAGACAGGGCTAACACTCCTCCCAGCACTCCCCAGTAACAGCTAGGGCTGTAAGCAAGTGCAGACACTGTCACTCACTGAGCTCTGGGAGGGAAAGGGAAGGAAGATCTGTTCATACTCCGCCCACTGAAAAGCCAGACCCAAGAGGCCACGCTCCTTCTATGCACTCAGAAGCAACGAAAAGTGAGGGGCACCAAACTCCATGCCAGCTGCAACAACTACTACTGCTTTTTTCTTCTTTCCTTCTCCTTTTCTTCTTCCTCTTCTCCTCTTCCTCCTCCTTTTTTTTTTGGGGGGGGGTGTTTGGTTTTTGTTTGTTTGTTTTTTGAGACAGGGTTTCTCTGTGTAGCCTTGGCTGTCCTAGACTCACTTTGTAGACCGGGCTACCTCGAACTCACAGTGATCCGCCTGCCTCTGCCTCCCAAGTGCTGGGATTACAGGCAGGCAACACTAGGCACAGTTACATGTAATTTTTTTTTAAAGATTTATTTATTTATTATTTATATAGTGTTCTGCCTGCACACCAGAAGAGGGTACCAGATGTTTGTGAGCCATCACGTGGTTGCTGGAAATTGAACTCAGGGCCTTTGGAAGTGTTCTTTTTTTTTTTTTTTTGGAAGTGTTCTTAACCAGTGCTCTTAACCTCTGAGTCATCTCTCCAGAAAAAACACAGGCAGTAAGATGGGAGAGCTAACATATATCTATAATCTAAGTTCTCAGGAGGATCAGAAAATAAGGACTGCAGAGCAGTAGAGTCAGAGGCAGGCAGATCTTTGTGAGACCAGCCTGGTCCACGCAGAGAGCTCTATGTCAGGTAGGGCTATGTAGTAAGCCCCCCTACCATCCCTATTCATGAGGAAAAAGAGAATATAACAGGTAAATACAAAGACGCCTGAGTTTCTAACTTTCCCAATCCTTCTATGCTATAATATCTGAGTGGGTGCTTGTTCTCATGACCCAAACCAGCAGACTAGCGGGATCAGGAAGCTGGGAGACCTCTCAGAGGGAAGTCATGGCCACCAGTGAAAGCCTGTGTGGCCTTACTTACTTTGCTGTTTCTCCTTCCAACAACTTGTCTGGGTGTAATCGATATAATCTTTCTCTATTGTTTTCTCCAGGTCACGAAGAGAAGCCCCTTTGTAGGCCTTGTCGAAGTTTTTATCCACAAAGTAAGGCACCTGCAAGTTCTGCGTTTCTCTAGAAATGGTGTAGCCCAAGGTTCTGAAACAGAGCGGAACACATCAGCTTGGAGTGAGAACACTCTCACTCTTGGCTCTGGCCAGCGTACACACCAAGCAAGCAATCTGGTAGTGAGGACCAACGCAGCCCCATCATTTAGTTCATTCTTTACAAAGAGTCACCTGCAGCCAGCGTTGGCTACTTTGCAGGCTCTTCTTCCCTCCACCCTTCTCTACCCTTTCCCACCTTTTCAATCCCCTAACACTAGATAGGAGAGAAGAAAAGATAGATGGGAAAGGGGCAATGTTATCATTAGACTACTTCCTGTTGATTAGGGGCATCAAGTTTCTTGGAGCAAGTTTAATCCTGAATGTAAGACTATCTAATTTATTCTTCTCATTTCTTTGCTAGTGACTACTTAGCAAACTATGACCAACAACAACCAATAGCAGCCAACAGCAACCACCCATCACCCACCCACATCCAGACTCTCAAATTTATATACCCTCTGAAAAGTTCCAGAATTCCAAACATCACTTATGGGCAACAAATGTCCCTCCTTGCAACTTTTTTTAATCAATTTAAATTTTATGTGTATGAGTATTTTGCCTGCATGTATGTCTGTGAACTATTTGCATGCCTGATGACTGCAGACACCAGAATAGGGCATCAGATCCCCTGGAACTGGAGTTATGAATGGTTCTGACCCACCCGGTCGTCTGCTAAAGCAACTAGTACTCTTGACCTCTGAGCTATCTCTCCAACTCTTCTTGTAATTAATTTTTTTTTTTAATCACCAGGTCCTAGTGTCTATCATTCCAGCCGTAGTTATCACAACCAGCCCTCCCTTCTTCCCTCTTCCTTTTCTCTCCTTCCCTCCCTCTTCCTCTCTTTCCTACCCCCTCCACGCCCCCCCCCCCCTTTCGCGTTTAGGCTGGCCTGGAATCATGGCAATCCTTTGTCCCTGCTTACTCAGTGCTGGACTGCAGGTGTGAGACAGCACTCCCGCCTTCATTAGGGTCCTTTCTAACTCCACCATGGTGAGAAAGATTTGCTATGAATCCCAAATTATTAGGTTGATCCTTCTAACCCAATTCTGACTGTTTTCCAGTTGACCAGAGGGTGTCACTGTGTAACAGAATAATCCTTCTCCTAAAACCACATTATTACTGCTGGGCTGTTCCTTTTAGTTTACATTAATTGTTTCCAAATACCTAAATTTAGTATTTCTCGCCTCCACAGAAAACACTAGAGAAACTCTGAATGGCTAGTCCTTGAAATAATAACCACAGTGGAAGGTGAAATTAAATGTCAGCATGAATCAGCAAAACCTGAAGTCTTTCGTCTTTCAGACTGTTACTGACAAAAAATTAGGAATATTCCACTTACGATTTGTAGAATAGGCTATATGGGGGGTTGGCAGCCAGCAGCTGAGTGATGGCAGAGATGATCACAATCACCAGGACTGGAAGCAGCTGAACAAACGCGGAATACGGCGACTGCAAGAGAGCAGAGGGTGCCTGAGACTCAGGTTCCACAGGGTTATGGGTTATGACTTAATGCACTGCACAGGAACGGCCATAAAGCCAAGGTTTGCCAAAAAGGTTTCATTTCATCTTCAAAGCAAACAACACATTTTCTCTCTGATAAGAGGCTAAAGGAAGCCCCTCCAATCTGCACTGACTGTCCATAAGCCCTCTGTCCCTTACACTTCTAGGTCATTCTGCTACAGAGGGACTGGGCTCCAGGAGTGGCTGGTGTTAAGCAACTCTTACTCAGCCACAGCTGTCCTGTGGCACCGATGACATCTAACTCCTATCAGAAATGATCACATTCTTCCTTGACAATGTAGGGTCGAGCTTCATCCCCTCCTTTATTAACTACTGTTTGGAGAAAGGACACATCCTCTCAGGGACCAGCCAGAGGCATAGTATTTATTGCTGCTTTTTGAATGTGTACATGCATGTGAGGCCACCAAGACAGCTCAGCAAGTTAAGGCACTTGCAGCCAAGACTGACAAGCTGGTTCAATCCCAGCGGTACTTCTTGCCTTTTGAACTTTCTGAGACTCCTCTGTTTTCTAACTTTAAACTCCTTTTAATTCATAAAATTTTGAGGCTTTTTTTTTGTTGTTGTTGTTTTGTTTTCTTTGTTTTTTGAGACAGGGCTTCTCTGTGTAGCTTTGGCTGTCCTGGAACTCTCTCTGTGGACCAGGCTGGCCTCAAACACACAAAGATCCGCCTGCTTCTGCCTCCTGGAGCGCTGATATCAATGGTGCACCTACCAACACCTGGCTAGTTCTGGATATTTTTTAAGGGATTCTTATTTTCTGTAGTTTAAAAAAAAAAAAAAAAAAAAAAAGGTCAATCAATCAAGACAGCCCCACAAGCTAGGCATGATGAAGCAGGTCAGCACGGCCCATCTGAGTGGATCTCCTCACCCCACAGAAGCATGCTCACTATGGCCACATGTATGATCTCCACTCCCCACGCACCTGAGGTTTGTCTTCTTCCTCTCTCTTGTGTGTCTGTGTCCTTTCATGGCGGTGCCGCTTGCGGTAAAAGTGACTGTCATCTGTCACGTTTGAGAACATGTGAATATTTCCTGGAAAAGAGACGTGGTTAGAGAGGGGAAGAGGGAGCAAGGGAGAGTAGGAGAGAACGTTCATGAGATGGCAGTTCCTTTTTTGTCCTTTTCAAGGTCATGATCCTGAGGCTGATGTCAGGCATCTGTTTATTGGACCCAACAGAAAAATATGGCAGTAGGAGCACGGAGGGAGCCAGCTGGGCATGGTAGGTATAACAATCTCCTGACTTTATGGAAAACTTGAAAAGGCCAGAAGACAGAGAGTATTTTGGCCATGAATCCTATCTGATATACTTGTGTCTGCTTCTGTGACCAGTATTAACTGGCATCTTTACTAGCCACTCATATAATTCAGTTTAAAGGACTGGGGCATAGCTCAGCATGTGGGCATACCTAGCATGTTGGAGGCTCTGGGTTGCATCCCTAGCAACACTAAAAAATTCAACTTATTTTCTTGGCATTTAACTTTTTCAACTTCCAGCTCTCTGCGATGTACATCATGGGTTTTGTTTTGCTGCACATATTGATTGTAATAAAAAAAAAAGGTTTTCACCATGACTTTTTTTTTAAAGATGTTTTATTTTTATGTATATGGGTGTGTTTGAATGAGAATGAATCCCACAGGCTCAAACATTTGAATGTTTGGGCCCCAGTGTGTGGAACTGTTTGGGAAGGTTTAGGAGGTGTGGCCTTGTTGAAGGAAGTGCATCAGTGGGAGTAGGATTTGAGGTTTCAAAAGCCCACACCAGGATCAGTCTCTCTCTCCCTGCCTGCTGCCTGCAGCTCAGGATGTAAAGCTCTCAGCCACTGCTCTATCGCCATGCCTGTCTACTTCCTACCATGATGATCATAGACTAACACTCTGAAACCAGAAGCAAGCCCTTAATCGAATACTTTCTAAGAGCTGCTTTGGTCATGATGTCTCTTTACAGCAGTGAAACAGTAACTAAGACAGGGTGTTTTGCCTGTATGTCTGTGTACTATATGCATGCAGCACCCACAGAGGCCTGAAGCGGGGATTAGATATAGCTGGACATGGAGTTACAGATGGTTGTGAGCTGCTATGTTGGTGCTGGAAATCAAATCCAGGTCCTTTATAAGGATAAGTGCTCTTAACTGCTGAGCCATTTGTACATGTTTTTATTTGTTCCTTTAAAGATTTATTTATTTTATGTTGCTGGGTGTGGTTTCACACACTTTTAATCCCACCACTCAAGGAAAAGGCAGGCAGATCTCTGTGAGTTTGAGGCCAGACTGAATTTAAGCTCTAGGATAGCCAGGCCTACATAGAGAGATCTTATCTCAAAAAACAACAACAAAAGATTTATTTATGTTTTCATGTTTATTTTCTCTATATGTATGTATGTGCACTGCATGCATGCCTGCAGAGGCCAGTCCCTTGGAACTGTAGTCACAAATGTGAGTCCTAGGAATCAAGCCTGGGTCCTCCGGAAGAGCAGCCAGTGCTCTTAACCACGGAGCCCCAGCTCCCCTCTTTGCTTCTGTTATGTTTTGTTTGAGACGGTGACTCATGAAAACCTGCTAATCTCAAACTTGCTATGTATTGAAGGATGACCTTGAACTCCTGATGCTCTGGTTTCCTCACCCATCAAGTGCTGGTATACACACTATACCCAGCATATACCACTATGGCTAGTGATTTATTAGAACATTTAAAAAATAATTCATTTTATGTGTACGGGCATTTTGTCTAAATGTATGTCTGTGCATCATGTGTATGGCGTGCCCACAGAAGCCAGGATAGGGTATCAGGTCCCCAAGAACTGGAGTTAAAAATGGTTGTGAGCCACGTGGGTACTGGGAACTAAACTTTGGTCCTTTTAAGAGCATCCAGAGCTGGGCATGGTGGTACATGCCAACACTCAGGGAGGCAGAGGCAGGTGGATCTTTCTGTGAGTTCAAAGCCAGCCTGGTCCAACAGTGGGACTCCAGAACAGCCAGGGCTATAGAGAGAAACCCTGTCTCAAAACCCACCCTACACCAAAAGAGAGAGAGAGAGAGAGAGAGAGAGAGAGAGAGCGAGAGCACAGGCAGTGCTTTTAACCACTGAGCCATCTCCCTAGCTCCTAAAGAACTTTTTAAAATATATTTATTCATTTATTCAGTATGTGTTTGCAAATGCGTGCGCATGTATGTATGCACATGTGTACATTCATGCAAAGCACATGTCAAAGGACAACTTTCGGGAATTGTTTCCATCCTCCTACCATGTGGATCCCAGAAATCAAATTCAGGTCTTCAGGCTTGGTGGGAAGAGCCTTTGTCTGCTGAGTCATCTCAAGAGACATTAGTGTTATGTTACTATGCATGTATATCCACAAATTTTGACCATATTCACATCTATTTCCTCTTATCTCCCTCTCCCCCTAGCCTCCTCTTTTCCCTATTAGTATTTGTGCTGAGGAGAGGTCTAACTTTTTTTGTAATTGCAATTTGGTGATGATATTAATAAAAGACATTTTGGGGCTGGAGAGATAGCTCAGTGGTAAAGAGCACTGCTTGTTCTTCCAGAGGTCCTGAGTTCAATTCCCAGCAATCACACAGTGGCTCAAAACCATCTGTAACAGTATCTGAAGCCCTCTTCTGTTGCGTGTGAAGACAAAGCACTCATATACATAAAATAAGTAAATAAATAATTTTAAAAGGCATTTTGTTACTGATCTATAAACAGTTTTGTTATTGATCTATAAATTGTTTATAGATAATGCACCTGAGGGGCATGCCCTAAGGTGACTGTTCTCACCCATGATAAGCCCCAATTTAAAAACACTCATGAAAAATAAAAAGTAAAAAAAAAATTCTTTGGCCAGGCCTGGCAGTATAGTCTACAATCATAGCTACTTTAAAGGTTGAGGCAGGAGGACAGCAAGTTGAAGACTTTCTTGGGCTACACAAGGGGTTCAAAACCAGTCTGGTGCTGGGTTAATCTACAGTGCTACAGTGTGCGTGTGTACACGCATGCAATAATTGAGTTTCCTATCAGCCGTGAAATATCAGCCCCACTTTTCAGGTGGTGACTACGGTGAAAGAAATTAAATGATATGGCCGAAATTATGCACAACTAGAGACTAGAGACTTCATCAAACTCCCATTTAGCTCACTCCAAAGTCTTGCTGTTTCTCCAGCACCGATATTTTCTGTTCAGATCTTCAAGAGTTTGCTAAGAACCATAAATAAATGGTGTAAAGAATCATAACTAAGATACTAACTTCGGGCTGAAGAGGTGGCTTAGTGGCTAAGAGCACTGACTGCTCTTCCAGGGGACCCAGCACCCACAGCCACTCACAAACGTAATTCCAGTCCCAGAGTTGCCCTCTTCTGACCTGCTCTGTCACCAGCCACGCATAAGGTACACAGATATACACGCAGGCAAAACTTTAAAAAAGGTACCAACCTGAAGGGAAATGTCCCCCGAAGAACACATTAAATAGTTCCTCTGGAGAGATGTCAGCTTCAAAATCTCTGTAGTAATGATAAGATCTGGCTCGAGGTGCAGTGAAAGTCACCTGCTCATCTCCATACGCATCATAGCGGAGTCTCTTGTCGGGATTGCTCAGAACCGCAAAGGCATTTCCTATTGCTGCAACCAACAGGAACAGCACATAAGCAAGTCTTTGCCTTGGCTGAGGGCAACTGTGACAGCAATAGCTACTGCAGCTGCAGCTGAAATCCAGAGTTGGTGCTAGATAGCCTCAGAGTTCCAGAGAGAGGCACTTAGAACTACAAAGTTCTCTCAAAGGACTTGCCCCAGAGATTGCTCAGTCTTGATAAACCAGAAACAATGCTAACAACTAGCAATTGTTACTGAAGTGAGCATTAACTAAGAGTTCTTGAGTCATCCCAGCCATCCTGGAGTTGAGACCCTGTCCCTAGCTCAGGTTGCCAATAATTTCAGACATGTTGGAGAAACACCTACCATTCCTATTATTAAAAAATGGGATTTGGGAGCTGGAGAGATAGCTCAGAGGTTAAGAGCTCCTGTATGGAACCCAGGGTCAGTTCTTAGCATCATAAAAGGTATCTCACAGTGGCCTGTAACTCTAGTTTCTTAGGTTTTGACACTCTGTTCTGGCCTCTGTGGACACCTGTACACACAGAGTGTACATACAAACAGAAGCACACACATACACATAAATAAAAATTCTTTTAAAAATGTGTTCTAGAGGATGGAGCTGTAGCTCCTATATGTGGCTCAGGATCTGATAAACACACACATACACACACACAAACAAACACAGCACAGTTCTTATTTCACTTATAGCCAGGCATGGTGACACATGCCTTTAACCCCAGTGGAGGCAGACAGATCTCTCAGTTCAAGGCCTGATCTACAGGGTAAATTCCAGGACAGTCAGGGCTACACAGAAAAACCCTGTCTCAAACCACCACCCCCCTTCCAAAAAGAAAGAAAAGAGTAGTAGTTATTGAAACAGTTCACAGTACTATTGTACTATTAAGTTGAAGTAAAACAAAACAAACAAAAACTATCTCCTAAGTAAAATAATCTGCAAAATTCCTTCTGCTTGGAGAAAAAAAAAAAAAAAAAAAAGCATCTCCAAGGCCTTATTTTAGCTCATTTTAAAAAGTCTTTTTAAACTAAGAAATGTACCTGCAAGAACCAAACATTGTACCTGTAATCCTAGCACCTGAGATACAAGAAGCCACCTACATGGCAATCTGCGGATAATCTGGGCTCATGTCACAGAAAAGCCAAAATAGGCAAGTAGAAGAGCTTTTGCCCTCCACATACACCCTGTGGCACATGTGTGCTTGCACTCACAGCCATATCATACACACACACATACTCCCTGTGCTCTGTGATTCAGGTGCCTGCTGGTGTCAACACAATCACAAACACAGTCAGAAGGAATACTTTGTTATGATTCTTCTATAAAGCTCTATTAATGTTTGCATCAATGAAAACAGCTAAGCTGAAAAACAAACAAAAGCACCCAAACAGGGTTGCTTAAGCATGCACACCCCTTGAAATGCAACAGATTTACCCCCACAAAATGGTAATGGTCTGTGAGAAGACGTCTGAATGAATATAAAAGAGAAGGTGGAAAGCTGGAAAAATGGCTCAGACATTAAAGGCTGGGCTCACAACAACAGAAGAGAATGTGAGTGATTCACAAGCCCCTCCAAAATGCTCTGAGAACTAGATTCACAAGAGAGAAGCTGGCCTCATGGTATACAGTTCCCCCACCACCACTTTTCTTTTAGGGCTGGAGAGATGGCTCAGCGGTTAAGAGCCCTGACTGCTCTTCTAGAGGACACAGGTTCAAGTCCTAGCACCCACATGGCGGCTCACAACTATCTATGATGCCAGTTCTAGGGGATCCAACACCCTCACATAGACATACATGCAGTCAAACACCAATGTACATAGAGTAAAAATAAATAAGATATTTTTTAAAAAAAATATTTATTTTTAGCTGGGCATGGTAGCACACATCTTAATCTCAATACCTGGGAAGCAGAGACAGCAGATCTCTTGGTAGTTCAAGGCTAACCTGGTCTACATAGTGCATTCCAGGTCAGCCAGGGCTACACAGACATCTCAAGCAAACAAGAATTTTATTTGTTTTATGTGAATGGGTTTTTGGCCTGATTGTCTATGGGTACCACATGTGTGCAGTGTCTACAGAGGCCTGAAGAGGGTGTTAAATCTCCTGAAGCTGGAGTGACAGACAGTTGTGAGCCACTGTGTAGGTGCTGGGAACTGAATCTTGGTCATCTGAAAGAGTAGCCAGTGATCTTAACCACTGAGCTATCTCTCCTGCCCCAAGAATAACTTAAAATTTTCTCAGGTACCCTCAAGATGGCTCAGTGAGTAAGGACACTTGTCACCTGGCCAGATGACCTGAGCTCAATCCTTGGAACCCATGTGTTAGAAGGAGAGAAACAATTCCCGCAAGTTGTCCTCTGGCCTTTATACACCCCACACCTACTCCCACAAAAATAAATGTAAAAGACGTTTAAGTCATTTTTTCTTTTCTTCTTTTTCAAAATATCAAAGTACAGAAAGTTTTGTGGGTCTTTTTGTTTTGGTTTTTTTCTAGTACAATAAAGACATATAAGCCAGGCCTTATAGTGCACAATTGTAATCCTGGCATCCAGGAGCCTCAGATGAGAGATTCTGGAGTTCAAGGCCAGCCATGGGCTACAGAATAAGACGTTGTCTCAAAAAAAGTGAAACCCAGGAATAGAGAGATGGCCCAGCAACAAAGAGCACATTGAATCCCTCTGTTGCAGGCTGCTGAGAGCAACCTGACGTAGGGTCTGGGGCCCAAAGTGCTATCCTCTGCAAGAGCAGCCAGTGCTGTTAACCAATGAACCTCCGCCCCTAGAAATAATCTAGTTTAAGATTTATTTATTTTACTTTATGTGAGTGAGTGTTTTGCCTCATGTATCTATGTGTACCACATCCCCATCTGATTCCCTTTGAGGCCAGAAGAGGGCATCAGATCTTTTAGGACTTGAGTTACAGATGATTGTGAGACACATTGTAGGTGCTAGGAATGCAGGTCTTGCAGGAACAAAAGGGCAAAAAGTGTTCTTAATCACTGGGCCAACATTCAAGCCCCCCAAAAGTGTTATAGAAATGAAAAACAAATCCAACTTTTTTCCTTAAAAAAAAAAAAATCAATGTTAGTAGATAGTAGATGAAGGTAGGAGGGAACTATTAATAACTACTATTAAGAATGTATCACTAGATAGCCAGGCGTGGTGGTGCGTGCCTCTAATCTCAGCACTCGGGGAGGCAGAGACAGGCAGATCTCTGAGTTTGAGGCCAGTCTGGTCTACAAAGCAAGTCCAAGAAAGCCAAGGCTACACAGAGAAACCTTCTCTCAGAAAAACAAAAACAAAAAAAGAACGTATCAAACTGAGCAGTGCTGGTGCAGGCCTTTTAATTCCAGCCAGCACTTAGGAGGAAGAGGCATGCAGATCTCTGAGTTCAAGACCATCCTGCTCCAGAGAGCTAGTTCTAGGATACCCAGGGTATATACTGAGACCCTGTGTCAAAAGAAAGAGAGGTGGAGGGAGGCAGGGAGAGAGAAAGAATGCCAAGTGATGTCAAACAAGTAAATGTTTGTCTTGCAAGCATAATGACCTGAGCTCAATCCCCAGAACTCATGTAAGAAGTCAGGCTCTGTGGGTACGAGCTTATATCCCAGCCTTCTAAGGGAGATACTGTGAGGTTTGATGACCGGCATAGCCTACGTGAAGGCCAGTGAGAGACCCTGTCTCAAAAACAAGGGTGGATGGCATCTGGAAAACAACATCTGAATTTGTCTTCTGGTCTCTACACACATGGACATACACATGAGCACAACACGTATGGACACACATATGCGCTCATGCACGCACATGTGCATACACACACACACACACACACACACACACACACACACACACACACGCACGCATAAGAGTATGTAAAAATCCAGGCTTTCATTTGAAGGGCAGAAGCAGGACTGTCCATGAGTTTGAGGCCAGACAGGGGTACAAGAATATTAAGAAGCTGTTTCAAACAGATCAAAAGCATGTGTTAAGGAAAATAACTTGCTTATAGTCTAAGAGGCCATCTGCAGAGAAGGCTAAAATTATTTGCTTCTGGGCCTGCAAGATGGCTAAGTGGGTAGGAGGTGCTTGCTGCCAAGCCTGACAATCTTGAGCTTGAGTCCTGGGACCCATAGAGTGGAAGGAAAACGGATTCTCAAAGGCTCTTCTCTCACCTCCACAAATGTGTTCCTACTAAGATAAATATAGTTTAAAATTTAAAAACAAACAAATTTGTACCACCAACATCACAAGGGCAGATAGGCATGGGTTCAAGGTCAAACCTTTGAAGGCGTCTGTTGCTCCAGGAGCGCAGTTCTTGTCGGGGTGAAACTTGAGGGCAAGCTTCCTGTAAGCTTTCTTAAGCTCTTCATCGCTGGCATTGCGAGAAACACCCAGAATTTCATAGTAATTTCTGCACTTCTTGATTCTTAAAAGAAAAACATTTCAATATGTATATCCACAAAGGTTTTATTTGTACAACAGCCAGACAATGTATCACTCCAGCCTGTGAGCCCCAGAACAAATGTAAGAGAAAATTAGTGAACCCATTATGAAACATTCAAATCTTCCTTCCCAGACCTCAGTGTCTGCACGGCTTCTCTGGGTATACTCTTCCATCCCTACTATGTTCATATAAGTGGGCAGAAGAACCTTTATGTCTTGAAAGTTAATCTGAGAACTGCAAAGCTGCAAGAGTCAGCTAGCTGACTTATTCATTTTGTCTTCTTGAGGCAGTATCTCAAGTAGCCTAGGCTAGTCTTGAACCTACTGTGTAGCTAAGGCTGGTTGTGAAGTCTTAATCCTCTTGCTTCTGCTCCCCACATGTTGAAAATATAGGATGCATGCTCTCACATCCGACCTCAAGGCTAGCTTTCCACACTGTGTATGTGGTTTTCCCATTGGGGAATTGGGAAGGGGTTTTGTTTGTTTTGTTGTTGTTTTTGTTTTGAGACAGAGTCTCTCTTTGTAGTTCTGGCTGCCCTGGAACTCAGGACAAAAAACAAGGCTTGTAAACTAGGCTGGTCTCAAGCTCACAGAGATCTGCCTGCCTCTGCCTCCCGAGTGCTGGGATTAAAGGTGCAAGCCACTGCACTTGGTCTTTTTGTTGTTTTTTTAAGATAGAATCTCATGTAGTTCAGTTTGGGCTTCAACTCTCCATTCAGCAGAGAACTGACTTCCTGAGTGTATGTATGTATGTACATATGTACTTATGCATATATGTATCAAGACCAGAGATCAACATCAGACGTTTTCCTCTTGATTGTTATTCTTTAGTTTACGTTTCTTTCTTTCTCTCACTCTTTTATCTCTTTTTGAAACAGTGTCTCGCTGTGTAGTCCCACTCTGCTGCCACAGAGATCCACCCACCCCTGCTTCCGGAGTGTTAGATTTAAAAGCATCATCCCCACACCTACCTTGAATTGATTTTGTATGTCCATGAGGCTGAGGTTCAAGTTCATCCTTTTCATGTGCATATTCAGTTATCTAATCAACTGTTCTTTTTTCCGTTAAAATGTCTAGGCACCTTGTCGGCCATTGATGGACTAGAGCTAGGCTTAGTGGCTTGTATCACCTAGCATTGCTAGCAATTGATAGGCTAAGGCAGGAGGTTTACTGGGAGTTTGGAACCAGTTTGTCTACAAAGTGAAACCTTGTCTAAAAATTAAGGGCTGGACAGGCATCCCAGCACTCAGGAAAGAAACCCTGTCCCAAAAAACAAAACTTAAAGCATTACTTCTCCAACTTTCTCTCTCCCTTCGGAATTTTTTAAGACACGGTTTCTCTGTGTAGCCCTGACTATCCTGGACTTGTAGACCAGGCTGGCCTGAACTCACAGAGATCCACCTGTCTGCCTCCCTGAGTGCTGGGATTAAAGGTGTGCACCACCACCAACTGGCCTATTTTGTTCTCTTTTTAAAACTGTCTTGGCCACTCTGAGTCCTTCCATCTCCAAGTGATCTTCCACTCTTCCATTTGTTTACTTTTGGTTTGTTTGTTTTGGGGACAGAGTCTCCCAGGGCATGTTAGTACATGCCTCTAGTTCCAGCAAATAGAAAGACCCTGTCTCAAACAAACAACAACAAAGAGATAGGATCTCTCACTCTATAGCTCCTGCAGGCCTGGAACTTGCTATACAGAGCAGGCTGGCCTTGAACTCACATTCCCAGCACTATATCAGGTAGTTCAAAGCTACCTATAACTCCATCTTCAGGGAATCTGATACCCTCTTCATACCCACACACAGACACCTAAAAACAAGATTAATTTTAAAAAAAAGAGTAGTAGCCGGGGAGTGGTGTCTTACACTTTTAATCAAAGCACTTGGGCACTTGGGAGGCAGAGGCAGGTGGATCTCTGAATTCGGGGCCAGCCTGGTCTACAGAGTGAGTTCCAGGACAGTCAGGGTTACACAGAGAAACTCTGAAGTACTGTCCTCTCCTTTCAGTCCTGATTTTGTGTCTGTGTGCTGAGGAGCAGGCAGACCTCCATATGCCTCTGGCTAGCCTAGAAGTTGCTTATTCCTGCTGTGGTTATAGTTTTGCACAACCAGGCATGCCTCATTTCTGATTTTAGTCATCTGAGCATTGGTTTTTTTCCCCCCTGGACAGTGTAGTTAAAAGTTTTTCAATTTTGTTGACATTTAGAGATTTAATTTATGATTTTATTGGGTATTACTTATTGTTTTCCTATTTTCTATTTTCTATCTTCTCACATTATTTTCTTTATACTTCCTTTTTTTTTTTTTTTTCTTTCTTTTCATTTTTCAAGACAAGATTTCTCTGTGTAGCCTTGGCTGTCCTGGACTCATTTTTGTAGACTAGGCTGGCCTGTAACTCACAGAGACCTAAGAGATCCACCCGCCTCTGTTGCTGGAGTGATGGGATCACAGGTGTGTGCCACCTCGCCCAGCTCTTCTTTATCCCTTTTATGTAAGGGTTTTCTCTCTCTCTCTCTCTCTCTTTTCCTTTCTTTCTTAGGTTGTTTTTGGTTTTGTTTGTTTGTTTTTTGTTAAGGGTCTCACACCTCAAGCCTCAGATATACCTGCTTTAACTTAAGTTCTGTGACAATAGGCATATCCACCACACCTACCTTCTAGTTTCTCTTTCTTTTTTCTTCTCTCTCTTTTTTTTTTTTTTTTTTCCAAGACAGGGTTTCTCTGTGTACCCTTGGCTGTCCTGGAGCTCACACTGTAGACCAGGCTGGCCCCAATCTCATAGGGATCTACCCACCTCTGCCTCCCGAGTGCTGGGATTAATCTAGTTTCTTTTTTGTTTGTTTTGTAGCTCTCGGGACTGGACTCAGGGTCTTGAAGTACTAGGCAGACACTCTGACAGCGAGTTATCACCCCAGTCCTGTTTTCACATACTAGTTGCCCAGTATGGCCCTGAACTTCCTATGTAGTCCCAGGCTGGCCTTAACCTTGTGAGACTCTCTCAGTCTCCTAACTAGTCGGGATTACAAACCTGGATCACCACATCTTGCTAAAAACATATTCATTTTTAAATATACTGGAGATCAAACCTAGGGCCTCATGCAATCAAGACAAGGCTCTACTACTAAGGCACACTCCCAGCCCTTGGTTTCTTATTTACTTTATTTTTCACTGCTTCTCTTAAAGCAGACCAGACAACTCACACTGTGCTCCACTACTCCATTTCTATCCAGTCTTTCATTTAAAGTCAAGAAGCTAGTGTCTTTCAATAATATGATAATGCAGGCTGGGGATGACTTGGTGGTGAAGAGCTCTGGCTGCTCTTCCAGAGGACATGGGTTTGATTCCTGGCACCCAGATAGCAGCTTAGAACTGCCTGCCTGTAACTCCAATTCCAAAGCCATCTTCCAGCCTCTGAGGGCACTGCACACACACGGTGCACAGACATACATGCAGGGAAAACAGCCACACACATAAAATAACAAATCTAAAGAAAAATGGTGATGACACAGGTCAGTGGTTACACAGCCCATCCTGAAACTGACAGTTTTCTAAAGCACTTTATGTAAAATCCCGTATTTATCCTTCCACAGGCTTACCTTTGTACTCCAAGTAGCTGTTCCTCTGTGTAAGTGGAGTTCCCATCTCCCTGCCGGCTCTGAGTCCATTCATTCTCAGACTTTTTTTCCTTTTGTGCCTTCATGCAGTTACAGCAAGCACAGGGATCAGGGCCTTCAGCTCGTCTGTCATCTGGGTATTTGTTTCTTCTGATTGCATCAATGTAAGCTGCAAAGCAACCTCCAAGTCAACCTCTGGGTCAATCCAAATTAAGACTTCTTTTTTTTTTTGAGACAAATTTTACTATGTACCTTTGGCTGGCCTCAAATTCATGAACCTTCAGCTTCTCTAGCTTTGGAATTACAAGCATATGCAACTAGGCCCAGCTCTACAATTTTGCTATATGCCTTAACTCTCTGGAAGCTTGTAGATAAACGCAAGGAAGTGTGAAGAAGTGTCTTCAGATGACTAAAGACATCCATTCAAAACTCCAACAAACATCTTCCCTCAGCAACAAACATCTTCCCTCGGATACTATACAGAAAATACGGGATGTGCCCAAGAAAAAAGTTTAAATATCAGAAACACAAAGCCCAAAATTTTCACCATACTTACAATGCTCATCCAGCAAATTCACTTAGATACAGAAAAGAGCTTTGTGCGGCATCTCCACCCAACACCCTGTCTTTAGTAGCATGTACAGAGAGGCCCATTTCTTTGTGCTCCATGGCCAAAAGTGACCTTTCTCATAAAACAATATTTTGCTTACAATGCCTCCTAACTCTTAAAATTTAAAGCATAGACAGACCCTGTCTCAAAAGCAAACAAAACCTAGAATACCATAACAAAACAAACAAAAAGAATGGAGAAGTCATTTCTTTTAAACTAGGATCTGTAGGTGCTGGAGAGATGGCTCAGCAATTAAGAGTGAATACTGCTCTTGTAAGAACCTGAATTTGGTTTCCAGCATCCACACAGCAGCTCAAAACTCTTGTGACTCCAGCTCCAGGTGAATCTGGTCCCCAAAGGCACCTGCACTCACTTGCCCATATTCCTCCCCCCCCCTCCACATACCCATAATTAAAGATAAAATAAATCTTTAAAAAAATTAAATAAATTAAAACTTGTAAAACTAATATGAATCAAGATTCTGGGCTAGCCATACCAGGGTCTGTATGGGTGAGGCCAACTCCTGCCCACAAAAAATATAGTTTTGTGTAAGAGGATTCAGTACAAGTGCCAGCCAGGACAGGGCACTCCTGTCTTGTCAGAAGACCCGAAAAGGCTTTAAGAGTGACTTTCTCTCCTACTTAATATCCTTCAGTGACACTCTCTCGACACTCTTCCTTTAAGACAGCCAGGCTGACTGTAAGGCATCCGTCATCTTTACACGTAAAGTTTTCTCCACAAAGCTTCTCTTGATACCCAGGCTATGTTGGCTACCTTGTCAGTGAGCAACCCGAACCCCCAACCTTGCTGTGGTAACCCAGGAACTTACTGGCCGTGTTTTGTAAATAGCTGTTAACCGGTCAAACTCTCTCAGTGGACTGACAGTTCTGTGACCTCGGGGACCCGCGTCTGTCAAATTCCCCCTGCAGAATCAGCATAATGCAGGACACGTGATAGGTATTGGGATCAAAACTTTTTGCCTGACCGTAGGATGGAAAAGGACAGACAGCCTACTGGCCCCGATGAGGCCTGAAGGGACAAGTTCAAACCGGGACTGAGAGTCAGGTGGCTAAGCTGGAAGAGTTATCCATACGGGCAGGTAAGTTACGGAACTCAGCATCCTGAGAGCCCTCGAGTCACAGGAGGTCAAGACTGGCTAGGCAGCCGCGGGCTCTGGACGGGGCAAGGCCGGGGCAGCTTTGGGTGCCCGGAGGCAACGAGTCGTAGCCGGTGACTGAGCTCAGGGCCACAGCCTCAGCTGGAGCCAGCGTTCCTAGCCTCTGCCCTGGGCCGTCCTCCACCGCAACCCGAACCCTATCCAGACTTAGCATCTTCCCCCAAGCCTCCATTTGGCCCAGGATCTCCGCCTTAAGATCCGAGGAGTCATATCCCTGATCTCTCCGGAACGCTGCCTTGTCCCACCCTCCAGTCCAGGACCTGGTACCTTGGGTCCAGCGCTCCCCGCTGCCCAGAGTGGCCGCCATATCGGTCTTCAGTCAGCAGGTCCGCGGAGCCTCTCAAGTCCGAGAGACTGAAAGAGAGGGGGCGCGAGGCATGCTGGTCATTGTAGTTTAGTCCGTGTGCAGCGCTTCTACGTGACTACAAGTCCCGGCGGGGCCCGCGCAGAACACTCAGAGATGCTGAGATGTGGAGAGGCGGGACCCCCAGAACGAGGCCTGTGGGATTTAGGCCAGCGTGGTAACTGGCTCAGACTCATCTGTAGCTGAGGATGGTGACTTCTGTCCTGCCTCATCCTAAGAACATATACAGGTCCCACGTCAACGGCTTCGCACACTTTAGGTCAGCCGGTGACCGTTTACACCCTCAGGAATGCCCCTCTTAAATGTTCACCAGTGTCTGTTCTGTGCAAACTCTGTGCTAGGCCAAACTCAACTCTCCGAGGTTTAATGTCCCAAAGAATGAGAAAAAAAAGGGGGGGGGGTGAATTTAATGTAGTTAGACAGCAATTAAGGTTCCTCCCATCCAAGCTCCTCAGGCTTCATAGGGACTATAATGCGGGGAGGGGGAGCAAGTTTGGGAGCTGCCATCAGAGCTTTGCCATTCCTTGTTCTTCGTCCCCTTTATACTCGTGAGCCTCTGAGGCATTTCTCTTTCCCTGCCCAGTCCTTTCTCTGGCCCCGTTTTCGTTTCTGAAGGACCAGCTCTGAGAAGTTAGTAAAGAGAAAATGAGGATTGTATTCCTACTCTTCCTCACCCTGTTTTTTCGTGGAGTCTAGAAAAATAAAAAAAATCAAAGCAACTCTTTCACATACTTCACAGGGGAATCACTGGTCTCCTCACTACCTTGCTCATTCACAGAGGAAATTAACTAGGTTGGGATCACCAAACCCAATCTAATCAAGCTAAAGATCAGTTCTACAAAAGGACAAAATGATCATTATTTCAGAAAAATTCCTGAAAAAAAAAATGTATCTGGAGTTCACTTAGATTTTATTCAAGGAAGCTAATCAATATTTCTGTCAACCACCAGCTACTTAGGCTGTTGGGAAAGTGGGTTGGGGGATCCATAGCCCTGAACCCAGACAGAAGAGTAAGAGCCCCAGGTGACATGTGGCTCTAACACTTCTCTACTGTCATAGCCCTGGTGAGCTGAGTCCATGACTCCTTGGAAATGCCAGGAGACCAACGACTTTCAGCGGAAAAAGCTTAGATGTTAGATATAGCTTATAGTTGAGGTTTTGCCACAAATCATTCCATGGCACTGACCAACTCCTTTCTCCTCCTGCTTTGACCTCAGTCTTCTAAAAACTGAGGTTAGAGCTGATGGGTAATTACTAAGTTGAGGTACCCTTCCTGCCACCTCCTCCCCTAGACAGGCTTTCTCTGTGTGGCCTTGGATGTCCTGAACTCACTCAGCAGACCAGGCTGGCCTTGAACTAATAGAGATCCTCTTGCCTCTGCCTCCCAAGTGCTGGGAGTAAAGGTGGGTGGCACCACCACCCAAGTTGAGGTGTCCTTAAGCTTCAGCATGTGGCTGCCTCTGGGACCTTCTATGAGGAGCTGGAATGGAAAGGGAGGCACAGCAGTAAAGGCTGGCTGAATTGCCATTCTCCAATCAAAATAGTTCTGTTTTATATTTTGTGACTCTGAAAAACATATATTTGAAAACTACCAGCAAAAAAAAGAAAAAAGAAAAAAAAAAAGAAAGCTGAGCTGTGGTGATGCACTCCTTTAATCTCAGCACTCAGAAGGCAGAGAAGGTGAATCTCTACGAGTTTGAGGCCAGCCTGGTCTGCAGAGCAAGTTCCAGGATAGCCTGGGTTATATAGAGAAACTGTCTCTTAAAAGAAAAAGAAAAAAGAATGAAAAAAACCAAACAAATAAATTAATTGACTCTTAAAGGCTTGTGGCATCTGTAATGTCAATTAAAAACAGAACACCTAAAGATGGCACTGTGCTCTACCCCCACCTCCATAAATATCAAGAAGGTGGCAGCTGTCCAGATGTTTGAGCATTGTCATCTGATTTAGGAAGGGGAAACAGCACATTGGTTAAGAGATTAGCCTAGCATTGCTGACAGATACAATAAGGCAATGCTTAGAATGTATGTAAATTTTGGTCTGGTATTTAATAAATGCTAGCCAGTACTACAGACTAGCATAGCAGAACAAAAGCCATTTCTTTGTGATTTGACATCGTAAATTGGTAGTGTAGTGTCTGTATGGGGCATGTCATAAAGTCTCCAATGTTTCTAACTAGGTCTCCATGCCTGTATATCTGGCAATCATTATTACTACAAATAGGAATAAAAAGAACAACACTGTGAAAAAAAAAAAAAAAACAGGATAGGTAGCTGATTTTCCCTGTGTCCTAGAACCTGCCTCTAGCTACTAAAGCTATTGATCTTTCCCACTTCTGATTTCAAAAAGGTCAAGGGATAAGCCAGGCATAGTGATACTAAGCACCCTAGAGGAAAGGGAAGAACCAGGAGTTCAAGGCAAGTCTGGTATACAGGAGACTTTATCTCAAACAAACAAACAAAAGCCCACCAGATGTGGTAGTGCATATCTGTAGTACCAGGGAGGCAGAAGGATCCTAGTTTAAGGCCAGCCTGAGATGGTTGGAATGAGGGTTTTGTACTATTCAAATGCTGACATCTGTACCAGCAGAGAGCTGAGGACAGGCCGGACTCTGGTATCGCTAAGCATCACCTGTCTCAATGTTTTGTAAACATGTTTTCCATCACCTTCTGATTGTTTGAATAAATTGCTGAAAGGCCTATAGCAAAGCCAAGAAAGAGTAGGCAGCACTTCCAGAGAGCCAGGAACTCTGGGAAAGAAAGAGAAGATTGGCCTAGGAGACACGGAGGAAGTCGGACATATTAAACTGAAGAGAGGTAAAGAACCAGGTGACAGACGTAGATTAAACATAGGTTACAAGAGCTGGTTGGGAACAACCGTAAGCTAAGACCTGAAGCTATTGTAAATAAATATAAATCCATGTCATTATTCAGTGTTGGGCTGACACAGAAAGTCTGTATGGTGGAGGCATGGCTCAGAGGTTAAGAACACTGGTTGCTCTTCCAGAGGTCCTGAGTTCAATCCCAGCAACCACATGGTGGCTCACAATCATCTATAGTGAGATCTGGTGCCCTCTTCTGGTGTGTAGGCAGAACACTGTAGTATATGTATAAGTATATGTGTATGTATATGTATATGTACATATGTTATGTATATGGGCAAAACTGGAAAACAAACTTCCCGAGGAGCATTCTCTCCCCATTCTCTGAAACCTCCCAGTAAAAGAAAAAAGAGAAAAAGTGGTGGTGGTGGTATGGCAACCTTCTCAGATAACTGCATGAAAGTATACTCATTGGCTCTTTTATGCCTCCACTGATTTTCTGGATTCATCTGTCTCTGACTGTATCCACCTGGACAAACCCAGGGGTCCAACACTGAGAGCATTTCTGTGCCAGTCACTGCTTATATTCAGCAATCCACAGAAATAAGCACTGTCAGTCAACGGCTGTGTTTGTATGAGGTGGAGAAGCCACGGGAAAGCACCCAGCAGCAAAGGCAAAGGCAGTCCCGGAGGTGGGCTGGAGAAGCAGTCCAGTGGTAAATGCAATACTGCTTGCTCTTGCAGAGGTCAGTTCCCAGCACCACATCAGGTGGCTCACAGCCACTGATAACTCCAGCTTCGGGGCATTGCACATCCTCTCTGGCCTTCCTGGGCACCTGCATTCACATACACACATAATTCAGAACTACAAATAGAAGAACTTCTTGGAGAGAAGTAGGAAAGAGAATTGGGATTTCCAAGCCAGTTCTCAGGAAGGAAACAGGTGTAAAAGTCACAGGAAAAAGGACATATCCACAAACCCAGGAAAATTTCTACACACAAAAAAAAGAAAAAAAAATCCACAAATCCAAGCAACTGGCAGTCAGGACTACGAGGTGTTTCTTTTGTTTTGTTTTTTTTTGTTTGTTTGTTTTGTTTTGTTGTTTGTTTGTTTGGCTGGCTGGCTGGCTGACTGGTTGGTTGGTTGGTTTTTGTTTTGTTTTGTTTTGACAGATTTACATAGAACTTAGTAGGACTAGCCTAGCTTTGAGAAATTATGTGCCAAAGTAAGGGCAAGGAAGCCAGAAGCAGGTTTTCTGTCAGTTTTATCCACTTTCAAAAATATTTGCTAGAGATACCGATGTGAGGTTTGCCTCTTCCAGGCCTGAGAATAGGAAGACACTGGGTACATTTTCCTTCTTTCAGTCAGAGCCTGTGTACCTGAGTTGGTGTGTTGCTTGCTTTCCCATAGTTTAAGCAAATAAATAAACAATATTCTAACACACAGAGAGAGAGAGAGAAAGATATAGAGAGAAAGCCAACTTCCTGCTTTAGGACTGCATAGTCTTGTATAAAAAAAGGGAGGAAGTTGTCTTGTAAATGGTCACCATCCTGTTGTCTAGACATCAAGGAAGAGATGTAGGCTTAGGGAAGCTACGGGAGCAGCAGAGGACTGCACTCGGATTTCCTGTCAGAGATGGACTCTTGCGTTTATATACAAAGTATGTACCCAAAGACACCCCCCCCCCATCAACACAGTTAGCCTTAAATAGGTTCATCCTGGACCCCTCCCCAGAGAATCGTTACTTAGCAACAGGAACATCGTAGCTAGTGTCGTACTGCAGTGTCAGCAGCCCGGTGAGAGCCTTGCTGTCTCAGAGATATTAATACCAGTTCATTCCTCCCCCTCCCAAATATAAATACCTTATGACTAACAGCTCGCATTTGCAGTACATTGTCTAGAGTCAGGGGAAATTTTGTAGCTTTGTAATGAAGTCATGTGAGTTAACCAGAGTGAAATTCACCCAAGTCCTTGACCTGATTAGTTCAGTACGCTAAGCAGCTGAACCTCGTGTCCACAGCAGAATGATAATAAAGCTAACAGAATCCAAACCAAGACTTCTAGACATTGTTATGTCGCCTAGAAAAGTTCTATGCCCATGATAGATTTTTGTACTGTAACTGGATTTTACTGTGTGCTTTTTGTTTGCTTGCTTGCTTTTTCAAGACTGAGTTTCTCTGTGTAGACTTGGCCATCCTGGACTTGCTTCGTAGACCAGGCTGTCCTAGGACTCACAGTGACCTGCCTGCCTCTGCCTCTCAGAGCGCTAGGATCACAGGCATGGGCCACTGCCTCCAGCTACTATGTGCTTTCCTTAGTGCAACTTAAATAAAATGTATCTAACATTCCAAAAAAAAAAAAAAAAATACTGTCCTATGGGGCCATGGATGGCTCAAGTGGGTAAAAGTACTTGCCACATAAGCTAGGGTGTTGGGGATCCTCTGCACCCACATGTGAACGAGGTAAACATGGGGGCATGCCTGTGATCCCAGTGTCGGGGAAGTAGAAAATGGGTGCTTCCTAGGGTGAGCAGCACAGTTAGCCAGATCAGAAGCCCTGGGTTCAAGGGACAGACCCTGCCTGAATGCAGAGGGTGCAGAGTGGGGAAGACTGGCCCATCAACTTCTGGCCTCCACATGCAAATGCACGTATGTGCATTTCCACTTACAAACATGTGTGTCCACACACATACATACCCATAACATACAAGAGAAAGAAAGACAGTACCGTAGCATGAGGACCAGGTCGTGTGATTAACATGAATAGATCCCCGAGTCTGATTGCAGAACTGCATAAAAGTGGGCATGGTAGTATGTATCTATACTTGGGAGGTGAGGCAAGAAGGCCAGTTCAAGATTATCTTTGGCTACATTCTGGGTTCCAGACTAGCCTGGGATAGAGGAGATCCTGTGTCAAAATTAAATAAGCAAATCCTATAGCAATGATACATAGGATGAGTCCTTTGGGGAATGGACTCTGAGACATTGAGATATGCATGCCAAAGGGTTATTATTTTAAAAAAAAATTCAGAAGATTTTATTTTATGTTTGAGTGTTCTAGCTGCATGTACAGCTGCATGCCAGAAGAGAGTAGAACAGGGTATAGATGGTTGTGAGCCCAGGTGGTTGCTGAGAATTGAACTCAGGACCTCTGGGAGAGCAGACAGTGCGTTCAACTGCTGAGACATCCCTCCAGCCCCACCAAGGGTTATTAATGGATGTTTTTGTACAAGGGAACACGATCATGTAGAATGAAAACTGAGGTCCTTTACCTCCACCAGCCAGCCATTAGCCGGCTATGTGTCCTCAGCAGCCCACAGCTTGGGAACAAATACTGTGACTCTGAAGTGTGGTCCGGGTAGTGGGACCCTGAGCTGTCTGCTACAATTTCTGACTAGTCTTATTTCCTAAGTGCCTTTCTCTATTCTTCCTGGCCAGCAGAATGAGAAGGAAATCCACAGAACACTATAGATATGCCTGGAGTCACCTGGGACTATTTTTGGCTCCTACTCTTCTGTTTAGAGTAGAATTATTTTTAGGGTCTCACTGTGCAGCCTGACTGGCCAGAACTTGTTAACCTTGAACTCACAGAGGCCCTCCTGCCTCTGTCTGTAGAGTAATGGGATTAAAGATGTATGCTGTGTTCAATCTTTTAAGATTAATTTTTATGTGATGGTTGTGGCTGTGTACACACCCATCTGCTCACAGAGGTAGAAGAGGGTCAGATCCCCGAAGCTGGAGGTACAGATGGTTGTGAGCTGCTTGACCTTTGTGCTGGAAATGTACCTTCTAGAAGAGCATCAAGTATTCTTCACTGATGAACCATCTCTTCCACCCTCTTTTCTTTTCTTCTTTCTTTCTTTTTTTTTTCAGATTTATTTATTATGAATACAGTATTCTACCTGTATGTATACCTGCACACCAGAAGAGGGTACCAGCTCTCATTAGAAATGGTTGTGAGCCACCATGTGGTTGCTGAGAATTGAACTCGGGACCTCTGGAAGAGCAGCCAGTGCCCTCAGTACTCTTAACCTCAGAGCCATCTCTCCAGCCCACCCTTCTTTTCTGTAAACATGTCTTACAGTGTAGCTCCAAGCTAACCTCCAACTCAATATTCTTCTGCCTAAGCCTCCTAGAGTGCTAAGATTATGCATGTAAACACGGTGCCTGGTATTCATCATCATTGTCATCATCATCACCATCATCATCATCATCGTGCTGGTTTGAATTGTTATCACACCATAGATCATGTTTGAATGCTTGGCCATAGCTAGTGGCACTATGAGGAGGTGTGCCCTTATTAGAGGAAGTGTGTCACTGTGGAGGTGGGGCTTTGAGGTCTTAAATGCTCAAGCCATGACCAATATGAAACATATCCATATTCTTCCATGCTTCCATGCAGATGAAGACGGAGAATTCTCAGCTCCTTCTCCAGCACATGTCTTCCTGGATGCTGCCGTACTTCCCACCATGTTAGAAAAGGACTAAAACTCTGAAACAGTAACCCAGCCCCAAATTAAGTGTTTTCTTTTATAAGAGTTGTCTTGGTCATGCTGTCTCTTCACAGCAATAAAACCCTACGACAGTTATTATTATTTGAGATAATAATAATAATGTCACATCAGTAAGTCTCTTGATGTACCTCTGGCTGTCCTGAAACCAGGTTGTACAGTAGACTGGCCTTTAACTCATAAAGATCCGCCTGCCTCTGCTCCGAAATTCTGGGAAGAAAGCACCCAATCTCACTGGGTGTGGAGGCACCTCCCTTTAATTCCAGCACTCAGGGAGGCAGAGGCAGACAAATCACTTTGGTCTACAAAGCTAGTCCAGGACAGCCAAGGCTACACAGGAACACTGTCTCGAGAAACCAAAAGAAAAAAAAAAAACTTAATTAATTAATTAATTAGAATATGAATTCTTGCTTGTTTGTTGTGTGTGCGTTTTTATGTGTGTGGGCACTTGTAGAAGGTAAAGAACAACCTGCAGGAGCTGGTTCTCTCTTTCCACCCCGTGGGTTCTGGGGGAGAGACTGAGGTCACCAATCTTGATGGCAGGCACCCCCACCCATGGAGCCATTTTGATGGCCTGATTCCATTCATTATTGATTACAGCCTCTGTTTCTTCCTCTTAGGTGGTTACTCAGTGCTACCTTACCTAATAAGACAAGCAACACCGGGGCCTGGTTGCACAGGTTTGTATTCTCAGGTACTTGGGAGGCTAAGGCAGGGGGATTGTTAAATTCAAACCCCAGCAAATACAGAGTAAGTTCAAGGCTTGTCTGGACAACTTAGTGAGACTGTTTCAAAATACAAAGTAAACCTCAGGAATATACTTTATCAGTAGAATGCTTACTTGAGTGTTAATACCACTAACACACACACAGGAAAATAATGAAATTCATAAATAAAAAGACAGGCAACAGGCAAACCTAAACAAACTCCCCTCTAGCCTACTAGTTTTCAGGGCTACCCACAGAGATAGAAACACACAGGCATGTCTGCCCCAGAAAAGAAGACACCTAAGTTGCTAGAATGCTGCTAATATATATATATATATATATAAATATAATATATATAATATATATATAATATATATAATATATAAATATATATAAGTGAGAGAGAGAGATGGTTCAGCAGTTAAGAGCACTTACTGCTCTAAGAGAAGCCCCAAGTTCAATTCCTGGTACCCACAGAATAGCTCACAACCATCTGTAACTCCAGTTCCAGGGGATCCATGCCCTCTTTTAACCTCTGTAGGTTCCTGAATGCACACAATACATATACCTACACACATGGAAGAAAGGAAGAAGGAAGAAAGGAAGGTAGGTAGATGGGAACATAAACCTTAAAAGAAATTGGATTCCAATCAGTAAATAATTTTTAAAGAATTATTTATTTATTATTTACACAGCGTTCTGCTTTCATGTGTGCCTGTACGAGAGAAGACGGCACTAGATCTCATTATAGATGGTCGTGAGCCACCACATGATTGCTGGGAATTGAACTCAAGACCTTTGAAAGAACAGTCGGTGCTCTTAAACTCTGAGCCTGAGGCATCTCTCCAGCCCCAGAAAATAACTTTAATTCGAGCAGACTGGACCAGTCCACCTTATTACTTCCTTAAATGTTGCCCTGTTCACTCCTCATCCTTGTGTTCCTGAGGAGGAGGGAGGCAGGTTGAAAGTCTAGAGTGGCTTCCAAGTGGGAAGGAGTCGCTCTCATGGTAGGTTGCTTCTAGATCGAGAGGAATTTCATGTCCTTTAGAGCTGGGAGCAGACACATAACAAAATAACTTATATGTGATCTGCTGCCTTCGCCCATCTCATCTCTTCTCTTCCTCCTGATCACTGGACAGCTGCATCACATTTGGACCCTGGGCTCAAGGTCACTTTTAAAAATCTGAAAAGCATAGATATAATGAGGAAGGGTGAACTTGCAAAGGGCAAGGTAGGAAGCCAGCAGGGGAGAGCCTGGGTCTTCAGTTGCGACTTTGGCCTTTATGGCTAAGGAACCAGAGCCTGAAAATAGGACTGAGAGGTAGGAGGTGAGGTGATGAGTGGAGACGGGTGAACTCGAGGAAGGAAAAAAAATTTACAATGTACCTTTTCCGCAGAGGTGCAGCCTTTGCTATTATTCGTGTTGATGTTCTTCATGGAGATGAGCGTGATGCTCTCTTTCTCTCCGTTGGCTGTGGAACAGCTGGGATGGGAGGAGTCAGGGTTACAGAGAGGAGAGGACAGAGCAATGGGGAGTGAGGGAACCGTGGGGGCACTCATAATAAAATGAGAATGTGCTCTGAAATCCAAGAGACTTCTATTTAAACCCGGTTTATTTCTGTTCTTTTTCAAGCTGGGTTAGTGGTATACAACTATAAGCCCAGAAGGGTTGGTGGTGTACAACTATAAGCCCAGCACTTGGTAGGGTAGAGGTAGGAAGACAGGGAGCTCAATGTCATCCTCAGCTACACAGTGAGTTCAAAAGCAGCCTGCATTCTGTGAGACCCTCTGTCAACAGAGCAAAACAAGCCAAAGCAAAAACAAAACAAACAAAAAACCTGTTTTTCCTATCTACTAGTTGTTCGCTCTTGACCAAGTTACAATTTGTCATGCTTCAGCTTCCAAAGCATGCTTCATACTTCAGGGGAAACAAGAAAAGAATTGCTGTAGAGATTTGAGGTAATATCACAACTTGTATGCTGTTGTGTATGGTACATGGTACATTTCGGTTTCCTGAGACAGGGTTTTTCTATGTAGCCCTGGCTTTCCTGGAACTCTGAGAACCAGGCTGGCCTCGAACACAGAGATCTGCCTGCCTTTGCCTCCCAACTGCTGGGATTAAAGCCATGTGCCACCACACCAGACTTCAGAGTAGGTTTTCAGTAAGTTTCTTCAGTTTAGAGAGGTGTATCTTATATCAGAATCTACATTTTCATGAAGAAGCAACAGAAGCCAAGCCCTGGTATGGAAGAACCTCACTTCTCTCTGCTCAGCTGAGCCTGCCTGTTTTCCCCAGCTTCACTGAAGACCAGAAGATTGTGGGGCATATGTCTCCAAGTGGTGTGAATGGTTGTGGTATGTAGTGGGGAAGCACAGGTGTGTGTGTGTGTGTGTGTGTGTGTGTGTGTGTGTGTGTAGTGTGTACATAAGGCAGAGGGAGTTGTTTTCTTCTTGGAGTAGAGAGTTTGGGATCAGATAGAAGATTTCTTTCATAAGCTTCTCACCCCTTACCTTTCAGTTAGCCCTGAGCTCCCTGGTTTCTGTGGATCTGTAAAATCCCAAGGGCACAGATTAGAGCCATACGCTACAACTCAGACACCCAGTCTTTCCACTAGAGCCCACCCAGGCCCACCTCCCCACCTCCTCAGTGCCACCTGTGTGCCATTCCTCAGCACAGCTGCCATCAGCCTGAGCCTCTTGCTCGGGCACGCTCAGCAAGGGTCAAGGGAGCCCAGCTCAAGACAATTACCTTCCGAATCCTTGTTCTTCCGACACTTAAACCTCAGACTGACCACACTGACTAGAACAATCACTACAACCACCAGGATGACAATGAAGCTGATAACACCTGAGCAGGGAAGAGATGGGAGAAGAGGGAGGACATTAAGGATGAGTCTAGAGTTCCCTTCCCAGAAGAGTGCTAGTACGTGCGTGCGTGCGTGCGTGCGTGTGTGTCTGTGTGCACGCTCATGTGCACACTATATATTCACTCTGAGAGTAAACTGGACACTGCTTCTCTGGGGAAAATGAGTAGTCTGGTACCCCTAACCATGGTGGACCACTTAGCCCAGCTCCATCCCCCAGAAGAATGTGGAACTCAAGAGAGTCAAGAAGAGCTGGACAGAAGGCCAGCGAATACTTCTTCCCATCAGGGCTTTGCTCATCAGCAAGTCTGCCACAGAATAAACAGATGAAATTTGAACTTCCGTCCTAAGGTGGAATCCCCTCTCCTGCCCCATCCTCCCTGCCAACTCTCACCAAAGGCAGCCACAGTGAGCACTGACTCTGACGTGGGGCTAGGCAGGATGGTCACATCTTCCCTGGTCCACAGGCTGGTGGTTGCTGGACTGGGAGTAGCACTTAGAGATGCTTCTGAAATAAAGTGGGTGTCGGTGCATCAGTGAAGGGGACTGGCAGGAACTGGCAGAGAGAATCGGCTTCTTTCCTGATGCCCTAAGACCCTGCAGAGAGCTAACAGGACTTCTTCCTCCCTACCACTGACTAGACCTCTGAAGCAGAGATTGCAGATCTCACATTTCTACATAGATAGCTCGGCTGGTTATTCACATTGCTGCTTTCGGAGGACTCAAAAAGTTGCTTCCCACCACCATGTGGTGCCCGGAAGAAAGGATGTAAGGCTGCAGAAGCAGGGAAGCCATACTAGACAAAGTAGAGTCATCTACGTCTTGCCAACAGTTGAAGATGGGAAGAAAGAAGACATTGACCTAAAAAGCCAGGGTGCCAGGTAAGGGACATAAGTTTTGGGCTGGCTAAATGGCTCAACAGGTAGAGGTGATTGCCACCAAGGCTGGTGGCCTGAGTTCAATCCCTATGACCTACATGCTGGAAGGATAGAACCAATGTCATGTTTCTCTTCCTTTGCACAAGCCACGTACTTCCGATGTATTTGCTATCCTACTTTCCTTATCTGTACTCACTTCCTGAATAAGCCTGGGGGTGTAAAACATCCAAGGACCAAAAGATGATTTGCAAGAAAGGGTTATAGACATGTCTCACTGCATACCTCCTCTCCTGCTGTTGCCAGTGCTGCTGCTGCTGCTGCTGCTGCTGCTTCTGCTGCTTTCTGGGGTCCCTGTGCCTGCATCTGAAGCAAATGGCCAAGATGTAGGGTCCCCATTCCTCCCATCATACCCTGAGAAGGGTCTTGCCTTTTCCCAACTCTGTATTTGGGAGCCCCCTTCCCATTTCCCTTCCCTGTCCACTCTTTTCTCAGTCCCACATTCAGGATTATATAACCTTCACTGTGATCAGGCCCAACTTCTTTCTGTTTCTACTTCTCCCAAATGCTTTCTTGTAATTTCCCAAGCTTGGGTTACCACTGGTGTAGCTCTAGACTTAAGAACCTCCACTCCAGCACAGAGGCCACCTGACTAAAGGAAGGAACTCATCCAGGCCTGCCTAGGGCCTGTCACCTCCTGCCTGCCTGCCCTGAGTACTCACCAGGTCCCAGTGTGTGCTTCTGTGGCTGGTAGGACATGGAGCCGGGCACAGAAAGGGAGTGATTACCCATGGTGCTTGACCTCGGCGTCACAGGCTGACTGGACACCAAGGAGCCTTGCGAAGCCTTCTGTAGAATTTCTGTGGATTGGGAAGCAGACATCACCTGCTCAGAGCAGCAGCAGAATATGCTCGGGGAGGGTTCCTTACTTCAAAATGTCCTGTCTCTTTTCTTGTGTGTATGGTGCCAGCGATTAAGTCCAGGACTTCTTTTATACTAGACGAGCATCATGCCCCTGACCCAGGGCCTCAGCCTTCCTCCTCATCACTGCCTCGGGTCCCAGAAGGAGCCGTCCTCAGGCTCAGCTCTGACCCTTGGTCTCTGCAGTCTGCTCTGCATGGGATGCATTATAACCGCCTCCCACCCCACAGTCTCCACTTGTTCATCTCACTCCTCCACAGGCACAATTCTTAAGGCCACTGCCTGTTAAAGGGCCCCTGGAGCTGAAGTCGGAAGTGGCTGACATTTGGGTGGGTCCTATGTCACCCACTCCTGCTCCCCTGTTTTGGAATCACCAGCATGAAGCCCTGTTTGCCTGTCCCTTCTGCCACAGGGCTACATTCTCCCGCAGAGGCAAAACTGTGTCCCGTTCCTACTGGGCTCTCCCTGGACACCACTGGCTGTCTCAGCAGCCGAGTACCTGGAGTGACGGTGCTCAGCAGAAACCTTGTGCTACCAGGCTCTGAGGAAGATTTATCTCCTGCAAGGACAGAAGCAGACGGGGAGAGGCGGTAGGGCAGGGCTGCTGATGCCATACCTCTTTGCCCATCTGAGAACCCCCAGGCTCCAAGTAGGTCTGAATGGCTGGGGTGGACATGGGGGGGGTAGAGGTGGGCTTCTCAGCAGCCATCCTTGTTCACTCACCTGAGCTGAGAGAAACTGGCTGGGAGTTCAGACTCCTGAAAAGCCCTAAAACACATCATTTGAGGGGTCTGGTGCCCCTGCCCTTCTGGGCCCTTTTCTTCTTCTCTGAAGCTAGTTTGTTGTTGTTGTTTGGTTGGTTGGTTTTTCTCTTTCCCTCCTCTCCTCTACCTCTGACTATTCATCTCTTCCCTCTTTACGGCATGTTAGACTAGGCCAATTGAGTGAGTCCAGAGACCTATGGCCCAAGCTCCCATCACCTGCAGTCAGTGAAAAAGAGAAACCAGAGCTCCCCCCTCTAATACCTTCCTAAGCTCTTACGCACAAGCGCTGGAGTAGACCCCAACTCTTACCCTGAGAGGTCTGAGTTGTTGTAGCCTGAGAGCTGTAGCCTGTGAGAGAAAGCAAAAACCTTATAGACTATGGCTGGCATGGCAGCACATGCCTTTAATCCTGGTACTTGGGAGGCAGAGGTAGACATAGCTCTTTGGGTTCAAGGCCAGCCTCATCTACATAGTGAGTTCTAGAACAGCCTGGGCTACATAGAGAGACCTTGTCTCAAAAAACAAAACAACAATATAGACTACCTTGGCAACTCTGCCAAGCAGAGCCCATGAGGAAATGTAGGGCTTTTGGCTGTCTAAAACCCCTATGCTAGAAGGCAGGCACACTTGGCAGAGGGTGAAAGGACTCCTCATGCTTCAGAGTCCTAGAGTCTTTTACTGAGTCTTCAATCCTTCATACATATGACACAAGGGTGTGGTTATTTAAAGTATCTGGACAAACACAGAGAAACTTAGGTCTCCATGCCTATACACTACTGGCTCATTTATTTCCTCCTGTGAAGACTGTCATTTTGGCTCCAATTCAAAAGGAAGGGAGGGGAAGGTAAATAACAGAGTCAGGTTTGGGGCTTTCTCTCTCTCTCTCTTCTGTCCTCCCCCACCGGAAGTAGAGGCCTGCACAGGAAACAAGTTCTGAGGTATATCCCGGAGGAGAGGAAGCTATGAAAGGAGCGATTGGTTTACTCTCACAAGCAGAGGCAACTTTAGAAATGATTGTTCTGGGGGGGGTGGGGGTGGAGAGTTGGCTTAGAGGATAAGAGCACTGTCTGCTCTTCCAAAGGTCCTGAGTTCAATTTCCAGCAACCAATGGTGGCTCACAATCATCTATAATGAGATCTGGTTCTCTTCTGGCCTGCAGGTGTACATGCAGGCAGAACACTGTATGATAGATAGATAGATAGATAGATAGATAGATAGATAGATAGATAGATAGATAGATAAGAAAAAGAAATGGTTGTTGTGGGCCAAACCCAGGGAGGAGGAGGTTACCAGCAGTTACTAGTTGTAGCCTTTGTTGGCTATTCTGTGTGTACACATGTGTCTGTGGGCCTCTGTGTAGGTATGTGCATGCTTTCAGTGTGTGTGTGTGGGGGGGGAACCTGGAAGGTCAGGTTATGTGTGCTCACTTTCCACAATGAAATCATTCTTGAAACCTATGAACAATGTGAAAGGAAAACAACATGGGGAAATGGAGCCGCCCATCAGGAGCCGCTCCCTCCATGCAGGCTGGATGAGCTGCTGATCTGACCCTACTGTTCCCTTCGCTTCTCTTCATTAGGGAAGCATCAGACCCAGGCCCCTGAAGAACCAAGGCAGCTGAATTTCACAACCTAGGCTGTGGCAGCCTTCTGCTCTGTTTATTTTCCTTAAGGCCTTACGTTCCTCCATGGAGCTATCATGTGGATAGTGTGGAATTGTTTCCAAGACAATCTTACCCAACCCTGACGTAAATATCTCTCAGATCCCTGCTCCTCTGTGGGTAGAGGTTCCAGAAGGGAGAGACAGAGGTTACAGGAACCCCAAGCTAGGGAGAATCCTTTCTAGGAAGAGAGGAGCCTGGGCTAACCCTTTCCATTCAACACCTCTGAAGACAGTTGCTTCCTGTTCAATCACGTCATATGAATCATCTTGGTTCTGGGAAGATGGGCCATCAGAGCGCACCTGCCTTTCTGAATAGATCTAAAAAATTATCTACACATCTACACGTTTCTGAGGAGTTCCTAGGGCACAAGCATCAAGCCATAAAGGCCTGCGCTCTCTTTGCCTCACTCTTCCCAACCCATCACCTACAGTCTGCTGTGAGTGGAGAAGGGACTTAGGAGTGTGTTTCTGTAGGCCCAGTGCCTCTGACCAGGAGAGGTACAGACACCCAAAGAGCCATGGCCACAAACATTTCTAATTTTCCTTACCTCCACTTCCTAAAGCCTACCTGCTCCACTTCCTTCCATCCTAGCCCATGTCTCCCTCCCCCATCTCCCCACCCCCACCCCCATTTTCCTGTTTTCCTCAGCTGCATAAATAAATGCTTAAAAGCATGGATTTGCAGAGCATGGAGATGTAGTTGGGTGGTGGAGCACTTGCCTAATATGTGTGAGGGAGGCCCTAGGACCAAACCCCAACACCACACACACAAAAAAAAAAAAAAAAGTGGGGAATTTTTGAAGTTCTGGCTTCTCTTATTGTATGAGTTGGACCTGGGTTCTCTGAAGTGTGAGAGATTAGAGGTATAGTTCTATATAAGCTTTAGACTGGATCCTCAGCATCACAACAGACAGACAGACACACACACACAGCCTCATGAATTGTTGAGGGGAAAAGAACATGCACACAAAGCCCACAGCCCCTGACAACCTTGTTTAATCTGTGCTAGACATTTCAAAGTTTGCCCCATTCTCTTGGTTTCTCCAGATCTAAAGACTGGCTGACTCTTCATAGTGAAGCCCCTCTGTTGGCATGAATTTGCTCCAGACAATTCCTCAGCCACCAAAATGAGGCAGACAACGGCTGTGAGCTCGTGGACGGAGACGCTGGGTGAGTTAGGGAGACAGTAGGTTCAAGAGAGTCTAGGGGGCCAATTGGAAGGCCTGCGCATTTGGAAGGCCCGTGGAATTCCTCACCTCCCCCGGACATCAGCCTCTGACTCTCCCCTGTGGGAGTTGATAGGCAGGACGGGTTGGCAGCATTGACTCCAGCCCACGGGCTGGAGAAGTATCTCGCCTTGGCAGGAGGCAACATTGTCTGGAGCACAAACCCTCCCACCTAAGCACCCTGGCCCATCTTTCTGCTGCTCCGATCACAGCCTCAGCCATCCTCCACAAAGGACTGGGTTTGGGGGTGGTGACAAAGGGAAGTTGCTGCCCTGTGAATCAGAGCGTCCTGGACTTCTCATGGTTCCCAGCAATGGCTCCCTAATTAGAGAATCCTGCCTCAAGTCCCCACTCATGACTGCCAGTGATGACCGGGAGGTAGTATTTCGGTCCCCTCACCAGAGGCCATCTCATCTAGCCCCCCTGCTGTGTGTACCCTCCTTGGTAAAGAGGTCTTTGTGTTTAACCAGAAGCCCTCTTGCTATGATTTGAGATTAAAGTCAGCATTCAAAATTCACAGGTTGTAATTCTTCGCAGGTGAGGAGGAAAAAAAAGGTCACCTGTAAAACCCAACGTACAGACCACTTTGTGCTAGAACCTCCCACAGAGTGACCATGGTGCCTGGATTGGTGGAGAGTCCTGACAGGGAAGCCGCAGGCTTCTCCTGCCTGGATACCCCTTAGAAGGAATTTTCCAGGTTCTGTCAGGCATCGATCCAGCCCCTTGCCACCTTTCAGGGGGCCAGACGCTATGGGGGAACCCTAGAAAACATCATAAGGAGCCTAACAATGTGCTAACAATGTGTGTTTTACCAGGGCAGTAATTCCCATCCTCCAAGCCGTTGATCCCTTCATGGAAAGGTTCTGGAATTTCCCTTTCTCAGGCAGAGCCCTGGATGGGAACGTGTGTGTGTGTGTGGGGGGGGGGGGTTGGGCGGGGGGGGGGGGGGGGGTTGCTGGAGAAAGTGGCAAGCGCATCTTACCTTGGAGCAGGAGTAAGCCAAGGATTGCTGAACCCAGCCGAATGGCTCCGTTGGTCCCCATATTAGCTGGGTGTGTAGCCAGCAGGCTCCTCGGTGTATTCTCTGTCCATAATGGAGAAGAGAGAGGGAGTGCTGGGGCGAGGTGGGGGGGGCGGGGGCGGGGACAGGCTCTCCAGGAGCTTCCTGTCAAAGAATAGAAGGAAACAGATTGGGACTTGCTCCAGGGGCCCCAGTTCAGAGAGCAACCCGGCAGCTGAGGATGTAAGCCTGAGCAGCCCAGCTGTGGGCATGAGCTAGGGCCTTTTCGGTCTCTCTGCGCTCTGTGCACAGTGACCAATGGTGGCAGTCTGACCCCAATGCTTCCTTGCTCCCTGAGGGATCCCTCAGGTTGTTCCCTGCAGCACCTGTGTTTCCCCCAAGCTGCTGTTCAAGATGCCTTCTCCTCTCCAAGGACCCAGCTCTAAGCTCGACCCACAAGCTGCCCATGCTCTGTGGACTATGAATTCTCCACATTCCTCTCCCCACTCAGGGCTCTCAGTCCAGACGGGACTTCCAGCATCGTTTAGGGAAAACCTTACAAGCAAGCTTGTTATTCCTAATAGAAAAACAAGAGGTGGGCGGGGCAAAGAGCTCGGTGGGTAAAGAAGTAGCCTTGCGAAGCACAAGAACCTAAATTCCATCCCAACACCGACATAAAACGCGAGGCAACCTGCTGGGCACGGTGGCACACGCCTGTAATCCCAGCACTCAGGGAGGCAGACGCAGGCGGATCTCTGTGAGTTCGAGGCCAGCCTGGTCCAGATAAGCAAGTCCTGGACAATCAAGGCTACACAAAGAAACCCTGTCTCCAAAAAAAAAAAAAAAAAAAAAAAAAAAAAAAGCCAGGCAAAGTGGCTGGTATGTAATCCCAATACAAGGGGAGGCAGAGACATTCGAATTCTGGGTCTCACTGGTCCTCTAGCCTAATTGGGGAGATGGCTCAGTGGGGACCTGGGTTTAAAATCCGAGGACCCACAGAAAACCAAGTGTGGCAGTGCAGTTCTATAGTCCCAATGCTCCTAGGTGACGTGGGAGGCAGAGACAAGAGCATCCTGGGAACTTTCAGCCTGGCAGACGCAGCAGCAAACAACGAAGACTGCCTCTGCCTCAAAGTGGGAGGTAAGCCGACACCAGAGACTATCCTCAAGATCCACCGTGTCACAAGCATGACCATACTCACACGCATGAACACACGCACTCCCACATGAACAGGTAAGGAACACACTTGTGTAGAGTTTACAAGAGGGAAAAAAAAGGATATTCTAGTTTCAGGAGCTGAATAATACATTCCAGGAAGGGGTGACACCCAAACTAATGAGGCCAGATGATTAATTACGGCTTCCCCAGTAAGGGGAGAGGGGCAGCTGCAACGCTGGGTGTGGACATGGAAAAGTGACGGAGAAGCCTGGGGTCACACTTCGCTTCCAGAAAGCCCTCATTTCCTCTCCCAAATTCAGAAGTTAAAGTCTTGATTTGGGAAAGAGTCTGGATTCCCTCTGGCTAAGATCCAAGAGGACCGAAGTGGGAGGCCGAAGATCACCAGAACCTTCCATTGCATGGAGAAATGATCAATAGAGGCCTCTGTAATTTGAGGGTCAGGTCAATAGCCCTGAGCTCAGTGACAGGATATGGGCAGCATGGCTAAGAGAAAAGAAGCCAAAAAGCTAGTAACACTTACTGCTGTAAGTCTCTGGGTGAGGGGGTCTTGTGGGAGTTTACTGGTCTCCACAAGAATAAAGAGAGGCCAGCATCCGTCCAAGACAGGGTGAAGAATGGCTGGTTATGGGCAGCAGCTAGTTCGGACAAAAAATTATCTTGGAAAAACTAGGCCAGGAGGGATAGGGCAACCCTTTAATTCCAGTGTTCAGGAGACTGAGGCAGGAGAATATTGAATTTGAGGTCAGCCTCAAACCACATGATGAAACTGTCCTAAACAAAACACAATAACTGGTCATGGTGGTGTATGCATACATTCTAGCACTCAGGGGATGGGGACAGGCAGAGTGGGAGCAGAAGGTGGTCTTAGCTGCAGAGTGAGTTTGAGACCAACCTAATTTACATGAGACAACAAAAACAAGTAAGTTAATTAAAAACAAAAAACAAAAAACAGAGAGGAGGAGTCGGGTATAGTGGAGCACGCCTTTAATCCCAGCACTAGGGAGACAGAGGCAGGTCGATCTCTGACTTCGACCAGCCGGGTCTACAGAGTGAGTTCCAGGACAGCCAGAACAGGGCTACATGGAGAAACCCTGTCTCAAACAAAAATAAAAACCAAAACCAAACCAAACCAAAACAACCCAGAGAGAAAATACTGCTTTTCAGCAAGTCGTGATGGTGTATGCCTTTGATCCTAGCACTCAGGAGGCAGAGGCAGGTGGATTGCTATGAGTTTGAGGGCAGCCAAGGCTACACAGAAAAACCCTGTCTTGAAAAACCAAAAAGAAAAAAAAAAGTATGGTGAGATAGGGATTTTATACATATAATCTATATTATACATATATATATATATAACATACTTTGAAACTTATATATTTTGGGTGTGTACTGGGAGGAGGTGTGTGTATGTGTGTGTGTGTGTGTGTGTGTGTGTTTCAGAGGATAATTTGTATGAGTCAAGTCTTTCCTTCTACCACGTAGACCCCGGAGACCTGGAAACTCAGGTGCCTTTGCCAGATGAGCCATCTTGTCAGGCTGGATTTCTAGTTTACTGGTAACATTTTAGGACAAATCTTTATAGTAAAGTGTAGAATTCTTTTAGAATTTGGCTAGCACGTTTTGTGGCTTATAGCAGAAAAATCCCCACCTACCCCCACTACCTCCACATTACAAAAAAAAAAAGAAAAGAAAAGAAAAAAGCCTGCAGTCATAGATATACCAGCTACCCTCATCCGATTTTTATTTATCTGTACAATGTATAAAGCCTTGCACTGGCTGCACACCATGGCCTGAACCAATGATCTCAGCTCTCTGGAGACAGAGGCAGGAGGATAACAAGCTCCAGATAAGCCAGATCTATGCAGTAAGACCCTATCTCAAAGGAGAGGGAGGGCCTGGCTACACTATGTTCTGTGTGTACATACAATGATAATGTGCCAATTAAAAATAGGGGAGGAAACAAGGAATGTTGGCACATGCCTTTAATCCCAGCATGAAGGAAGCAGAGGCAGGTGCATCCCTGTGATTTCAAGGGCAGCCTGGTCTACAGAGCAAGTTCCAGGACAGTCAGAGCTACACAGCAAAACACTGTCTTGAAAAACAAACACACACACACACACACACAAACAAACAAACAGAAAAATAGGGTCTGGGAGATGAGTCAGTGGCTTAGGGCACTTGTCCTTCTTGCTGAGAACTGAGGTTCCATTCCCAGCACCTACATGATGGCTCACCACCATCTGTAACCCCAGTTCCAGGGGACTGGATGCCCATAATCTCCTCAGGCACCAGACATACATGCAGGCAAGATACTTAATGCATAAAAATGAATAAGTCTATATAAAATAGTACTTCCCTTGATGCATAATATTTAAATAAATAAATAAATAATAGAAATTTATGGATTTGCCAGGCATTGGTGGTGTGTGTGCCTTTAATCCAAGTACTAGGGAAGCAGAGGTAAGCACATCTCTGTGACTCTGAGGCCAGCCTGGTCTACATAGCTAGTTCTAAGACAGCCAGGGCTACACAGAAGGACTTCATCAATAACAATAATAATATTAAGTGACCTGAGTTTGATCCTCAGAATAAACATAATGGTGGATAGAAAGAATCAGCTCCACAAAGTTGTCCTTTGACCTCCACACACCTGCATGGCACAAGTGACCACCTACACATCATGCCTATATACATACCCATTCACAAAATTAAAAATAATTTTTTAAGTTAAAATGACGTTAGTTTAGAAAATTAATTTAGTTCTTAACATTTTAGAAACCAGTGTGGTAAAGCAAAGACGAATGGACAGAGCTGTTGGGCTATAGAGATGTAGAGGCATTACATTCAATAGGTTATGTAGTGTATGTGATCCATACTTCGCAGCGCTTAAGCTGTTACATATAACAAAAAAAGAGCAAAGGACCTTAGCTTCAGGAAATGGGAGGGAGGAGGGAGGAGGAGAACGGACAGGTCCTGGGGAAGGTGGAGGTGCCCCACACGTGTCGAGTTTAGAATCTGCTGGAGAAGAAGTGGGCAGGGCAACTTGGGCTCCGAAGCTGCGGGAGGTATGAAAGGAAGTGCCTAGGAGGATGGAGGCACTCTCAGAGCTGAAGGCTGGCCCACAGCAGCCTAGCTGTTCCCGGAAGTACAAGTGCGGGGAAAGAACAGTGAGGGTGTGTACAGAGGGTGTGTGCCCAGGAGCCCCGCAGACGTGGCAGCTCTGGGTAGGGGCTGAACTAGGGCAGTGAGCTCTCTTCCTTTGCCCAGCTGGTATCCAGTCCCAAGAGAACTCTGCTCCAGCCCCGGACAATGCACCAGGTAGACTTGTTCACCCCTTCCTGCCAGGCTGGCCTGACTCTCTCGAGGGGCTTCAGACCCTTCCCAACCTAAGCTTCCTTCTCCCTTTTTACACCCAGAAGTCACTCTGGGGGCCTAGGTGGGGACCCCGTGACAGCCCCCCACCCCAACATACACATGCAAGCACGCATGCATGAACACATGCCCCAGCTCCGCCCTGCATAGGTAGCACTGAGACAGAATCTGGGGACAGTGTGACTAAGGGCCTAAAGGAAATACTTTCATCTTATCAGCCTCTCTTGGCTCCAACTACCTTCCACAGAGTGGGCCAGGCTGAGGGCTCCGAGTGGGGGGGGGGGCGCCCAACTCCCAGGGGACTATAGAATGATGGCTGGAGGGAGGGAGGCCACCTCACTAACTCTGAGCCTGCCTTCCCCACTGAGATCCCTCATCCCCACTCAGCAGCTAGCAGGGTAGGGACATTCTAACGACTTGGTTATGTCCTCTAATACCCTGGCCAGGGTAGACTGGGGCAGGATCTCTTCAACCCACCCTGGGCACAGGCAGGAATCTACACCAGACACCAGCCCTATTTTGCCTCTAGAACTTGGCCTCAAGACCTGGGGGTAGGGAGCATACTTATAAGATGAAGTATGGGCATACATAGCACTTCACACCAGATTTCTGGGGTTCATGTCCCTCTTTCTATCCCCTGCTTTCCAGTGACTTAGAGGCAGGGAGCCTCTGAGAACAGACAATGACTCCCCTTTTCCAGAACATCTCAAAGCAGCAGCTGCTTGCTGCCCACTGCTCAGGATGTGAGGCAGCAGCCCAGAGAGTACTCAGATTTCCAGTGCAGCACAGGATCGATCTGGGACTCTTGCTGGAGACTTGGGAAGAGGTAGCAATGAGAAAAGACTTTGGGGACAAACTGTTTTATGCCAGGCTGTAATAAAGCTCCTCTCTTTGGCCCTTTCTGAGTGACTTTAACTCCCTATCTTCCCAGAGGTTTTGTTTATTTGTTTTTCTTTTGCTGTCTCCATCTTCATTTCTGTCTCTGTCTATCTCTCTCTTCTCCCCACCCCCACAGCTCCCACTGTCCTTGTCTTTTAGTGTATCCTTATGAATGTATTTAAACCTCCTCTCTCTCTTCCTCCCTGCTCTCTACTGCTGTCTCTGGGGTTTTCTTCTCTCAGATCCCTCTCTCTTTTTTTTTTTTTTTTTTTTTTTTTTTGGTATGTTCATGCCCATATCAATTTCTCTCTGTCATCTCTCCTCTTCCCCCAGGATGGCCACTATCCTCAGTCTTCTCCACTTGTGAACGGTTCCTTGGGTTCCTTGGGACAAGAGCCTCAGAGGCAGCCCGAAGAGATGCTAGGTGAGGTCAGGGAACTGCCTCGAGGGGACGGGCTGCCACTACTCACTGTCATCGTCGCTGCCTTTGTCCTACTAGCAATCTGCATCGTGCTAGCAGTTCACTTTGGGCCTACATTCCGTCAGGGTCATGCCACCCTCCTCACAGAGCCACCAGCCCTGAAACCAGAGGACGGCATTTGCCTCACCCACTGGCGGCTGCTAGGCCTACAGGACAGTCACAGGGAAACCCAGCAGGGACTTCCTATTCCTCACTCTGGCCCTGCCCTAGATGGGCACAGGGCCAGCACTGATGAAGTCACGTATCTGTAGGAAGGTGATTTGGAGTTAACGTGGCTGGTCTCAGAACAAGAAACTGGGCTGAAAAACGAATTGGAGCCTGGGTGTGGGAGCTACAGACGGCCTCTGGACCCAGCTGGAGCTGTCCTCAGATATTTAGCAAGAAAGCTTCCTGGTGACTGTGAAAAGCCATTTGAGGACCTTGCCTAGAGACATGGTGCCAAGGCCCCCCACCCTGGGCACCTCCAGATCCTCCTCGGAATTCCTGTTTCCTGCTTGTACCTCTCTGATCTCCATCCTTCTTGGAGTAAAGTGAAGATCCCATCCATGAAGAAGGAATGCCAGAGCTCTACAGAGAAGGCCTTCACACACCGCGGACCCAGGGAGAGCTAAGGCAAGGAGCTGTGGGGTGTCTTCTCTGAGGCCCAGGTTGCTCGGAAAGGAGCCACCTCTGTTGTCTTTTCGCCTCTGGAGGGCACCTCTGGCTGCTAGGCTTTGGCCTTGTTGATAACCTCCAAAGCCCCTGGACTTCCTAACCTCCACTTAGAGCTTCAAGGGCTCTGAGTGTCCCTGAGCACTCAAGCCCCATCTTGACATCCTAGGAAGTTTGAGGGTTCTTCTTACCTCTTACTTTCTGTGTGAGGGTGGGCCTGTTGGAACACGCCTAAAATGTAGTACAAATTATTTCCAGATCCAGAACTTTCCAGCCAGTGGGAAAACAGGAAAAGAAAAGGAATGTCATGGAACTTGTTTGGGGAAGGAGGGAGCACAAGGGGTCCATCCTTGCAAGGAAAGGGCACAGTTCAGCCTGTGGTCAGGAGAACAAAGCTGGGCTCCCTGGCGACTCTCTAGAAAGTACACCTTTCTCTGGTACCTCAGAGGCCCATTCACACGCAGTCAAAGACATACAGACACAAACCATGTAAACTGGGCTTGGTGATACAGCCTTGAAAGCTTAGCACTTGAGAGACGGAGGCAGGAAAATCAGAAGTTCGGGGTTATCCTCAATGATACAGCAGGTCTGAGGGCCTAGATTACATGACACCCTTGTTATTGAGGGAGAGGCAGTCAGGAGACCTGACCCCAGGCTTATGAGATGGGTGAGCGGATCTTGTCCCTCACCCGCTACAGCACCTGGGAGAGTGGGCCCTGCACCTCACCTGAGCAGCACAGTAGAGTAGGCCCTGGTGGAGGGGGCACAGGTGAGCCTGCCCAGTCAGCATGAGTGTGGGAGAACTGGCCCCCACCACTCTCTGTAAGGTGTAAGGTGGAGTGGGCACAGGAGTGATGCCCTCCCCTCCTTGCCCCTTGCCACCTACGGTACTCAGGGGACCTAGCCCTGACGTCATGAGAGCAGGAGGTCTATCTTTACACTTCACTGGCCCTGATGTTGAAGGCAGGGCATGAGAGCAGGAGAGCTGGCCCAGCCCCTTGCCAGCTGCAGCATTGGGAGACTGGGCCCCATGCCTTGACTGGCAGCACAGTGGAGTTGGCTCTGGAGGCATAGCTGTGGATAAGCCAGCTTGAGGGCATGACACCAGAGCTGACCCAGCCTCCTGCCAATGGTGGCCTAGCCAGAGGAATGCTGAAAAGCTCACCTTAGTGGTGTGGATAAGGAAGAGCCAGTGAGCTCACCAGCTCAACTACCACCCAGGCCCAGATCCAGGGCTTGAGTTGGCCCACCCCAAAATCTACATCATTTGTGAACTGTTAGGGCATGTGAAAAGGACAGTCCTACTGATCCAAAGCCGCAGTATCTCCATGACACAGGGCAACAACAGGATAACTGGGAGGAGTCCCTGTGAAAATCCAATATTGATGGCATCACAGAAGCCAGAGACCTCGAACCAGACCAATGACTCATTGCAACAAACATTTGTAAGTGAAGAGGTGTGGACAGAGGAGTATATTATGGAACACACTACAGTTTCCACAATGAGATGTTTTCTGTTTTGGGGGGGGAGGTTGCAAGGGCAGAAGGCAAATACGAGGTGACAGAAAGATGAGTGGGACTGGGTGCATGATGTGAAATTCACAAAGAATCAATAAAAGTTTTTGTTTTTTGTTTTTTGTTTTTTTTTTTTTTTAAAAAAAGAATGAAAGAAAGAAAGGAGAGGGTTTGGTTATGCTGGTGCATGCCTTTAATTCCAGCATTCAAGAAGCAGATCCATCTTTGAATTCAAAACCAATTGGTCTTATATAGTGAGTTCTAGGCTAGCATGGGCTACATAGTAAGGCTCCTTTTCTGTTTGGTTGGTTTTTTTTTTTTTTTTTGTTTTTCAAGACAGGATTTGCCTGTTTTAGTCCTGGCTGTCCTAAAACTCACTCTGTAGACCAGGCTGGCCTCAAACTTACAGAGATTTGCCTACCTCTGCCTCCTTAGTGTAAAATTCTTCCTTCCTTCCTTTTTTTTTTTAAGATTGTGTTTATTTATTTTGAATGCTCTTTCTGCATGTACACCCGTATCCCAGAAGAGGGAGTAGAGGGTATAGAGGGTATAGATGGTTGTAAACCACCATTTGGTTGCTGGGAATTGAACTCAGGACTTCTGGAAGAACAGACAGTGCTCTTAACTTCTGAGCCATCTCTCCAGCCCCATAAGGCTCTTTCTTAAAAGAGAGAGAGAGAGAGAGAGAGAGAAAGAAAGAAAGAAAAGAAAGAGAGAGCGAGAGGGAAAGGAAGGAAGAAAGAAAGAGAAAAAGAAGAAAGAGAAACAGGAAGGAAGGAAGGAAGGAAGGAAGGAAGGAAGGAGGAAGGAAGGAAGGAAAAAGGAAGGAAAGAAAGGGAGAAAGGAAGAGAGAAGGAAGGGAGAAAGAAAGGAAGGAAGAGAGAAAGAAAGAAAGAAAGAAAGAAAGAAAGAAAGAAAGAAAGAAAGAAAGGAAGGAAGGAAAGGGAGGAAGGAGCAAGCAAGCAAACCATAGAAACAGACACCTGCTGCTTGACCCCTGGGAAGCTCTTAAGGATAAGTTAGCATTAAGGCCCTGCCTCCCATTGAATGAGGCTGGAAATCAAGGAAGTGGAGAAGGAGCAGAATGGGGGTCAAAATATATACAGAGATGAACCCACCTCCTTGTGACTGCTTAAGAGGTAGCTATGTGCCAAGCGTTGCTGTTGTACGTTTTTAATCCCAGCACTCAGGAGGCAGAGGCAGGCAGATCTCTGAGTTCCAGGACAGCCTGCTCTACAGAGTGAGTTCCAGGACAGCCAAGGCTTCCCAGAGAAACCCTGTCTCAAAAAACAAAAACAAACAAACAAACAAACAAACAAACAAACAAGAAAAGGAAATGCAGAGTGGTATACTCAGCCCTTGTGATGGAAACAAAGGTAGTAGAGGGAGGGACACATGTCAAGTCTGGGTGGAGCATAGGAAGGACTGTCTGCCCTCCCAGATGGCCGTGGCAGTGCCACCACAATGTTGTTACAATGGCATAGTATAGGCTTGGTGCCTGACTGTGTCGTCCAGTGTTCCCAGAGGGCGTCCGATTTCCTCACATACTCGCCCTCCGGTTCTTTGAATGGTCCCTTCCCTGGGACACAGCTGTGGACCATTGTGGCATCTGTGTGCTAGCTCCACTCAGCCCCGCTCCTGATCCTTCAGCCTGCCACCGGAAGCAAGGACACTGAAAGCAAAGGTGGGGTGCGCCCTCGGTGTGAAGAGTGGGCCCTGTCTGGGTTGAAACGGCACCCGTCCCCTACTGCCCTGTAGCAGGACGAGAAGGAGTGCAGGAAGCGTGCTGCACACGCAGCCAGACACAGATGCCAGGAGTGATGCGTTCGCCCTCTCATAGCTCTCACAGCCCAGCAGCAAAGAGACGGCGTGCTCAAGCAGCACACTGTGAGGATGGTCTTTAACATGTGTGGGGGTGGGAGGCAGGCGTGGGAGTAAAGGGAGACTGGGAGGAGAAAAGGGAGGGGCCTTCAGTCAAGCTGTAAAGCGATTAAATAAATAAATGGGAAAATTTTTTTAAAAAGTGAAAAATCATCATTCTTACTTAAAGGAAAGAAGCGTGTTTAAGTGCATGTCTGTGCACATATGTGTGCCTTTATGCCAAGGCCAAAAGTTGGTGCAGGTGTCTTCTTCAGTTGGTTTCCACTTTATTAATTCTTTTTAAAGATTTATTTACTGATGATTTATACAGCACTCTGCCTGCATGTGTGCCTGCACACCAGAAGAGGGCACCAGATCTCATTAAAGATCTGGTTAAAGAGCCACCATGTGGTTGCTGGGCATTGAACTCAGGACCTTTGGAAGAGCAGCCAGTGCTCTTAACCTCTGAGCCATCTCTCCAGTCACTCCACTTTATCTCTAATAAATTTTATTAAACTTTTTTGACAAAAAAAAAAGGACATGTACAAAGGACATGCTATAAAGTACCTCAGTGCCACACATATACCAGTGCTAGGGGGAAGCAGACGAGGCCATTTTAGAAACCTGAGAATAGCCATGTTTACTGAGAAGGCAGCCCAGCAGGATAGCCCACTGTGACTGCAACAGAACAAACACTCCTGACTCGGCCTTCTCCCTCTCTCCACCTATGGAAGCTCCCATTGAACACACATGACCAGAAGCTGGAGGGTCAGAGGTCTGCTGGTACCACTTAGGCAGGTCAAGGAAGAACAGAGAATGCCTAAGGCATCACGGGAAATACTTGCCCTATCTCTTAAGTTTGCCAGGAACTGACACCAAACCTCTACACATATAGTCCTCACAAAAACCCTAGAAGGAGGGCAAGGTATACATTATGATCCCACTTCACAGTGGGGTAGGCTGAGACTCAGAGAGGTGAAATGGCTTGCCGGAGAATGTGGGACTCATCTGGAGATGTGAAATCCCTGTGAGGCTCCCGGCCATTGAAAGAAGACCCAGTCAGGAGGCTGAAGAAGCTCAGGCAAGGCTGTCCCGTGCCTCAGATGAGGTCAGTGCGGAGTGGGAGAAGCTGCCCCATATCACTGATGAGGAGCCTCGGCTCTTGGGACAGCATGGAGGAACAAGGCTCCCCTGAGGACTCGGGGCCATTCATGGGGACCTCCTCCTTTTCTTCCTGACGAATGTGTCGGAGAACCTCCTGAGACAGTGAGAAACTGTTTCCCTCTGCAGGATCTGGAACGGGGATGTAAGGTGGGTTCAGGTGAGGACCTTACTCACGCTCAACAGGGCCCTTAGAAACCACTGGGATGATCCTCCGGCCTCCTTGCCCCCCTCCCACCTACCCCTCAGCTTCTGGGGGGATCCCAGAGCCAGAAGTAGTTATCAAGGCCATGGAAGCCCACCCTCCTGCTTTTAGAGAGGATGTTCGAAAAGGAGCAAAGACATGCCTGCGGTCACACTGACAAAGAGCCGCAGAGTCAAATCCTGCCACATTTGGGTGACAAGAAGACATCTGCCAGAGGAGGAAAAGGCAGGGCATGATCCCTCTGAGCACTTGGGAAAGCCCAGAAAATGCTGCTCCCTTGTTCTCTGGCCATCTGTGAGACACTGGGGATTCCTGATTCCTGTCCTCCAGCCATATCAGCCTCCTACCTTGGTAGACAATGAGGCGGCAGGTATTTCGAGACTCAGGGAAATCGGCCAGGATGTCCTCAAGTGTCCGGCAGAAGAGTTTGGCCTGCTCAAGCCGATCCTCCCGACTGAAGCCAGCTTTCCCATCCCGTGACATGACAAACAAGGTCTGCAAGGGGGTGGCATACTCCAGGATACAGGTGCCTGCCTGGAGGAGGTGAGAACAAGATTAGACTGAGCCAGCACCCTGACAAATGAATTGTGGACCCTGATGCCATGGGCCGTGGCTGTATTCCTTCAGTCTGCAGAACGAGAGTCCTGGGATGTGACTGCCCTGCTAGGGTCTCTGGCGCCCTTTCCTAGCTTCAGGCCTGGGCTGGGCTAACCCTTCACAGATCTTTCGCCCATCATCCAGGAGCATTGCATTCTGGGAAATGGAGTCCGGGGAAGGGCTCTGAGGATTTTGCTTTGCTTGGTTGGGGCTTTCCCACACGCACACTAAATTCTTCAAATGCTCTCATAGCCTTCAGTATTGTGTCCCCGAGCCTCACTTTCCTCCACTGTAAAAGCAGGGATCACGCCTGCTCCGCAGATTGGCGGTAAGGTTTAATGAGGTGGCGTTATGGTTCACAAAGAATGTCCAGTAAATGCTCCATAAACGTTACTCCTCAGTGTCGTTCCGAACTGACTCTTGCCTTGTCCTGAGACCAGCTATGCAAGCAGGCTCAGGAAAGAGTCATGGTGAATAAATTGTAATAAATAAATATATAAATAAAATTAAAGTTAAAAAAAAAAGAAAGAAAGAAGGAAAAGAGTCATGAGCTCTTACCAGTGTGTGGATAGGGATCCAGGGTTCCCCAAGCCCAGCTCTGTACACTTACTGGTTGCCCATTCTCCAGAAGCTCATAAACACTGTTGGAATAAACCCGATTCTTGGTGCCAGCACGGTCTATGCTCTGCTGGGGCAGCATGTCCCGGAAGCGAATGTTGGGGTCCGCCACGCTCAGGTCGTCAAGCACGGCACAGTCCAGCGGGAGGAGGATGTACAGCTTCCTACTCCCTGCGCCCCACAGCAAGTTGTTGTGCAGCTGATTGAACCTTCGGATCCGGGCCTGGAGCCCTGCATTCGGGAAGCCCAAGAAACTATCTCATCAACTTTGTCTCCCACCGAGACCCAGGTCACCAGCCTTCTCAGTGTGTGGGTACAAGAGACTTGGGGGATCCGACCTCTCTCATTGTACAGGAAGGAGATTTGGGGGAAGGAGAGAACATTCAGGGACTTCCTCTTTCCACTGTGTGTGTGTGTGTGTGTGTGAGAGAGAGAGAGAGAGAGAGAGAGAGAGAGAGAGAGAGAGAGATGGCTCACACCTGTAGTCCCAGCACTCGCGGAGGCAGAGGAAGGAATGTGCCTCAATGCTTGGCCCCTGAATTTCTGTCAGCCTCCTACCACCGCTACTACAGCAGCCTGGACCCTGAGAAACTGACAAGAGTCCTGAGAAGTGGCATTCTCAGCATTCCCTGATGGATACTGTCAGACAACTGGGTCCAAAGCGTTCCTGGCATCCCAGAGGATTCAGGAGAGCCACGGCCTGGGTTCAAAGTCAGGGAGTAGCCACATGCGCTCCTCAGTACAGCGGCCAAGTGTGCTGACTCTACACAGCCCTGCATTCCAATTCTGTTTCCTCATCTCACGCATTCACGTAACCGCAGGTAGGTCACTGCTCTCTCAAAGCCGCACTTTTTCTTATCTAAGATGAAAATGATGGGAGCTATACAGACAGCACAGTGGACAAGAGCATTTGCTGCTCTTCAGCATTGCTCAGTTCCCAACAGCAATGTTGGATGGTTCACAACCACTAGCCCCAGCCCTAGGGGATCTGACATCTTCTTCTGGCCTCCATGGTCACCTGTACTCAGGTGCACATATCTACAGACAGACACCTATGTGTATACAAGAAGAAAAAAAATAAATCTTGGTGGCTCATGCTTTTAATCCCAGCACTTGAGAGGCAGAAACAAGTGAATCTCTTGAGTTTGAGGCCAGCCTGATCTACACCAAGAGTTCTGGGTTAACTAAGGTTACATAATGAGACCCTGTCTCAAAAATAACAATAAAATTAAAATAAAATAATAAAATAAAATAAACAGGACTGGAGAGATGGCTCCGCAGTTAAGAGCACTGGATGCTCTTCTGAGGACCCGGGTTCAGTTTCCAATACCCATTCGGTGCCACCTATCTATAATGACAGTTCCAAGGGATCTGATGCCCTCTTCTGGCCTCCACAGGTACTAGGCACACACATTCTCAGACAAGCACACACGCATTAAAATAAATTTTAATAAAAGAATGTTAAAAATATAAATAAAATTTGAATAATAATGAGTTCATACAGCATATGAGTTCAAAGAGGAGAAGACACATTAAGGGAATCTAGCATGTAATAAATATTTTTCAAGCCAGGTGGCGATGACACATGCCTTTAGTCCCAATGCTCAGAAGGCAGAGGCAGAGGCAGGCAGTTCTCTGTAAATTCGAGGTCAGCCTGTTCTACAGAGTAAGTTCCAGGATAGTCAGGACTACACAGAGAAACCCTGTCTCAAAAAGCTAATAGACAGACAGATAGATGATTCAAAAGCATTCATCAGGGCTGGAGGGATGACTCTGCAGTTAAGAGCACCTGCTGCTTTTCTAGAAGACCCGGGTTCATGGTAGCTAACCACCTGTTACTCCATTTACAGGGGATCTAATACCTTTTTTTGGCCTCTGTAGGCACTAGGCATTCATGTGGTGCACAGATATACATGCAGGCAAAACACCTACATAAGTAGATTTAAAAAATATATATTCATGGAAAGCCAGGTGTGGTGGCACATGTCTGTAATCCTAGTATTTGAGTCAGGAAGATCACAAGTTCAAGGCCAGCCTGGTTTACATATGAGTTCCAGGCCAGCTAGGCTTACCTAGTGAGTTCCTTTCTCAAAAGACAATAGGAAGAGAATCATACAAGGAGCGTAGTGGCATACACCTGTAATCCTAGCTTCTAGACCATGAAGGCAGGGGGAGAATTAGGAGTCTGAAGATTGCCTGCTTGAAAACACACACAATTCGCACAAGCGCACATTCACAGACATTAGGTACAACAAATAAACACATCTTTACGAAAGAAAGGAAGAGGGCTGGAGTGGTGGCTCTGCGGTTAAGGGCACTGGCTGTTCTTCCAGAGGACCCAGGTTCAATTCCCAGCACTCATATCGCAGACCACAACTGTCTGTAACCCCTGTTCCAGAGGATCTGACATCCTCACACAGACATACATACAGTCAAAACACCAATGTCCAGTAAGTAAAAATAAATACATCTTAAAAAAAGAAAGGAAGGAAGGAAGGAAGGAAGGAAGGAAGGAAGGAAGGAAGGAAGACCAGGTTGGGGAGATGGCTCAGCAAGTATAAGTACACTGTGGGTTTAGTCACCAGAACCCATGTCAAAGGCTGGAATGTGGCGGCTTGGATCTGAGAGTTCGGAGGCAAAGACAGGAGAACTGGCTATGCAGCAGCAGAGCAAGAAAGACCTGGCCTCCATGACTGACTCTCCGCACACACCCACACTCATACATACACAAAATGCAAAGTTTAAAGGGAGGGAAGGAGAAGGCAAACATTCATAGATGATCTTGGGCAAAGCACGGGCGAGTTTTTAACACAATCTTACTATCAACCAAACATAGCAATGGTATCCTTGGCCTGGTAAGGTAGCTCAGTGGTATAGTGCTTACTAGGTATGTGTAAGGCCCAGATTCAATCCTCAAGCCAACAAATCAATTAATTACAAAACAACAATAATAACCAGTCAAGTGTAGTGGCTCACGCCTGTAATCCCAGGACTTGGGAGGTGGATGTAGGAGGATCAGAAACTTAAGGTCATCCTCAAATACATAGCATGTTTTAAAGCACCTGGGTTTCTGAGCTCCTTTCTCAAAGATCATACTAAAACTCTGTAATGCCCTTCACACGGACAGGGATACTTTAGGAATTTAATTATATGGCAGACATGAAAATGCTTTGGGAAGCATAGCAAAAAGTATAGCAAAAGCTGTGTGTCTTGCTCTCTATGGATGAAGATGCAGAAGGTGGCCTACCTGGCAAGATCAGCCGCAGGTATCCAATGTAGTATGACCAGGCCAGCCCATGGGCAACATTGAGGTTCTTTTCTTCACAGACTGCGGAGACTTCCGCTGGGGTCAGGCTCTGTAGACAGCAGGAAAGCCTGAGGGACTTTCAAGGGGACATCCAGAGCCCTTCTCTCGAAGAAAGCTTTCCCAACCTGCTGCCTGCTTGCTCTCACTGATGGTGTTGAAGCCGCCACCCCAAGCCTTCATAGCTCTACACCTAGATCTCCAGCCTTTAAACTGGTCTCGATATCAGCACTGAGCTCAGACAGGTCAACACTAGCCACAGTCCCATCTTCCCACACCATCCACCTCTCCTGCGTCATACCTGGAGGCCCAGGAGGATGCTCAGGGACTGTGAAAGGCCCAGGAGGGCAAGCATCCAACTGAGAGGGAGGCCAGTAGTACTTGGGAGGAAGCAGTAGAAATAGAAGGACAGTAGCAGCAGGGCCACTCGGAGGAGGGGGCAGCCCAGACAGGCATGTACAGCCTTCCAGTAGCTGCCCTGGTACCTGCAAGAGACAACCCAACCTCAGGTCACAGCCCAACTTGGCCAACGACGTTCAGGGAAAGCCAAGGTTAGCAGTCAAGGGTATGATACTCTTTGGGCACCCAGTCTCCATGGGGACTTCAGGGGGTTACCTGGAGTGGACATGGTGCAGCTCTTCAGCGAAACAGCAGGCCTCTTTCAACAGCAGTCCAAGTTGTAGGGAGGCTAGGTGGAGAACCAGGTACTGCAGAATGTGACCTGGAGACTCCCCTAACACCCAAAGGGTCACCAGGCTGGCCGCCAGGAAGACTAAGGCTGCCTGTTTGGAGCGGTGACCTCTGGGATGTGGGACTGATGGATGCAGGCTGGAGTATGGCATCTGTGGGCATCAAGAAATCCACAGCTGGGCTGGAGTGATGGCTCAGAGGTTAAGAATACTTGCTGTTCTTCCAAAGGTCCTGAGTTCAGTTCCCAGCAACCACATGGTGGCTCACAACCATCTATAGTAAGATCTGATGTACAGGTACAATGTTGTAAATAAATAAATCTTAAAAAAAAAAAAGAAAGAAAGAAAGAAATCCACAGCTATGCTCCTGGTCCTCTCTTGCCCTTTAGCGACTGAGGTCCTGGCTGGTCACTTCCTTGAGTCTCCAATCCTTTGTTGCCCAGCTGTTCCCACAGGCTGCTCTTGGAGACACCTCTAAGAGATGCCCTGGACACACAGCATCCCACAGCTCCTGTCTAGGACAGGTTTATTGTGAACAGAGCACATGCATAGGAGGCCCACCAAGCCCCGCCTTCCTCACTGGTGTGATGATGAAGGAAGAAAGCGAATCAAAGGCCTAGACCTAAAGTGGTCTATGCTGACCTGCCAGCCCAGGGTCAGCCCTCCCAACATGGAGTACCAGGACAGTACTGTCCCCTTTTTAATCCTACCTTCTGCCTTCTAGACTGAGCTGTTCCTGGAACAGGAGAGACAATGAAGAGCCGTACAATAGCTACTGGCAAGCAGCCTCTTGATATGTAGACTGAAAAATGAAACGGTAAAAGCCACTGCAGGCTTCCTCAGTAAAACCACAGGGCCGGCCCCTTTGCCAGATCACAGTTTTGGGTACTCTGGGAGAAGTGTGTTTCCTGCCAAACACTCCCCCACCCCACCCTGCCAACCTTGATAAACCAGGTCTGAGTATAGGAGTGGGAGTGAGACTTGAGAAATCCCCTCCATCGCCCTTTCCTAACCCCAAACTGAGGGTGTTCAGAAAATCAGTCACTCACCAGCAGCCACAGCCCTGAACTCTGGATTCCTCTAAAGCTCCCAGGATGCAACGCTCCAGTGAACACCTTGCAGGATTCCACATAGGGCCAAAAGTGACACAGCCCCACAGGGTTTCCACATGCCAGGAAACCCTCTACTATTGATCCCTGGGACATTGGGAGGGGAGGGTTGAGTCGGGAGAGGTTCAGAGGGTAAGCAGCACACTTTACTTCCTGAAACTACTGTGCCCTCCACAAAGAATTTGGTGGAAGCAGCCTGGGAAAGGAGTGTGCTTTGTTTGGGGGAAATGGCCACGCCTGTAATTTAAGAATGGCTCAGAATGGCCAAGTGGGCGGGTTCTAGCACTAAATAAATAATGGGCTGACTTGGTGGAGACAGCCAAGGGCTTTGAATCCTGAATCCTGTTTCACTCAGTCCTCCCAGAACCTCCTAGGAAGGTGGTTCTAATTCTCTCCTGGTTTTGTTTGTTTGTTTGGTTTGTTCTTACAATTACAGTTGTTTATTTTTTGTTGAGAGAAGGAAGGGCATGGGACAACTTGTGCGAGTCATTCTCTCCTTTTACCCTGTGGATACCTGGGATCCAACATAGAACCTCAAGCTTAGCAGTGAGCATCTCTTCCCTGATAGCCATCTGGTCAGCTCTTTTTTCTTGTTTTACACCAGGGTGACCTGAGCCCAGAGAAGCACAATAACTTTCCCCCAGTGAGTGAGACCTTGAAGCTTGATGAGTTTCTCAGAAGCCAGTTGGCTCTGTGCCTTATTAGAAGAAGGTGAAGATGCCAGGGCCGTGGGTCATGGAGTTTCCCCGGCACAGGTAGAAACTGGCTGCTGCTGCCCCTGGGCAGGAGTAATTCATTCTCTCCCAGACAAGAAAGTCCTCTCCTGAACCCCTCCCATATCAGAAGCAGACACAGGAAAAGAACAACATTCAGAGACATCCATTAACTTCCAGGAATACTTTGGTTTTCTGGAAAGTCTCTGGGATTTTTTAAAACAATTTTCTTAAACTGCAGGGGAACGCCTTACACTTTCTCTTCCTCATAGTCGGCAGACATAAAGTGCTGAGTGAGTAGAGACAACACGAGAAAGATGATGTCTCCTTGCAGGAGGAATCTGGATGATTTTTATTCTGTTTTCCCTTGCTTCACTACACGGAAGAAATTATGTATATGATATACACAGTATACATTTGAACAGAAGGATGGGTGCGATGGCATGTGCCTGTAATCTCGGCACAGGGAAGACTGAGGTGGGAGGATTGTGTTGAGTTTCAGGAAAGCTTGGTCTATATAGTGAGCAATAATAACAAAGTGTTCAGTAAAGAGGGGCTAGAAAGGTGGCCCTGACTGCTCTCCTAGACGATCTAAGTTAGATTCCCAGCATGGTGGTTCACAACTATCCCTGACTCCGTTTTCAGGGTATCTGATGCCTCTTCTGGTTTCTTCCAGTACCAGGCATGTAAATGGTATAGGCATACACACAGGCAAAACATCATGCACACTAAATAAGTAAGTAAATATGCCTGTTGTTTGTCTTGTTTTTAATATCCAGTTAGAGGAAAAACCTCTTGACATCGCACTGCTTTCTACTTGCTTTGCCCCCTTCAGTCATCCACCACTCTGGGAAATGGAGTAAATGCACGCCATCCAAGGTACTAGGTCAGGTCCCTTAGGAACATTAAGATGTGCCTGGCAGTCAGGAGCAGGGAATGATGGAGACCAAAGAAACAAAGAAGCCATCAGATCTTGGGGAATGGATTATGGCTATAAGCTGGTTTGGCCTGATTTCAGGAAAAGTTCCTGTGCAGCGGGCAAGAGAAATACACTTGCTGAGGGGCAAGCCGCCACAGCCTGGTCCTTTACACACCCTCCAGGAGCTCCTGCACAGGTTTACTTTTGTTTTGCTTTGCTCTGTTTTGTTTTGAGGCAGGATCTCGGGTAGCCCAGGCTGCCTTCCAACTCACCATGTAGCCCTGGATGTCCCTGAACTCCTGATCCTCCTGTCCCTACCTCCCAAGTGCTGGGATCACAGATGTGCACCATTATGCCACTGCTGCACGTATGTTACCCATGCATCCCAGGCAGTGCATCCTCCTAGAGACTACACTACGCAGGGGCAGGTCTGCTGCTGAATCTACTATGCCAGGCCTTGAACTGGCATCAACAACCAAGCAGGGCAAACGGGCGTAACTATCTAAGTAAGTTTTTAACTTAAACGCATGATGAGGGATGACAAAGATGTTTGGCTTGCTGCTCTGGTGGGCAACCAGAATACTCAAGTTCAGACTTCACTGCGAATGTGTTGTTTAAGACGAGTTTGGAAGAACTACGAGAGAGATGGGGCCAGCAGGTGTAAACCATTCTGAAAGGAGAGGTATAAGCCTTGGGGTTGGCCAGTGGAGGAGGGAGATGTCAAAGAGAACATGCAGGAGACTATACACTCTCCAAGGCTGCTGTAACTAAGTATCATAAATTCGGTAGCTTAAAACAACATAAATGTATTCTCTCAGCTGGGAAGTGGTGGTTCATTCTTTTGGTCCCAGCACTCATCAGAGGCAGGCAGACCTGGTCTACAGAGTGAGTTCCTGGACAACCAGGGCTACACACAGAAACACAGTTTCAAAAAACAAACAAACAAACAAATAATATAAATGTATTCTCTCAAAAGCTTGGTGGCCAGAAGCCAGGGACCAAGGTGTCTGAGGACTCAAAGAGATTCTCCTTGCTTCCTTCACCTCTGCAGGCCCAGGTACCTCTTGGTTGGCCAAGAACTGTCGTCACCTGCCTGCGCTCTGCGGATCTACCTTCACCTGGTGTTTCTTTTTCTAAGGACCTGGTCAGACTGGATTAGGGAGCCCACCTAATGAGCTTATTCTGCCTCAATTATATTCAAAGTTGTCCCAAAACTGTCCCACTGATAGGCTGCATGGTCTAAATGAGGTTTCCTTGCCAGGGTTGCAGTTTCATCCCCTTTGGGAGGCGGATTAAGTGGGGACTTAGCCCAACCATGATGGACAAAGACAAGTCATTTCAGGGGCGATTTGGATTAGAGAAGGCCGTTGGGGGAGCATCTGTCGTTTAACCCTGGTGGATTTCTAAGAAGGAAAGAGCAGCGGAGTGGTACGCTTCTGTGTCTTGTCTCAGCCAGGTATGGTGGTTACATTCCTGTAACTCCAGCACTTGCAAATCGGTGGAAGCAGAAAGCTCAAGGTCATTCTTGGCTAACTAGTAAGTTTTAGGATAGCCAGGAGTTAAAAAGAACCTGTCTCAGGGGCTGGAGAGATGGCTCAGGGGTTAAGAGCACTGACTTCTCTTCCAAAGGACCAGGGTTCAGATCACAGCACCCAAATGGCCGCTCACAATTGCCTATAACTCCAACATTGGACACCCTTACACAGATATACATACAGGCAAAACATCAATGTGCATAAAATAAAAGTAAATAAATTAAAAAAAAAAAGAACCTGTCTCAACAATCCAAAATAAATAAATAAACACATGCCTCCTGTCTTCGGCCACATAATGCCCTACCAACAAGAGAGTTAATACTGAATGAGGTCCATTGACCTTGGGCCAGAACTACAAATTGAAATAAAGCTGCTTCCTTTGTAACTTATCCAGTTTGTACTGAGCTTTTAGCAACAGAAGACAGACACAGACGTGATACTGGAGGACAGGGCTTCAGCACATTGGGGATAACAACCGAATCCCTGATATGACCAGTGACGTAAGAGGCCTGGAGAGCTGACCAAACCTTGAGGCCTAAGATGTAAGAAATATTGTGTGAGAGGGCTTGCATGAGACTGTCCTCAACATAGAGACAGACCAACTTTACAGACAGACAAGAAATCTGTATTTGTCTGAGATTGACTCTCATCAGCCAAGGAAAAGGCCAAAGGCCATGAAGGAAGTTAGCTTCAAGTTCCTGTCTGCGTACAGCCTGCTACTTTCAAGCTTGGCTAAGAGTTTTTATAGTTGCTTTTCTGTTCAGACATCTAGAAGTGCTGGCCTGAACAGGTCTTGTTTCTATTTCCAGGCCAGTTCTTCCATCTTTTCTGATACTCATCACTGATGTTCTTGGAAGAGAAAGAGCCTCATTTACACATTCATCCTGACAAAGCATGAATGTGTTTGGTGGGCTCTGTCCTCTCAGAGGTACTCTGGCTCATGCACTCTCAGCATCACTTAATCCTTGTAGGATACCAACACTGGGGAAGTTTTAATATCAGTGACCCTAGTGGACCTGTGATCCACTCTGACTTCTGTCTCTTTTAGATTCGTGACCTTTGCCAAGTCTGATTATGTATGCTATGATTTTAACATTTAGAAGGTCAAGGCTGGAAGACAGTGAGACTAGTCTACAAAACATAATTAAGTAGCATAAATTATACTTGATCTTAGCCATAAGACCAATTTCTGAAAGCAGTGGAAATCACATTTGTGGTTTGATTCGGTCATCACCACTGTTCATAATTTTTTTTCATCACCCCAAATAGAAATGCTTTATCCACTGAGTAACATTTTCTATTCCTCTTTGTCTCAGCTCCTGCTGATCTCTAAAGTATCCTTCAACTTCTAACTTCTGCCTTTTCTAGGTTTTCTTTTCAGACCATGTGGTGTTTTAATTTTTTGAGTTATCATTCAAGGTACTGGGTTTTGTAACAGGCCCCCAGACCTTAGCACAGCTGACTCCATGATGGAAGTACCATTCAGGCCACAAAATTCAGTACACAGACAGCACCACCTGCCAAAATGAGAACAAAGACCTAATCCATCCAAGCCCATAGTTCTAGAAAAATCTCTCAATGTACTAACCTTGCTTCTTGGTTTCTGTAGTTCCACTTCTGGCTCACTGTTCCTGTTAACTGAAGAATGTCAACTCAGGAAGTGGTTTATGTACTTGAAAGCTTACCCTGAGAAGGGCTCAAGGCTACATTGCCATCCGGAACACCCGGTATAGTTGCTGGCTGGCTAATAAAGGCTTTCTATTGGCTTATGCCAGTGTCTGACTGGCCTTCTCTGGCGGGTAACCCACAACAGGTTTCCTTATGGCATTGTCTAACAAAGTGTGTATGGCAGATTTTCTGCCTCCTCATCTCCCCACTCCCTCTCTCCTCCTACCCTTTCCTGTAGCTGCCCCTTGGTCTTCCCTCTGCTTTCACTTCGAACTCCCCAAGGCTATTTTTGCCCTTCTCCCCACTTCCCCAATAC